TAATAGGGCTTCTTAATGTTTTACACTTGCGAAACATGCATCTATCGAGTCAGTTGGCGCCTATAAGTGATAGATGGCTCTAGTTATATGCAACCTTAGTTGCTCTTTAGATCTCGATTCACCCCCCCCCCCCCCCCCCCCCCCCCCCCGTTGACAGACCTGTTACATGTCGTTTAAAGACAATTACCCATCAACAGGACGACTTCTAGGTCGAAACAAAGTCAGGGTTCGCAGTCCTGTTTTCTAGAGTCATCGCTCTGTAGCATGTGGATTGAAATTCATACGACGGATTTCAACTCAGTCAGCTCTCCGGAGATGCTTGGCCTCAGGAGAACACAATGACCTGGTCTGTTTGCAAACTGCACATTCGGATGTATGAGTTTGAGACTGTCGCCGTGGAGGGGTACGACAGCCCTGCGGAGTCATGGACACAATGAGCCACATTGATCAATATCAAGTATCAGCAGCAGCAGTTGTTCTGGTAGCAAATACACACACACTCCATCCTGTCGAGTCAAATTTGATCTCTCATGTAACATTCCTTCGTCTCCGGGGGAGGGAATCTCCGTCACTTGACTAGACAGACGTCAGTCGGCAGTCCATATACCTGAGGCTCTGCATTCCACCATTGTCGAAGCTCGGGCACTCACAAAGTGAAATCCAATCGATTTTTCGGTAATATCTCTATTCTACATACATGGGCAAATAACCCAGCGGAATGGCCATTCAAGCCATGCGTCACGACTGTTCCCTCACCCCCCACCTGTGAAGGTTAAGTCAGAAATGTGCCTCGCCAGCAATTGAGTTCGTCCATATCGTCCCAGAGCAGACGAAACTAGACGCCCGCATCCTTCCATCTCGTCTCGTTTTCGTTGAGTTTATTGACGGATGCTACAGATCCCGTACCCTAGCCTGCCCAAACATGGCATTCGCCCAGGGCGTTCGACGACGCCCTGTCCGCGGAATCATCCATACAGATCCCCTGGCGACGTTTGTGCCTGGCCCAACCCTAATGTCTCAACGATCAATCAGCATGTCATTTTTCTTTCCTCCGATTTCGTGCAAGTTTGGACACAGCACCCAGCTCGTCGCAGTGTGCTCGAAACGCTGGTCTCGCCGCTGGGAGTCCCTCCTCCCCCAGGGTGGGTTTCATGTGCTGCGGCGTAGCGGGCTCCCGGCGTCTGTCCTCTTCGTGTCGTCCCAACAAGCTCATTTTTTATCTAGATGCGGAAATCTTACATGGTTGACAGCGCAGCAACGGCTGTCTGGTGGAGGGTTGTGGGTAATCCCGGTCTGTGATGCTACCCGTGGCTGATTCCTGCTGTTGTTACCTCGGCTGGTTTGACACTGGTCGATCTGTTGTAAAGGTTAATGGCTGTATGTATTGGTTCTATTATTGAGGACGAATAAAAATATTGTGAGTTGACGCTCATGGAACCCCTGAAATTGTCAAATTCTAATAAAGGGCAGTTTCTCACGCCTCAGCTGGGCAGATATTACCGGCATTTCTACGTTGTCGAGGGGTGGTGTGGTCTGCTTGTAATACAGACAGACCGATTGTTCTTTGAACGTAGTAAATCCACACCTACACCACCTTTCCCTCATCTCTTTCTACATCCTACCGTACGTGCTTAGCACGGAGAGAGTTTCCGTCGAAGCAATCGTGAGTGTTATGGCTCAGGCAGCTGGTGACAACGCAAGTGCACGGGGCTCCCCTCCAATGTCAGAAAAGAACGGGAGCGGGTAGCTGGGTTCGGAGAGATGACTAGAATAGAAGTAACTCTATCGTGTTTTGAAGGGAATTTGGCTGATCTTTCTTTGAGGGGGTGATATAGGGCGTGTGCGTTCTGCGTACGTGCGAGCCGCTCGCAAACGGGGGTAAGAAACACGGCCCACGAGCAAGAGGCTATTCGTGGCACGTCTATGCAAAGTTTGGCCGAGTTTTGCGTTTGAGAGACCCTCAGAGACGCAAACAATTGGCGATTATGAGGTGATTCGTAGGCCTCGGCGGGCCAACGATGTTGACGAAGACGATAACGATAGGAGAGGGTGGTCAGCGTTGCCCGTTTCCGGGCAATTCTCGAGGGGAAACATCTTCGAACATGTTTGATGAGTTTCTCTCGGACGGTGTGGCTGCGGATGAATTTCTCAAACTATCGCTGCCACAGTCAACTTCCTTTCTTACTTTGACTTGGGAAAGTCTCCGGCTCCGAGTGTCGACGACCCCATGAGCCCGGCCGAGAGTATGCTCCTTGTCTTGACACCCATCCTTGCCATCCTCTTCGTTGTGATGGAGAGTCTACGCGGTGGCTTCCCATCCTGGCTCTTCCTGCATGCATGTGTTCAAACCTTTGCTTTTTGTTTTGGTAGATGAGGGGGAGGGGGTGTGCGAAGGGGCCATCAGAAGGAGGCCCAGAGATGGATATTTTTCGTTTCACCCTTGCCCACAAATGAGGAAGGTCCAAGATGAGAGCTTCCTTTCGTGACGATAGATGAGACCTTTCAGACATTGGATTGTGAAAATTTATGGGCACCCTGGGGAGGGGTTTCATACCGAACATGTTTTTTTACGGTTAAGGGAGGCCAGGATGAGAATGAAGTTGACAGATACATCCCGTTCAGGAGCCGTTTTAGTCTATCGCCTAAACGGCAGAATGGGCTCTTGCTTTCAGAATGATTGATTGACCGAGCCAAACACCTGCCTCCTGATTCAGCCTGTCTGGGAGATTTGGGTTGCGGGCTGCCTTAGTCAGACGCTTGCTACGGATCTGTTCTTGCCCGTACAGGGACGCAGCGGCTCCATCAGCTCCGAACCGAAGGAGACGATATGGTTGGCGTAGAGGCGATGGAACCGGTTGTCTTTAATCATGGATCACGACGAGTCTCGTGAACTGCACCAGGCCGGCAAGTCCCACTGGATAACGCCGATTTCCGACCTTCCGGATAGCGATGAGATATGCTAATTCGGTCGCGGCTGTACGATTGAATAGGCGTGTGGAGCCGATAGGTACATGTCGAGCGACGACTTGGTTACGAACCGGATGGTGGAGAATTACCTCTTCACGTCCCTGGAACTGAAGCCAGAGCATCCGCAATGAGGAAAATGAATAACGATGAACTAAAAGATATGCTCAAATTCGCATCACCTGGAAGCAGTGTAATACCAGGGACACAGTGGACAGACTGCATTGCACAAGTACAAAGGCTTGTCTGCCCTGGAAAGAGAAAAAATTGTCACCCGCGTGGTGTAAGGTTTACCTCTCGTAGAGGATATCAGCGGTTAAACTGAAAAGAACAGATACTACACTTGATCTAAGCCATATGGCAAAGAAAGCTGGTGAAGAGAAGAAGATTGAGTTTAGAGAAGGGGGAGATAGGGTTTATATATTTTTCAGAAATGACGAATGAGGCCAAATTATGTGCAAATTGAGGCCAAATCGGGGCCAACCTGAGCCAGAACCCATTGAGGCCAAAACATTTGGATATTACTGAGGCCAATTCATAGGAGCCTAAAAGTACTTCGCCTTGTTGGAATTTACCGAATATCAAGTGATTTTCAACTTGATCTTTGAGCTAGTTTCATCGTCGACCAAGATTTGTAGGCCTGTGACTGTTGTGGGCTCAAGCTGAGAACGTGACGCTATGAGGTTTGAATTCTGTAGGACCTATTACTTACTGTTCACTCTTCGCTTCTTTACGAACAATTCAAATTGGCCTCATGAGGAAATGAGATTGATGCCTGTACGGGGTTCTTTCCTGTTTCCCTTGGATCCGAAGTCGCTAGCCACGGCAACAACGCACCCCCCAATTCCAAGCACAATACTCCTACTTCTGCCAGAGATCACTTTTAATCTTCCAACAGCTACCGGGACATCTTTGGGCGTATGGTCTGGTCGGTAGAGCAACAAAAATATACCCTTGGATTCAGATTCTCTGTTAAATCTGGAGGGCGCACTTGTTCGACGCTCCATACGAGTAAAGTGCGTTGAACAGTTCTTTCTTTTTATGTCTTTTTTTTTCTTCTTCCCTTTCAGTCCCGATATACTATTATATTACCCTCAAACCCTTACAAAATTTATATATACTATTACGGAGCCGAAGAGCAACGTTGACGAAGAGTACTGGACTACTTCTAGCCGAGGTCTTCTTCACCTAAGCGCTCCATGTTCATTTTGTAGTTGTTCAGGATAATTGAATCTTAACACCCGTTAACATATTTTCAGAACGGCAGTTTCTTTATCTAATTTTACCCCCCCGGATGCTGAGATTTGGGGGACATGCAAGCCACCTCACGACTGCTTCAACACCATCCCGATGTCCGTTTACACATTGATAGTCTTGAAGACTGTTCAAACGAGCCAGGTAAGGAGGTAACAAGGGTAAAAATTAAAGGATGCCAGAATAGAGGCACTCCGGAATAGTAGTCACGAACAATTAAAGTGGTAATAGAATGGCACAAGACATTTGCTCCATCAACAAAATGACTTATACCTGTTGTCACCGAAATATTGTTGTTGGCGCTTCTATAAAAGGCTGCCAAATAAGCTACAAAGCATGCAGAGAAAATGTTTAAATAATAATCTTAATTAAAGTCCCGCTCCCTTCTCATGGCGGCGTTGCATGAATCTATGACGATGTTTCTCTGCTTATTAGTGATGCCCGCCGTCTCATGCAGTGACGTTGTTGAATGTTGTTGATGGTGGGGCCGTTAGGCCCCTCCAAAATTCCACACGCTCCCCCGCTCCGCCCGGTCCACAGACACGCTGAAGATGCGCTAAATCACCGACGCGTGACGCCACACAAGCATTCTTTCGCCCTGGCGCCTGCAATCAATTTCTCTGGTCATCCCTCCACTCAGCCCTGACGCTACATTGCGCACGCCTTAATTCTACCTACCCCCCCACGATATCAGCATGCAATGAACTTTGCCTAGGTTGAATGTCTTGTTAAGAAATTATTGCTCAAAAGTTTTACTACTTTGCTTCCTCCCTCATGATTCTATGTCTTCCTCCAAACTGTTCCCGCCCTCAGACGCGTCGCGTCCAAGATCGGGGATTCTTACACCTAGTTCCGATGGCTCTCTAAACTCCAAACATGGAGCAACATCACTGCCCGAGGCAAGGGTGCAGAGGAAGCGAAGCGGCTCTCACGCGCTTGGGGATTTACTCAAGAACCCAATCGTAGTCAAGGTAAGCTACCGTTGACATATCTTCTCCTTTGTCGTATTGCTAGGAATCCATCCATAGCTGACTGTTACATAGGCGCATCCCCCAAGCTTAATCGCGAAGCCATGCACATTGCAACCGCTCATGCTCTTGCCTCGCGAATACCTTCCTCTCTCCTCCCTCGATCTCGGCGCGCCGCACAGCGACCTGCCCTCCAGCCGCTTTTACGAATCACACATCAAGATCCTCGACCTCGAAGACCGCGTAGCGGAAAGGCCGAGCCTTCTCCTTGCGCGCAACGACGCCTCCAAAGCACTTTACGCGATCGAACGTGCCGCCACGTCCGAAAAATCGCTGTACGCGATTTGCAAACTTGGTTCCTGGGTGGACTTGCTAGCCCTTTCAGCCCAGGCTACGGTTACGGGGAAGCATGTTTTGCGCATGCGTCAGGTTGAGGAGGCAAAGGATTCCCAGTTATTGCAAAATCAGCAAGAGCTGCCCATGATGACACCAGGTCTGCAAAAGGGCCACAAAGACAAGAGATTGGCGATCGAGGCGTTGCAATCGATTGTACGCAAACGGGGACGTTCGCAGTCCGTGTCGACTTTCGAGGAGGCGACGAGGGCGGAGAAGAGGACAAGGTCGGATGATGATAATGCGTTGAGACCCCAGACTCCGAGTGGTCTCAACCCAAGTGTTAACCCGGTTCAAACTATCGAGGCGAAGCCCGAACCAGCGGAATGGCTCGAAACGCACCTGGATGCCGTGGAAGCTGCACCGCAGCCGGAGCCGGCCCAGGAGCCCAACGCACAGCAGACGGCCGGTGACATCATGGAAAACATTAGGGCGCAGTATACAGAGGCGCTCTATAAGTCAATGGTAGATGGCCTGTCCGGCTGCCATGACGCGATCGTATGGCTAATGTCTTGTCTAGGGTTCTCTGGCGTATTTTGCAAAGGGGCCGCTGTCTCGAGCGCGAGCCGCATTCCACCTCGACTGCGACGGCACCATGAACATGAGTGACCTCATAGACTTCCTCAAGAGTCTCGTTATGTCGACTGTCCAGATTGACAAGAAATATCGCGAGACGATACCCGACATAATCTCCAAACTGAAGACCCATATCTACAGCTCCGACGAAGGTAGTGGCAAGCCGAAGAAGAGAAAGTCAAAAAAGATGAAGCTGGGCAAGGACGGCATGTACCCGGGTGAGGACGACCATGTCCGCAAGTGGTGGGACTCGAACAAGCCAGAGCTCCAAGATGACGATAGTTCAATCACACCAGCTCAGATCAAATCTCATGTTTCGCTCCTCAGAACCAGGGAGACGCAGTTGCAGATGATTCTGATTCTGGAGATTCTCGCGCTGGAGCCGCTGCGAGCCGCCGATGGAGAGAGAGAGTCTCAACTGCCAGGCTTGCCAGGTGAGGAGGCGGATAAGGCTGCCGAAACCCAGCCGAAGAAGCGCAGCAAGCACAATTTTCCCGTGCTGGCAGATGTCCATGCTGATCGATTGTGCATTTGGCAATCGACCGCCACGGACGAAATAAGATTGCTTGAGGATTCCCAGGCATCTGCTCCTGTGGATGGAGCACCGGCCCAGAAGGCGTCATCAGATCCCCTTAAGGACTTCTGCACCGACATCATCATGCCATTGTAGGTCATTGTCGGTGACACATCGCTATTTCTTTGCTGACATGTACAGCTTCGCTGCTCGACTCCCCGATATTTGCGACTCCATCAACCGTAAGCTTGGCGGTCCTATTATCATTGCACCGCCGAAGCCAAAGACAAAGCCCTCGTCTAGTAAAGCGGGTTCAAAGCCTGGGGCTGCTGCAAAACGACCCGCTAGCGTCAAGCCTGCAACAAAGAACATCGAGAAGGCCTTGTTCAAGGAACAGTCTCGTCGGAGTGTTTCCAGGGGCCCCGGCAATGCTATTGCCTTGTTGAGATCCGCAACATCAGCCAACATTCCGGGATTCAAGCGGGATAACAGCGACCTCGACCGAAGGTCCTCGGTGGAGAGGATGGGGCTGCTTTCTAGGGGCAACAGCATGACCGCCCTAGATGATGTCAAGGCGCAAAAGAAGGCCATGGTGGAAGCGGAGCTGAAAGATGCTATTACGGCTCTCAGGAAGCCGAATCGCGAGATGGCAGGCAAGGCCATTGTTGAAGATGCGGAGAAACGAGTCTTTGGTGGCTTGTCTTCGATTAAGAGTGCGTATTCCTTCCTCGGTGAGTATGTTCGACGTACTGACCCCTTACCAGAATCGAAAAAACCGACTCGGCACCCGCTCTTCGATTCGGTCCAGGTAAAGGTAACGCCGGCCAACCACCGCTTTCGGGATGCTCTGGCGGAGGATTCGAAAGGTGCCAGCAGCTTGTCGATTCCGATGTCCAGCATCCCCCCTTCTAGCGCATCAAGGATACCCTCAACTGGACCACGGAGGGGACATATCGATATCCTGGGTACCACCCCCTCTTCGGCCATCCAAGCGACGCCCGTAAAGCGGAGCGCGCCAGTTGAAGGACCTTCGCCTGACGATGAGCCTGCTATACCGCCCTCATCGCCGCTCATGATGAGGAAGCCCGCGAGGAGCCAGCATTTGAGTGTGTCTAGAAGCGTGATTCTCGAGCGGTACGAGCCCATGCGATCACCATCGCCGGACGTCGGCCTACCGGCAACACCATGCAAGCAGAGGACGAGAGACGTGATGACAGACGAGGTGGCGGCTACGCCGATGGCGACGAGGGCGCATATACCATCCTCCCCCCCGCAACCCTCACAACCCCCGCAAGAGAAGCCCAAATCGATTTATGAACGGCTGGGATGGGATGACGACTTTGACGACTTATTATGATTTGCGTTTCACATTGCTTGGCGTGTATGGAATAATATGCATACAGATACCATGTGGTTTTGAACTTGTTTTTTTTGGCAGGATAATGGATGGATGGATGGAATGGAGCGGAGGAGTACAGTTGACGAACAAAACATGACATACCATAGCGTCGTTTAGAGTCGGTTTATTTTGCATCTGGGTAGCATTGCATTCCCGCGGTGACTGCGATAAGCAATCTGCTTGGGGAAAGGATTAGTGTTATAGGAGAATATGGATCTGCCGTTCCACGTTGAACCGACAATGTCCATCACGTGTCTATTCTGTCTTGTCTTCACCCTCATCCGAGTTCCCCACCTCCTCCTTTCCCTCTTCGGCCCTTTTTTCTTCTGGCTTTTCTTCCGCTGGCCGCTTCTCTACAAATATGATGGGGAGTTCCCTCACGTCCACATGCTCCTGCGATCCTAGATCGATGATTCTGACGGCCTCGATGCCTACAATACCCTCTTTCAAGGGCAGGAACTCAAGATCGACGACGTGGCACGCGCCAGGAGCGAGAGGACCAACCCTCGTGTCAGCTGTCAGACAGACGACCTCGGTCGGCTCAACAAGAGAGTTGCGCTGCATCGCATGGAGGACGTTCTCGTCCAGCACTGCGTCGGCGAGCTCCCTGCCGTCCGCCGCCGTCCTGCCTATTCCGCTCGTGGAGGGCGGCCGCATGAGGCGGACATCGTTACGTCTGCGTTTGGGGAGCGCGACAAGAGCGAGCTTGCGCGGGGGGACAACAGGCGCATTGGGCTTCTCTGCGCTCCGGTTCACTACGTATACCGTCCATGAAAAGACCTCACCTGCGTAGATGGGCCCCGGGGGACTGCAGAAGGTCATGGTTATGCCCAGCTCCGGCAGCGGTGCCTCGACTGTACGGGTTGCGGCCTCGAGGGAAGGGAGAGAGTCAGGCCTGCTGACTGCTGGGGCGACGAGGGACTGCGCAGCCTCGATGCCGCTTATAGACAGCTGCGAGGGACGGTGTGAGCGCTGAATTGGTTGCATCGGCTGCATCGCCGCGTTGAAGCCTGGGTTGACGGGGAGGGTGAAGTCTAGGGTCGTGGACCATTTCATGTTTAGCCGAGGGGTACAGACAGGGGGCTCCTTCTGGACGACGGCCTCGATTTGGATGTCGAGGTCGCGGCTCGGATTCTTGGAGGAAGGAAGGTCAAGCTGCTGCGGTGGGGAGAGGCGGTAGAGGAAAGTTACATGATCGTGTGGCACACAGGACATGGGAAGGGAGAGGCCGGAAGCTGCTGGGGCATTGAGGTCCTCCACCAAGCCGCCGTCGGCGACGGTGAGTTTGATGCTGGTCAGATCGATGGCGCAGTCGAAGTAAGATGTGAAATCAACTTCCAAGAGTGCTATTAGAGCCGGAGATGTGGGCATCGTATTTGGGCGGGAGAACCGGACGCGGGTGTGCACTGCTGGGAATATGCGGACGCGTAGGCTGTTGAGGGCGCGAAGGGGCCGCATCTGATCTTTGGGCTGAGTGACGGGTGCAACACGGGAGACGCGAAGGGCGGAAAGCCGAGGGACGACACCGCCCAGGGCCGGGTCATTGCCGAAGGGCTCCAGGAGGTTGAAGCCCGAGGCCACGCCTGATTGTAGGTAGGCTCCGCTGTTCCTGCTACGTCCATTAAGACGTTCCGGCGTAGAGGTTCCGGAGACGACTCCTGAAGCAGGCTTGAGGCAGGCAGAGGCGGAGAAGACCGCGTAAGGACCCTGGAGGCGGATACGAGGGCGGGCGAGGAAGACAGGGAGCTTCCAGACGGCATAGATATGCGGTGGCCTCTTTAGGGACTCCGCTTGGGGTTCCTCCTTATTGCTGTTCTCACTTCCGTCTTCAGGGTCATCTACCACGATAAAGGGGTCGGAGGTGTCCTCGACGGATCCTTGGAATATGATGTCCGTCGAAGGATGGTCGCGGTCTACGGCATGGCTGTTGATGATCTGGGTCTCCAATGAGATAACTAGCCGGCTGAAATGAGAGCGCAGAGTCTTTTCATCCACCAGAGGAGCTCTCAGTATAAGAAGCACTTCAACAGTTTCATCTAAGGCGCGTTAGCACATTAGACCTTCAAAATCAAATTTGTTCAAGGCATACCGAAGAAGAGGCTGTCTCTTCGCTCAATAGAGTCAAACAAGGCTTTGGTGTCGTCGACGTCCTTGAAAGCTTCTTCGAGATCGAGACTTGTTGCTTTGGGAACCATATATGAGAGGAATGCGTTTTCGATAAAGTCCTCCACCGCAACGGGCTCTGGTCTATGGCCTTCAACAGCCATACTGGGCTACCTTGTTTGCTGTGCAATGTAGCGGCTCATACTCAGCTATGAGATCTGATGAAAGGACAGTTTCACAACTCCGTCCACATAAAACTGTCGATAGGAGAAGTAGCACCAGGAATTGATCAGCACAATAGAATGATTATGACTGCCAGTGCTCTATTTCGCTGGAAAAGGAAGCTTAGAAAAGCAGGTCGGATGCCACCCCTAGGATATATCGCGGTAAAGCTCTTGGTTAGTGGTCCATTGAATACTGGTTGATGGCAGACAGTCCGAGTTACAGCTTACTGTGACTCTGGCACAGTGTAACAGATCCCCTGTCTGACTTATGTCAGCAAGAATGGCGTGGTTTGACAGGTCCTGAGGTAAGTGGAGCCCGCCCGCAAGCTACCCCAGTCCGTGCGCCAAGCGCCATATTGCTCATTCCGTTGATTCGCAAATATTCGCAGCCTTTTTTTTCGCGTTCACTCCACGCGACGACTTGTTGGTTCTACACCTTGAGGGCAGTTCATTGCATCTCAGAATCACCCAAATCGTAGTTGCCGACACTTCTATACATCGATTGCGATATTTGATATATTTGTCTCAGACTTAACTATCAAATTCGTCATGAACGGTGCCGGTAGCCCTTACGGCCAGCCGCCCGCGGCGTGGCAGGAGCACCGCACGCCCGACGGCAGAGCCTATTACTACAACCCTGCGACCAAAGTCACGCAATGGACCAAGCCAGAGGATATGATGACGCCGGCTGAGGTATGGTGCTAATTACGGAAGCAATGAAGCTGATGCTAATATACCTGTAGAGAGCCCTAGCCAATCAGCCATGGAAGGAGTATACTGCGGAAGGCGGTCGCAAGTACTGGTACAACACGGAAACGAAGACAAGCTCGTGGGAGATGCCCGAAGCCTATAAGAAGGCTCTGGGGGCTACCAGCGGCCCGGCTGCCCCTGCGTATGGCTCATACCTGCCCTCTCTCGCTTTCCAAGCTAACAAATACAGTCCTACGGCGCAGTATGACCGAGGAACACCCTCTGGCGGGTATTCCAACTCCGGATACGACTCTTATCGCGGTGGCGATCATCGTGAAACTTTCCCCGAGTCGCGTCAGTTAACATACGGCAATGACACGAACGCCAAGGCCTTTGTACCTGCTAGCAACGAGCCCGAATATGCCACACAAGAGGAAGCCGAAGCTGCTTTCACCAAGCTGCTTAAGCGTAGCGGCGTCCAGGCTGACTGGACCTGGGAGCAGACATTGCGCACAATTGCAAAGGACCCCCAGTACAGAGCTATCAAGGACCCGAAGGATCGCAAAGCGGCGTTCGAGAAGTACTGTCATGACATGATCGTTCAAGACAAGGAGCGCGCAAAGGAGAGACTGACCAAGCTGCGTACTGACTTCGAAACTATGCTCAAGCGCCACCCCGAGATCAAGCACTACACAAGGTGGAAGACCGCACGACCCATGATTGAGGGCGAGACTATTTTCAGGTCTACCAATAACGAATCCGAGCGCCGCCAGCTCTTTGAGGAGTACATTGTCGAACTCAAGAAGGCGCACATGGAGAACCAGGCGGCTATGCGCAAGACCGCTATGGACGGTTTGATCGATCTTCTGCCGAAACTTAACCTCGAGCCTTACACGCGCTGGTCCGATGCCCAGAGCCTCATTTCTTCGACGGCTCCTTTCCAGAATGATGAGAAGTACAAGACCCTAAGCAAGTTTGACATCTTGATTGCGTTCCAAAACCATATGAAGGCACTAGAACGTGCTTTCAACGACTCTAAGCAAGAGCAGAAGAACAAGAAATTCCGCAAGGAGCGCAAGGCTCGTGATGCCTTCATCTCGCTCCTGAATGAGCTCCGGAAGGACGGGAAAATCAATGCTGGCACAAAGTGGCGCCAGATTTATCCCCTAATTGAGAGCGACGAGCGGTACAGGAATATGGCTGGCCAAGGAGGTTCGACCCCTCAAGAACTCTTTTGGGACCTTGTTGAAGAAGAAGAGAAGGCCATCCGCGGGCCTAGAAACGATGTCCTCGATGTCCTCGATGTAAGTTATACCCCTCCTGGTAGGATCTTACACCGCATGCTGACCCAATTACAGGATGAGCAGTTTGATGTCACCCCCAAGACCACTTTTGAGGAGTTCCATGCTGTTGTTAAGAAGAATCGCCGAACTGCTAACATTGATCGTGACACGCTCATGGTAATTTTGGAACGGGTATGTTTGAAGGTCCCACTTATTGACATCAAATCTAATATGTTTATAGATAAAGGAGAAGCGGTCTTCCAGGCGATCAGACGAGGAACGACAGTCTGAGCGACAGCAACGAAGAGCTGTTGATGATCTTCGAGCTTACTTGAAACGTATGGATCCCCCCATCACCTTGGATGACACGTACGAGAAGCTCAAATCTCGCCTTGCGGAAATTCCTGCCTTCCAGGCAGTCACATCTGAAGATGCTCGCATTGCCGCCTTCGACAGGCACATGAGGAGACTCCGCGAAAAGGAGGAAGAGGCCGACCGTGACCGGAGACGCCGGCGTGGCCGTGAATCAAGCGAGCGCGACTTGTACCGCGAGAGACCGCGATCTAGAGGTGAGCGATCTCATCGTAGTAGTGGCCGTGCTGCTAGGCGAAGCCGTAGCCCCGAACCAGATGCGTATGAGGCGGACAGGCGGAAAGCCATTGCAGAGCGAGAACGCAACCACCGCAAATCAACTATGGCCGAGAGCCTTCTTTCGGATCGCGAACGCCGTTTGTCACCTCCTCCTCGCCGCGAGAGGGAACGTGAACGGGACAGTAACCGCGAGCGCGACCGTGATCGTGACCGTGACCGTGAGCGCGACCGTGAACGTGAACGTGATCGCGACCGTGACTACGACCGGCACCGATCCCGTCGCGACGATGACAGTCACTACGACCGCGAGAGAAGAGATAGGGAAGAGGAGCGCGAGAGGCTTTATAGGCGGCGCATGGGCTCTTACGACGAGCTCCCTTATGGGGACGAGCGCCCGTCTGGCTCTCGACGCCGTCGTGAAGAGGATGAAGATGAGCGTCGGGAATCTAGGGACTCCAAGGTACGACGAATTTCTTAGGTCTCGATGACTTTCAACAACGCCTGCTAACGACGGCGCAGAGAGTAAAAAGAGAGAAAACACCCCGTGAGCGTACCCCCCAACGTGATACACGTCACAAGAACAGGACTCCTCCGCCGGCACCGGCGCCGGCGCCGGCGCCAGCTGCCAATAAGGATGACACTGGTATTCACTCGGGATCTGAGGAGGGAGAGATCGAGGAAGATTGAGTTGGCGATATGTCCGCGGAGGTGATTGCGGACACACAAAAGTGACTTTCGAGTACGTATCGAAATCACCTGCTGTCACTGAGAGCATGATGACCGCAGCGCCTACAGAGATAACTGGCCTTCACCCCTACGCCTTCCTGCGCTCTTATTGTCGACAAACATCCTTGAGCCAAACAACACGGTCCGTTCTCACAGCTTGTCGCCAGAGTGTTGATCATCCAGGCCGGCTGCTAGCTAGTATGTATTTCTCTCATTTAACCCTTATTGTAGGCGCGCTTGTCGCGGGTAGTATCAGAAGAAAAATAGATTGCCTTTTAACAACGGCCTATTGTTTCTCATGTTTTTTTAACTATGTGATATCTGGCATGTTCTAGTATATCTAGAGTCTCGACACAAAAGCTGTGACAAGACTGACGGCAGTCATCCTGCTTAATCCATTGTCCCTCAATCTACGGACTTGTTTGATCCCGAACGAATGTGTGGTCGAGCACCATAGCTCATACCCAAATCAGAGATCTTGCTTTCAATCCAACCAAACCACAGGATCAAACCAGCTTTCCCCGTAGGACCAGACAACAGGGGATAGACTACCGTCACCGTTGTTAGCCGTCGACGTCGTCGTCCTCGGACGCGCCCGCCTCCTCTAAAACCAAAGCGTGACCCTGACCTCCGAAAGCGCGCCTCCCCAGCTGCCGCTTATGTCCCTTTTGAACGCCCTTAACGCCTTTGTCGAATGCATTGTGACGCGGAGGGAAAACATCCTTATGGATGCCCTCTTCAGTTCGTCTTGTCGCTGTCGTCCAGGAAGAACTGTTTGTGTTAGCACATGTCGGTAGGTGAGTGCGGGTAGTCTCAGGACTTACGTAGTTTCCACCCAACTTCTGCTCCTGGTCGAGCTGAGAGTTCAGCTTGTTGATACGAGGACGGAAATTGGTAGGATCGCGACGGAACGTGACGTCAAGGTTCTTGAGGAAGGTGTTGCAGCCGGTAAGCAAAGACTCGGGCTTGTTGGCATGAGCGTCGATACCGGGCTTGCCATCGAAGACAATAACACGGTCAGCAAGGTAGGTGGCCATGATGAAATCGTGCTCGACGATGAAGGCAGTCTTCTTGGCGTGCATGATGAAGCGCTTGATGACACGGGAAGCGATGATACGCTGCTCGGAGTCGAGGTAGGCGGAAGGCTCGTCGATCAGGTAAATATCGGCGGGCATACCGAGAGCAAGAACGATGGCAACACGCTGCAATTCACCACCAGACAAGTTCTTCACCTCTTGGTCGATGAAGTCGTCAAGCTTCAGGGGCTTGACAACATCAGTTTGGAACTGAGGGGAGAGGAAAGCAGCCCTGATCTTCTTGAAGAAGAGCTGGCGGACGGTACCCTCAAACTTGGGGGTAATGGTTTGGGGCTTCATGGAGATCTTCATCTCAGGCACCTGGGCCTTGTTGTCGGGCTTGAGCGCACCAGCAAGCATACGGCAGAAGGTAGTCTTTCCAGTTCCGTTCTCACCCATCATGACAATGATCTCTGAGTCGGTAAAGTCACCAGACTCGATTCTCAGCTTGAAGTTGCCCAGGGTCTTCTCCATCTTGGGGTACTTGAAAGCACGGCTTTTGTCGGCGGCAAACTCATCCGCAGCCTCGGACATCTTGAATGTCAGGGACTCGTCACGGAAACGCAAGTTTTCAGTGGGGATGTGACCGTCGAGGAAGATGTTGATACCTTCACGAACAGACTGGGGCAAGGTAACAACACCGTACACGGCTGGCTGACCATACAAAACGCAGATGAAGTCGGAAAGGTAGTCCAGGACTGACAAGTCGTGCTCGACAACGATGACGTAGTCATCATCGCGGAGGAGAGAGCGAATAATGCGAGCGGCAGCCAATCTCTGCTTGACATCGAGGTAGGAAGAGGGCTCGTCAAACATGTACACGTCGGCCTTGCGTACGCAGACGGTTCCAATGGCGAAACGCTGCAACTCTCCACCGGACAGGAAGTTGATCTCACGGTCCATGATGTGGTTGAGCTCCAGGACGTCGCAAACCTCCTTCTTGTTGCCAAGGGAGCTTTGAGCATCGATCAAGGCCTTGACGGTCTTCTGGGGACCCTTGACAGCACGAGGGATCTGGTCGACATACTGAGGCTTGACGACGGCCTTGAGGTCGTCTTCCAGGAGCTTCGTAAAGTAGTCTGAAAAATTGGTCAGCGATTGACGGAGCAGGAAAATAAAGCTTGGGAAACGCACTCTGAAGCTCAGAACCACGGAAGTACTTGATGACATCTTCCCAGTCAGGGGGGTTGTCGTAGCGACCCAAGTTGGGCTTGAGTTTTCCAGAAAGAATCTTCAGAGCGGTACTCTTTCCAATACCGTTGGTACCAACGAGACCCAGGACATTACCGGGACGGGGCATAGGCAGACGGTGGAGCTTGAAGCTGTTGGCAGAATAACGGTGGGTGACCTGGGTTTCGAGGTTCGTGGGCAGATTGATAATGGTGATGGCGCCGAAGGGGCACTTCTTGGGGCAAATACCACAACCGATGCATAGTGATTCGGACAAGAAGGCGATGCGGGAGTCGGGGCCGACTTCAATGCAAAGCTTTCCGGAGCGGACGACGGGGCAGGACTTCTTGCACTCCTGACGGCACTTCTTGGGCTTGCACTTGTCGCTGTTGACGATAGCGACACGGGTGAGTTTGTCGGACATGGTGGTGATGGTACCCGGGATCGAGGCGGGGTTAACGATGGGATGGATAGTGGGGCAGATTTATTTTCTGCGCGCAGAGAAAATAAAAAAATAATAAGAGGAAAAAACGCGAGCAGGTAACGTAGCGAGACGAGACGGGCAGTCGGACGAGATTGGGAGACGTAGGGAAGCAGCAGGACCGAGCAAAGCGGCGAGGGTTGTCGAGGTATCGCGACCTGGCCTTCTGGGTGATGGGAAAGAAAGATTTTTGGTGTTTTTTGCAAAGTGTCACAGACGAGAGACACGGTTGGGCGGCGAAATCAAACCGGTCATCCAATTTGTGTGCCCCGTCACTGGTGTGAATTGTACAAATTTGGCGGGGCAGTTCCCCTACCCTACTGGTCACTAATTACCCCGCCAGTGAGGGTTCTCAAGTTTCGCACAAGTCACCTCTCTCACAATGCACAAGCAAGAATACCTGAAGTATACTTTCTAGCCACCTGACATCACAGCTCTCTGGATGAGGCCAAACACGCTGGTAGTGGCCTGAAGCACCCGTGCAATTGTGTCATCCACAATGTTTTGCTGGAACACGCCTATGCGCACCTCTGTATCGAAAGCTGACCGCCTGTTCATTGATAATTGATGAAGGTTGGTGGATTTGACCGCAACAAGAGCAGGCTCCACTCATGCTCCTTGCGGCCTTGCTTTTACCCTCCATATCGTGGATGCCACACGATGTTTCTTCTGGCTGCTGTTTCTGTGTCTAGAATGTAACAGTGCAAACGTCACAAAATTGGCGTCTTTATTTTTCCAAATACAGATCCTATATTACTCATCAGATGTACATTCTGTATTCTCGTATTTTAGATCAGATCAATGGGGATGGGTCAAACTGCTAAATGATCTGAGCATACCGAAGAATAAGACCACGTAAATTACCCAAGTTCTAAATGTGCAGTTTGCAATGGCTGGTCTCTTTCGCCAGAGCACCTCGAAGCTAGGTATAAGCTTGTTGGTGCAGTGTAGTTAGTCCTCAACAGACCGACTACCTAGCAACCCTCCAAGCCGAATGTTCGTTACATATGATGTTCAGCATATAAACATCAATAAAAAGACGGACAGAGTGCGCGATTTACGATGCACAGACTAAACAGAGTCTGCCAGTATGGTCACTTGAAATGGACAGGCAAAGCATAATTATAAAAAAGGGCAGCTGCATGATTATATGCTGATACTGCGCTTGATGCTGTTGAATATCACTCTCTTGAGTTTACATGCTTCTCTGTTTTTCTCACGGTTTTGTTCAACCGGCAGGCCTAAGCTCTATCCATGACACACCGAAGGGACCGCGGTAGTGGTTAGTAATTACTGATGACCAGGAGTTGGTATTGCTTTCAACCTGTTTTGACAATAAAGCGGTATCGTATCAATGTTGACTCGCATCCACAGCAACAAGAAAAGTCGATAAAGTCTGTCTAAACGAGTAAAAAAAAGAAAAGAGTCCGTGAAGAAAAGAATGAGACAGCAACAGTAAATCGTCCGGATGGACATACATACAGATGGCTCTACTAAAACTACTCATTGGTGGGACCAGCCGTCTTGTGCTGCAGCGGATTATGACGCATATTAATCAATCCTCACATTCACACATGAATGAGGCATTCGATGCGTGCTTCATACTTCTGTCATATCGACTGTGCGATTATTTCATTGCGGTGGAGGCAATGGTATTGAACATTCAAGAGCTTACGTGCTTAGGATAGTCAAAGCGACCGGAGTAGTTCTCAAGAACGCCTCCTGCATAATCGAAATTACTGGACATGTAAAATTCATCATTACGATGGATTATTGTCAGATTCGCTGATGTCGCGCAAAACACCTCCGACCAAAGTTGTAGGCCAGACCTTGAAAACCGGTGTGTTCCAACATCACGTTTCGTGAATGGTGTCGGACTTACGCTGTCGAAGGTGGGGAAAACAAGACGGGGGCGGGGGGCGGTGAAAACGCGGTGCTAGCGGGGTTCCGAGTCTCGGCCAACAATGCTCGCACGCAGGCACGTGCATTCTGTGGCTGGTGGCCCCCACCTTCTTGCCTCTTCCGCCAATTCACCCATTCACCGGACGTTCCTCAGGCGAGAAATATGTACGTACCATCGGGCTGCCCTGAGCCGCCCACGGTAGTCGACTTTCTGCCTGAGGCAACAATACCCGACTCTTTCTTTGGGGGTGATTCAGTGCTGCTAGCGCTACAACCACCTGTACCTCACCCGTGCATCCACCTCAATTCTTTCCTGCCTCTCCACCAGTACATTTTCCATCCACCACCACCCTTCACCCGCCAGGCTCTGGACAACCCACGCAACGTCACTTGTCCATTTCCTCGTTCAATACCTCATCTGATTCAGATCAATGGTACTTGCTGCCTGGAGGCCGTTGTTAATGACTTGTAAGTTGCTTCTGTGCCCTCGTACCGGCCCTTACAAGGCCGGGTCAAGTCCCCGTCGCGAGCCATCAAGTCAGCCTCGAGCTGGCGCGCTTGCATCTTGATATCCGTATCGGGTATGTCCTCAGCGATCCCTGAAGTCGTCGGAGTTGATAGAGATGACTTCTTTTGATGGTTATGATGCCCTAGTGACACGTCATGGCGCTCCTGTATCGTCTGACAGACACAATGGCATCGCTATCAACTTTCAGCCTCGTCTCCATCAACCGCGTCCCCGCGATGCGACGAGGATGATTCCCCCATCAATATTAGGCGTATTACCGTTCTTTTGTGATGGCCTCGATCGCCACATTCTATTCACCACGCGCTCTGTGCGCCTCTGCCTCTTACCGGTCATGTACTGGGCTAATGTCGTTCCATCCATAGCAGGCAGCCTCGACTTAGACCATCGTCATGTCTAGCCCCCTCGAACCCGGTCCCACAAACGGGCACCGGTCGCCGCAGGGCGGTTCTCCTTCCCCCATAGTCGCTACCGGCCACCAGAGCGATAGTGACCTTTCCGATATGCATGATAATGCCGCACGTCTCGCTTCATCGTCGCCGTCGCCAGATCCCAACGATTCGACCGGATACATCAACGGGGCGCCTGACTTCGCTGAAAGCGAGAGCTCCGGTGACGACAACAATGCTTCTGATGATGCCGACTTCGATATGGATGATGATGTGGCATCCATTGCACAGAGTGATGGAGCTGGCGATGCCAATTCTAGCTCTAACGATTCTCAGCGGCCATCCAAGCGGAAAGCCGCGGCAGGCGAGGATGAGTACATTAAAGCAAACCCGGAGTTATATGGATTGAGAAGAAGTGTATGACCCAACTCAGCCCGGTGAACAATATTGGCCACTGACAATTGCCGCAGTCTCGTCCAACACAACAGCGCAAGCTGGTAAGTGCCGGACGCTTCCTGTCTCCATGACTTTAACTCACATTTTCACGATAATAGGCCGAGTCCTCTGACGATGACTCCGATGATTCTGATGTGGTCACTACCAACCGGCGAAATGTCAAGAGAAGACGAGTTGAGACCTCAAGGCAATGTAAGAATTCAGCCACGCTGTTTCTGTCGATGCCCCCGACGCCATCCGTACTAACCTTGGCATCCGTAGCGTCAAAAAGAGGTACCCCTGCACGGCAACCGTCGATCGATTCTGACTCTGACTCTGATAACTACGGTGGCGCGCGCGCGAAAAGCCTCCAGAAGAAAGCACGCCGCCAACGGGAAGCCCAACCGAATCTTGTCTTTGCCGAGAAGCGTTGGTCCAGTAGGCGGGCAGCTCAGGTGCAGCAGGGCGCCTATGAGGAGAGTGACGTCGATGATGAGGACGAAGACGCGTCCGAACTCACATCGAATTACTACGCTGCGGACGTAGTTGACGATTCCCCATACATTGACAAAGTGCTTAAACATAAGCTAAAAGATGACCTTGACCTCAGTTGGAGCTCCACCAGGAACGACTTCGAGTACTACATCAAGTGGCAAGGAAAGTCACATCTACACGATACTTGGGAGACAGCAGATACACTCCGCGGGCTTCGAGGCTACCGCAGAGTCGAGAACTATTACAGAACAATCGTGGAACACGAATTGCTTATTCGGTTCGGCGAGGATATTCCCCCTGAAACCAAAGAGCAGTTCTTCTTAGATCGTGAACGTGCTGAAGAAGCATTGGAAGACTTTGTCAAAGTGGACAGAGTCGTCGCTGTCCGAGATGGTGAAGACGAGGACGAATATCTCGTCAAATGGAAGGGCTGTTACTACGATGAGTCCACGTGGGAAGCTGCGTCTGCCATTAGCGCAGACTTTCAGGATAAGATTGACCAGTTTCTGGATCGATCATCTCGTTCCTGGATCTCCAACCGCAAGGAGTCAAACCCGGATACCCGAACAAGAATGAAGAAGCTCGAATCGCAGCCCGACTATATCAAGGGTGGCGAGCTACGTTCATTTCAGCTGAGAGGTCTGAACTTCCTTTGCCTAAACTGGACTCGCGCCAACAATGTCATTCTCGCCGATGAAATGGGTCTCGGAAAGACGGTTCAAAGTGTCTCGTTCCTCAGTTGGCTTCGCAATGAGCGTGAGCAAGAGGGCCCTTTCCTCATTGTCGCACCTCTCAGTGTCATTCCTGCGTGGGGCGATACGTTCGACAACTGGTCTCCAGACATGAATTACGTCGTGTATCTTGGAAACGAGACTGCCCGCAATACAATTCGTGATAACGAGCTCATTGTCAACGGCAACCCAAAAAAGCCTAAGTTCAACGCTCTAATCACCTCTTACGAGATGATTCTTCAAGACTGGCAATTCCTTCAGACAATCAAATGGCAGGCTTTACTTGTTGATGAGGCCCACCGTCTGAAAAATAAGGAGTCGCAATTGTATCAAAGGCTTGTGAGCTTCGGCATTCCCTGCAAAATCCTGATTACCGGCACGCCCATCCAAAATAATCTCGCCGAACTTTCGGCACTAATGGACTTCCTGAATCCTGGCAAAGTTGTTATTGATGAGGAGCTGGAAAGTCTTGCTGGAAATGATACCCAAGAGAAGTTGCAAGACCTGCATAAGTCCATTGCACCTTACATCTTGCGTCGCACTAAGGAAACTGTCGAATCTGATCTGCCGCCAAAGACGGAGAAAATAATTCGCGTTGAGCTCTCAGATGTCCAGTTGGAGTACTACAAGAACATCCTCACTAGAAACTATGCTGCCCTTTCTGACGCAACGGGCCAGAAAAACTCGCTGCTAAACATCATGATGGAGTTGAAGAAAGTCAGCAACCACCCATACATGTTCGCTGGCGCTGAAGAGAGAGTATTGGCTGGTAGCACTCGCCGAGAAGACCAGATTAAAGGGTTGATCGCTAGCAGTGGAAAGATGATGCTCCTCGATCAGTTGTTGACAAAGCTCAAGAAGGACGGACATCGAGTACTTGTTTTCAGCCAGATGGTGAAGATGTTGGATATCCTCAGCGACTATCTGGCCCTGAGAGGCTACAAGTTTCAGCGTCTGGACGGCACCATTGCCGCAGGCCCTCGTCGTATGGCAATCAATCACTTCAACGCTGAGGATAGTGATGACTTCTGTTTTCTCCTCTCCACCAGAGCAGGTGGTCTGGGTATCAACCTGATGACTGCAGACACTGTCATCATATTTGACTCCGACTGGAATCCGCAGGCTGATTTACAGGCCATGGGTCGTGCCCACCGTATCGGCCAAAAGAAGCCCGTCAGCATCTACCGCCTGGTGTCAAAGGAGACTGTCGAAGAAGAGGTTCTTGAGCGAGCTCGCAACAAGCTGCTTTTAGAGTATCTCACCATCCAGGCCGGCGTTACTGATGACGGCAAGGCATTCCGTGAGGAGATGAACAAGAAGGGGATTAAGATGGATGGCCCAAGCTCCGCTGAAGATATTCAATGGGTTCTCAAAATGCGCTCGCAGAAGATGTTCGAGCAGACCGGAAACCAAGAGCGACTTGAACAGCTGGACATTGATTCTATCCTGGAGAACGCAGAAGTCACCAAGACCAAGGTTGATGATAAAATGAACCTGAGCAGCGGCGGTATCGACTGGGACAACTTTATGCAATACACTGACGTCAAGGTGGATGACCTGGCTCTGGACTGGGATCAAATCATTCCCGCAGAAGAACTCGCTGTTATCAAAGCGGAGGAAGATCAACGGAAAAATGAAGAGTACCTGGCAAAGGTGGCTGCTGAGAGCGCACCGCGAAGAGCCACGATGAAGAATCGACACGGAGGCGAAACGGACCGAGCGGATCGATTGGCGAAGAAGCGACAGCGAGAAGAACAACAGCGCCAAGAAGCAGAGGAGCAACGTGCGCTGCTGTCTGATCCGAAGCGGCCTCTGAATGAAAAGGAAACTCGTAACCTACTCAAAGCATTCTTCCGGTACGGTTCTATGGAAGATCGTGGCGAGGAGATCATTCAGGAAGCTAGGCTTACGGGACGTGACCGTGACTTTTTGAAGTCCATACTGGATGACTTCGTCAAGACCTGCGATGACGCACTCAACGACAATGCAGCTCGTCTCATGGATGACGAGAGAAAGCTTGGCAAGACCTTGACGAAGAAAGACAAGAAGGCGGTCCTTGTTGACTTCGGTGAAGTTCGCAAGATGAACGCCGAAACAGCCATCGAACGGCCACGACAGCTTCGTCTGCTGCGACAAATCTTGCAGAAGAGTGATGATTTCAAGACATTCCGTCTCGCTGACGCAACTAAGGCAGCTCACTACAGCTGCGAATGGGGCGCACGAGAGGATGGCATGCTACTTGTTGGCATTGACCGATATGGATTTGGCGCTTGGACACAGATTAGAGACGATGCCGAGCTGGACATGGCAGACAAATTTTTCCTCGAAGAGCACCGCATCGAAAAGAAGGAGGAACGGAACAAGGCCACTGACAAAGGTGTCAGTTCTCCAGGAGCCGTCCACCTCGTTCGCCGTTCGGAATACCTGCTTTCTGTTCTTCAAGCCAAGCACTCCACCGATCCATTGGCGCACAGAGCCGTTGAAAATCATCATCGCAACAACAAGAGGCTGGCGAACGGACATCGTCGTAGCGACGTAGGAAATGGGGCAGCATCGCCTGCTCCTCCGACGCTAAAGAAAAGCAGCTCTCATCGGGATCGTGAACGCAGTCACAGCGAGCACCATCGCAGTCGCAGCAACGCCGAGGAAAGAGGCACGCCGCGACCAGATTCGAAGAGGAAGCACTCTGGACACGATGAAGGCCGTATTCCCAAACACCGGAGAATGGATGAGACACGCCGTACTAAGAGTAACGGCGATGAACAGCATTCTCCCAGAGCCGATCAGCGTAGGCATCGCGATGATGGCGAACGCAGTCACAAGCACCGTCGAGCTGAGGATCATCGACACGGAGACGACCGTCGTCGATCAAGCAATACCCCAAGAGCAAGTCAGCCTGACAGCGATCGCCGTAATCAGGCTCTCCGTCGGCTTGATCAGCTGCGCCGCATGGGAGACAACAAGGAGGAAAGAGAGACGGATGCGGATGCCATGTTGTGGTATCTCCTTAAACCGGTTCGTGCGAATTTTGAAGCCATCCTGTGTACAACAAAGGAGAGAGTCAAGTCCAGCAAGGAACGTGCTAGGATATTTGGCGAGGAGTTAGTGGTTATTGGCAACTTTCTGGATCGCGAATTTGTTAAGGAGCGCGACGACGCGTTGAAGAACCGCTTCTGGTATGTTGTGTTGCCTTCTCACAGCTAGGATGAGACTAACCATTGTGCAGGGAGTTCTTGGCGAATCTTTGGCCCGTTGACAGCACGAGCAATGAAGTGACCGGCGACCGATTGAGCGCCATGTATAGAGTCCTGCGGGACAGAGAAGCAAAGAAACAAAACGGAGACAAGTCGGCGGCTGCGGCGGCTAATGGCACGTCAGCTGCCTCTTAGGTGGAGGATCTCACAACATAAAACAACACAGAAGAGCAGATGACCTTCATTCTGCAAAGTCTCGATCAAGTTATGATACGTGTTCTATTTCAGCATTGGCCTGGCGTTTCGGTACTAGGTGGGAAGGCATTTTAGTTGAGGCGAGGGAATGATAAACTACATACCCGGACTTGCATGGTACAGGACGACCCATTTTGGAGTTTTGCGAAAGCATCATGTCTTATCTCCTGCTTTGGAACCCTTTGAGGAAGTTTAAAGACGAGCCTGGCTCTCGTATTGGCAGGTGACTGCGGCTGATTTGTCGAGGAAGCAGAAACAAGGCGTCGAGGTCTGGGTCACATGACGTGGTCCTTGTCTGTGTTTTGAGTGCTGCAGCCTTGTCAGCCCTGTTCTAGTCCGCCGACGTGGACCTGTGCCCACCCGTCACAGCTTTCCCGTCGGTAAGGCCCAACGTCAAAACGGGGATTGGCAAGTAGCCCATTCCGACCTGCCGCGCCTCTGAGGGACCTTCCGTCGTTATTGTTGCAGTATTTACAAACATCGAGGAGGTCTTGGGAGAGAGGTCACCCAAAAAAAAAGGAGAAGGGGGAATCTGTCTGTGTCTACGTATTTTAGTGGCCGACAATAGGCCTGATTAGTGACCCAGATGTGCATCCGCAGACTACAATGGTGTACGGTGTGGAAAAAAAAGATATCCATTTATAGCGAGACGCATCACACAAAGAGAATGCGGCATATATACCGTTCTGCAAACATTCAATGAGTCAATAAATGTAAACAAACAGGCACCGTGAAAGTGGCACGTCTCGATCCCCTGGAGGTATTGAAGTCCATTTGGGCGGGGAGGGGGGGTGAGGGGTGGGGAAGAGGGCCTGCGTTTTTTGTTACTGGTGGTCGCCTGAGGCCATGGCTGAAAGAAGTTTACGGTTGTGGGCGGAGGAGGGAGACGGCTGGTTGTTGACGGTGTAACCCGCGGAGGCACCCTTACCAGTCTGACTGCCCAGTGCTTTGACGGGCACGCCTGTCAGCCTTCACCATAGTATCGTCGCCTTAGGTCCAATTACGCTGTAGAGAAAGCAGGCAAGTCATATCGAGAGGTACAAGATGTATAGCTGTAAGTGTCTGGTCAAGTGGTATATTATTGATGCAGCTCATTTCATATCTTCCTAGGACGCCTGTAGCTTTGATTCCGTCTGCTGTGCCTCTTTCAGAACAGAGTTTTTGTGCGGTTCACTCGCACGAAGAAGCCCTCGCTTGCCCTGCCCCCACTGTGTAATGATAACGTGAAGCCGATCAGTCGCCGACGCTCCTATGTACCGAGGGCGGTTGGTATGTACATGGCAAGAAAAGACATAATAATGACCCATAGCAACTCCTTTCGTAAAACAACAACATCCCAATGGCCGATACATGCGGCCCGAACTCTTCGGTACCAGCATGACGATGCCTTCTATACGTACTAAAACAACAAGCACGAATGCTCATCACGTGACAACCATAACAATCCCACTGTTTCGTTTTCAATCCATCAGCCCTTCCATACCCCTAGGAACAGATTGGGGTGAGATCGTATCGGCAGATTTCCTTCGCTCATGTTTAGGTGTTGCTGGGCGTACAGAGTTTTTGACGCTTTGCAACGTTATGCCGGCTGAAGACTTGGGCCGCTCTGTCAGTGAGGGACGCGAGATGTTCCCTGGAAGCTTTGCTGGTAGCGCGCAATCGTCTTGAAAAGGTTCGGCCGCCGGTTTTTGTGGATAATATATGTTTTGGGCCGGTTTTTGAGATTCAGGTCTCAAAGGCGGGAGCAAACTGGGTTTCTCTTCGACGTATTTGTAGTGCTGGTTGTCCAACTTGCCAGCAAGAGTCTCCTGGGGCATGTCGGCAAGTTCTCGGTTCTTCTGAGTCTTGAATGTCTGGCTGAGTGCATTTTTCGGAGGCTCGGCGGATTTCTTTGCGTTGGGCTTGCGAGGCTTCTTGGCTGCCGTCTTCTTGGCCTTCTTGGCTGGCGCGTCGCTCTCTGAAGCGACATGCTGACCACCAAATGAAAGCTTACTTTGCTTGGGCTTAGCAGCCTTCTTTCCAGCCTCGGCAGCCTTGATTTTGGGACTCGCCGTCGGAGTTGGGATACTCTGAACTGGGTCGACAAGTTTGCGTTTCTTCGTCTCTGGCACAGTAGCCGACTCGGATTTGCCAGGTGATCCAGGTGTGGGGGAAGTGAGCGCCACCTCGAGATTATCCCTAAGAAGCCTGGCCTTGCGCTGTAGTTCGTCCTCTTCACTGAGGTACGGGTTGCCTTCACACGCAGGCTCATCAAACCGGGGCAAGCCGACCCAATGAGCGACATCATCGCACTTCCCACGTACTACCAAGTCCCAGCAGTCTTTGAAATCGTTGTGTTGTGGTTCGGAATCGACGTTGATCCATGCAGTAAAGCCATCCCTGCGACTACGGGTCACCTGACACAATTCCTTGACGAGTCGCCTAACGCCGGGAATCTTCAAGCTAGTGCCGACAACAATGACCGCATCTGGACGCGACTTTAGATCCACGCTTGAGACTTTTCCAATTGCCTCTTCATCGGGATTGAATTCGTTATAGAGAACCATTCTGGGGCGCAGGCGTCCAATACCGTGGCTGCGTCTTTGCTCAAACTGAGTTCGGAGTTCATCAATAGTCTTGCACTCCTCACATAGTGGAGCCTCGTGACCCACGAAAAGCTCTGTTTCCAAAGGTTTAATGTCGGTACATTTTGAGCAAACCATGTGCTCGACACTCCCATGTAACTGAATGGTCGTAGGCCAGGGTCCTTTAATATTAAGGGGAACAGCTGTCTTCAGCGGTCCCAAGTTTGTATCGATACAGTCAACATTTTGACTGTAGAGTCTGAGTAACCGCTTCTCATGAGCGAGGGAAGCAAGCAGGTGATGAAAGGGCGTTGGCTTGGCGGCTTTGACCATAGTAGACAAGTCGCAAATCATCTTGTGAAATTTCTCGGTGGAGGAGTCGTGCTTGTAAACGGACGCGTCAAAAAGGTGCTTGCCCGAGCCCTTCATCTTGTGGTCATTGGGTAATGTCGCGAAGAGGCCTTTTTTGGAGCGGAAATCCGGGATGCCTGCAGAAACCGAGATGCCAGCACCAGCGATGACAACAATTTTCTTCCTTTTCTTGAGTGCAGAGACCAGACGCGCTAATTTTTCGTCGTTCACGTCACAACTGTCTAAATCAAGGTGTTCGGTAGTGCGCTCCTTGGGAGGTGTGATCTTGCGCCGCTTTCGAGGCGGCTGCCCTTCGTTGACGTCGCTAGAGTTAACATTGATAGAGTCGGCAGGGTCGTCAAGCTTGATGGCGGGCAAGGAGTCGTCGGTAGCTTCTAGCTTTACAGGTGACTGTGCGCCCGAAGGCATGGAAGAGGTCGGAGACGGATATCGTTTTGACGCGTCCATATCAACTTCGGGAGACGAAGGTATCGAAGGAGACTTGGACAGCACGGAAAGGGGTGAGGAGAGGGGCGAATCTGAGGGAGATGAGGTGTGCTGGTGCGCGTCGACGTCCATATTTGAAGGAGAAGGCGGTGCGTCCATTTCGACGTCGGCGGTCGGGGACAAGGGAAAGGAGGGAAGAAAACGGGCGAGGAAAGTGCGAAAAACCATGAGCAAGAATGTTCTATACCATGGCGATTGTCCGGGCTTTAGAGGGCTGTGCGATCCTTTCTCCGAAGGTGGTTTGAAAGGGTTTTCGTTGTTCAACGGACGGCAGGCGAGAAGTGTCGTTGAAGAAAGACAGATGTGGAGAGAGGAACCGGGCGAGGGTACCTTAACAAGTACCTATGCGTACCACATGCAGCAGAACATGGATGGGGCGCGGAAGGGGGACGAAGGGGAGGGACGTGGATGGCGGGAGGGGGGGCGGACGTGACTTGGAACACAAAGTTAGGTAGCGAGACGAGACAGCCGTCAATAACAAGGTAATCAAGAGGAGAGGAGAGACGGGGGAGCGAAGGGAAGGGGGACAAGGCCGACCATCAGATTCAGTCAAGAGCCGGCGGCGGCGCGGCAGCAAAGATCAGAATGCGGGCTGGCAGGAAGTACCCCGTACTACGTAAGATGCAGTGCGGTGGCTAGTGCGCGCTGTTGAGTCTGGCTCTTCTGGGTTCGGTGCTCTTGGTTGGCTCTTGTTTTGGTTCCGGCCGCCAAAGTGTCGCTTAATTTCCCATTGGGTCCCCGTCGTTCAAGCCAAACCCTTCCTTCCGCCTTTCTCTGATGGAGGTGCTGGCTGGGCTCTCTAACAATTTGCTCCACTGGTTGTGGTTTGATTGCGGTACTGTTCTGCGGCGATCTGCAGGAGGGGTACATTGCCTCATGCACCTTGCCTTACCTTTGTGTTAACATCCCCCTTCGGCTTCCCCCTCTTGTTGTTGTCCCGTCCCTCTTCCTTCGACTCTCTTTCACATTGCCCTGTCCTCTAAATCATGCGACATCCAGCGATGACGGTCAACCCCGCTGTTTATTCCTCGTCGTCAACAAGAATGACTCGGCTAATGCCCAGAGATAGGTGATGCCTTTTCCCTTGCGCAGGCATTCTTCTAAGCCATCTTTCGATGCCTATAATCAAAATGTCAAGGACACCCTGCAACTACCTCGTAAATGCGATGCGTGATATTGTTATAATCTCCGCGTAACACAGTTTTTTTTTAGCTTTGGTTTTTTTCATTTACACTTTTCACTACCCAGGAAGCAAACCACAGGTGGAAGAAAGAGCGCCGTCAAGAATCGCCAGTTGGAATCAGCTGATAGCAGCGCCTTGTTTTCAGTGATTGTGGACGGTCGCAAGTGACCTGTCGATCCAGCAGTGAGCTGCAGCCAATGACACAACAACCCGGACCCAATAGTTTCAACGTCCTTGTACCTCAATTGTGCTTATCGACAACCACTTTCAGAGTTTTCATCACGTCAATTGAGTGAGGGCGTCGCGCTGGATAGCTGTCGCGCACAACAAAGACCACAACAGAGTTGATCAACCCTACGTCATCCCCTGACGCACTGAAAACCGATAATGATACGCACATCGGTCTAGCAAATCCTTTCGCAAAAGTTGTTTTTTTGGGGTTTTTTTTCTTCTTTTTCTTCTTTTGTAAGAAATTTCACTTGACGCGGAGGAGTGATCCAGATGAAAATATGCTTCTTGTCTCCTAAATTTTCTACAAATTTCAACGGCCATGATGGTCGGCTGAAACATGGCCGAGTCGCGGACGCAAGAAAAGTCACAACACAAAGCGCAGCAGTACTTGCTACACCACGCCGCACACCGCACCCACTGGGCGGGTAACCCGGACGGGGTGGACGCCCGTTGCTCGGAAACATTGCTTGACCCCGACTTGCTATGCCCTGTCTCCTGTTCACGTCTGTCGGTGTTCCCTGTCACAATCGATGGGGGCCCGGCCCTTTCCTGCAGGGATCATTGGACGGACGTCACGGGTCGTTTTTTTTTCCCCACGGCGTTGAGATTGGGTAGACTGCCGCAATGCACATCACTTCAGGGCATTGAGTCCGGATTTCAGCCTCATTGTGGCTTGATCTGTTCACAGAACTAGTTTGGTTGGCTCAGGTAGGCTCTTTGGGGCTGAACACGTCTCCACTCCTCCCCTTTTCCACCCATGGGAGAACTTGAGGCTGAGGTAAGGATCTTAGGTGGGGTTTCCCACATAGATCATTGGTCTCATTGGTCCAGCCTTGGCACCTTCAAATAGCTAATTGCTAACGTGCATCTTCCATTCTCTAGCCACACGACTTCATCCACCAGTCTCTCAAGGCTTGACCCAAAGTCACCGCACAGAACGACATCCTTTCAATCTGTAGTCTCAACCTTTTATTGACAAAATTATCGGTAGTACATCGTATGGCACTGAAATATTCCTGTAGTTTGCGTGGAAGATGAGCTTCCACCGACTTACAGAGTCGTTGCCTTAACTCAGCCTTGCAGCCTCGACTTCCTACTATCTTGGTTAGCGACATTGAATACGCACGAGCAATCGTAAACGCCAAGCTCTAGAGTAGTAGCACCCATGACTGAAGCAAAGATGCCGCTCATGCTCGAGAACGGCATGAATGGTGCTATGCAGGTTGACCAGCTCGACGTCGATGACCTATTCGGCGATGGCGTCGGCCTCTCTCTTCAAGCCGCTCGCCCGCCTACAAAGCAGCTGCGCCAGAGGATAGATGAGCTGCGAACACGTGGTTGTTGCCAGTGAGAATCCAGTCCTAGTCCCATCATTATTGATCTTTCTTCTCACACAGCTCACAGGGGAGTAGCATGGTCAAGATCAGGAGCGATCGCCTCCGTTTCTCCGGATGGAAGACACCTGGAAACGAGGTTTCTTCGTTCTCACCCCGATGATGGCGATTGGGGTCTCAGTGAGCCAACAAAGATCGAGCTTATTAGCACGAATCCATCTAGCCCTATAGTCCACCTTGCCTGGGCTTCGACTGCTAGTCCTGAGCTTGCCGTTATCGATGCGGCCGGCAGGGTATCCATACTAACTTACTCAATCAACCTTAATCGGCCTTTCGCGACGCGAAAGTGGGATCATGAGCCGGGTGACGATCTTCAAGCCGTTGTTGGTTGCTACTGGCTATCACTGGCCCCCCAAAGTAAACAGGTACGTATTCCCAAGTGCTACCTTATATCGGCGACTAACCTCTTATGTAGTATTATGTTTGCCATGGGCCAGCTGTAAAGGATGGCAATTCATATCGTTACGAGAGCTCCTTTGTTCATGCTTACGGCCCTTGGCATCCCAACCCATCCAAAAGTGCTCTGCTCTGCGTGACGGCAAGTGGTAATTTAAAGATGTTCTGGGCCCAGAACAACAACAAGATTGAGGAGACTAGCCTAGAACTTGAGAGTATTAACTCATCTGATGATTTGATCACACATGCCGCACTTCATAGCGACAAAAGTCAGTGATCCTGTATTACTTGTGTGATTCTTACTGACATGGAATAGGTTCCCTATGGGTTGTCCTGGCTACTGCGTCTAAGCAGCTAAAGGTTGTACGAGTTGGCATACACTGGGGCCTACCACAGTCTCAATCCGACAACAAGCCTCCACCAGGAAGCCAATCTCTGAACCCAACTATGCAAGAAAAGCACGTTGCAATCTCCAGCTGGCTGCCTAACGGGCCGACCGTATCACCAACCGACTCTGCCATGACCCAGATAAGTCATCTTGAGATCCTGCCATCGACCATGGATCTTACGGGCCAGGGATGGGCACCGCTCGTCATACTTGCTGTACGCACATATTTACCAACACCGAATACCCCCTACCAAGAAACGCAAAGTATTATCGATAAGTGGGAAGTTATCAACGATCAGCCCCAAAGCCTTCATCCCGCATTTGAGCAGCTAGGAAGTCGAAGGAACAGCACAGGTTCAGCCCCAACAGTAAGTAAAGCAATTTGTGTCAGAACAACTGCTGTTGATGTCTAACTTGACTTCAGCCCACATCCCGCCTCAAGAAATATGACCCTGTTGTTATCAACAAGATAATCATTGGGGTTCAGACCCTCCAGTACGGCAGAGTAATCTGCCTAGCCTTCAGCGACGGCTCAGTAGAATACCGCGACAGGTTCACAATGCAAGAGATATACAACGATATAAATCTTGATAGAGTTATGACCCTTAACCAAGTGGGCTTCACCTTCCAGGATGATTCTCCATGTAAGTTTGACCTAGTCACATATGTCCGCGACTCCGACTTATCAGCGCATGTAGGCTTGCAAATGGCTTTTTCTCCTACCAACTGTTCCCTGGTCAAAATACTAGACAGTGGTAAAGTCAAATGGAGTAAACTGCACTACCCCTTGGGTGACATCGGCAACTCTAATCAAGATGGTATTTGAACCTATTCAAAATCTACTGGACAACATCAAGCTAATGCAGTATAGCGCAATATTCTGCAGTGCTGGCAGGTCTCACCGTCGCCGCATCAACAGCAGCATTTAACAATATCAATCACGATGATATTTTGGCTGTTGCCCGGCCTTATGCAGACAAGAAGCGTATGTCAATCTCACGTTGCCTACACGCAACTGGCTAACCCATGCAGGATTTACATTTGACTGGATCAATGAGATTGTCCGTATGCTTAAGATCCCGGTGGACTATTCCGAGGATACTCACCACGACAGTCTCGTGAGGAACAGCTCACTTCAGATGTGCCTAAGTATCCTCAACCACCTCGGATACAAGGGCATGTTCCAACCGCGGTCTTTCGGCGGCAAATTTGCTATGCTGGCCCTCAATGCCCGCAACGTCGTCATCCTAATCACGATTGCCAGTAACACCCCGGTCAACATCCGCGAGAAGCTTAGTCCTCTGGATGAGCACGAGGTGGTTGATGCTCTCTCGGGCTGCGCAAAATGGTCTCTTGATCTGCTCTCTTGGCTCACCGACTCTCTTTTTGCCCTTCTTGATGACGAGCAGTTCCTCGCCCACCTCACTCCGCAGCGCTTCTCTGAAATGAGCGCTTATCTGCAGTCCCGCTCCGATGTGTCGCTTCATCTTCTCCTCTGCTCCTCCACACGCGGCTTCCTCTCGGCTGTCTGCCGTCGTATCCTTCACCTCGAAATCCTCTCTAATCGTGCCATTGAGTTCTACGAACGCCGTGCCGCGATTGCGAACGCCAACGACCCGTCCGCCCCGACCCCAAAGGGCCTACATACCGTTCTTTACAAGGCGTATCAGAAGATGCAACGCGTCACCTCGAGCAGTCTCGTCAAGGTACAGGAGTTTGACCGTCTCTTGACTGTCCTCAACAACGATATCCGGTCCGCCTACCAGACATCCCTCGCGTCACTGGCAAACAAGAACCCCACTGGGGCTCAGATGACCGGCAAAGCCGTCGATGCGCAGATTAAAAATGCCCAGATTCATTGCGAGCTCAACATGCTCCTCGCGTCGTCGCCTCCGGCAGCCTTCTTCAATGTCCTTTCGAAATTCTTCAATGCGGACCTCAAGAGCTACCGCGCCCAAGCTGACCCTTCCAAACTCTTTTTCGCCGATTTCGATCTCCTCGAAATCGATGACGACCGCCGGTCGCTTGCGGCGCGGAAGGCTCGCGGGAAATATGTCGACGTGTTTAAACGTGTCGAGCTCGTCGGGCCGCCAGTCAAAAGTGCAAAGGAGGCAGAGGAGGCCAAGGCGCCACAATGGAGACGTTGTGTGCGTTGCTCGGCTGTCATGGAGGATGTTTCTGGCTCCAGACCGGGCTTTACATTCGTCCTGGCACAGCAACGGAAGTGCTCATGCGGTGGTCACTGGGCGTTGCTTCCACGAGGGGCTTTGGTAAGCTGAAATGGACTTGAGCCCGTCAAAAATGTGGTGGTGTACACTGTCGGATAGAGCTTATATACAGTCGAGGAGAATCATGGGAGAGAAGTATAATTCTGTTTTTAGGTAGCTATGTAGTTTCACTCGGATATCCAATGCGGCCCAATTTTTGTATTCGTCACAGTGGCCTCCAACATATGTCAAGAAAAATTTTCCCCTGGTCAGAAAGGTTGGCTTCATCGCGGTGTTTTCAAGGCATTCACGCCATATTTCAACCCGTTTCCAAGAAAGCATAGCAATTTTGAGCATCATGACCCCGGCTCCGAACCAGAACATCAGACTGGAGACATACCGAACGACAGCTACTCCGTCCATCAAGCCGAACGGGGGTTAGACAGGATACTTCAACATTCTACAAACATCCGCAAGCCGTTTGTTGTTTGCTCCCATCTTTGACGAACGGGGTATTGGGGGTGAGAGTAACAACCAAGCGTTGCTCGGCGTAGATGAGCGTGGTTTCCCCCATGGTACTAATTTTCCAGTCAAGGGACTGAGCCTGAGCAGAACACGCAGGTTTCTCTTTGTTTGTTACACAGAATCTAAGCAGAAGACGATGGAAGCCGTGTTTTCTTAGTTCAATAGCAATACTCGGCTGACCACGCCTAGCTTGTCTTGATGGGAGAATGGAAGGGAAGGGGAAGTGGTGTTGCTGTTGTTTTGGTTCTTGGTGCGCTGTGCTCATGGCTGTGCTTTGGACGACATACAAAGCCATCTTCATCTTAACCCTGATGGCTCGTTTGCGGTGTGAACGGTGTCTGGTACGCCCGAACGTTGCGAAAGAGGGATATTCGAACACTGGCAGCCAGCTAAAATCGGAAAGACTGATAGTTTGAGACGGACAGAATGCATGTTGCTCTATCGGCGTCTTTGTCAGACAGCAGCGCAAGAGGCTCCCTGAACTTGCGTAGGCGCGGTTTAGTATGGGCGGATAACAAGGGAGGCGGCCAGTAGCGACGCATCCAATACGAGGTGGAGGGAGCTGCTTAAGCCTGGATCGAATGGGACAAGTGATGCCGGTAAACGAGTGCTGCCACTGTCGTTTACAGATTCAAGGGGCGAGCGTGACCGGGGACTTCTCGGCGTTCCGTATGTAGGGCCATACAACGTGTTACAGGTGGTGCATAGGCTTCGCATGTGGTGCAATTTTAACTTCTGGCTGTCCAACAACGTCTCTTGCTGAGGTGCATTGTAGCCCGTTGAGGAATTACCGCCGAAACATTGCTTGGTTTTCCAGATACTCTCCAAACCAGTTTCCAGGTGATTCAAGCAGAAAAGTCATCGCTAGAAAGCTTCTCTTTTCTCTTTAGTTGTAGCCCCGGATTGTGTCTGCATCTGTAAAGTAAACGTTGATCTTGACCGGAGGCCGCATCCAGGAACAGATGTGCACTTTGTGACGGCAGCTTGATAATATCTTTGTGCGAAAGCCAACCGTGAGCAAATATTAGAATTGAACAGAGAGCCAGGGCTAAGCTATTCGGAAGGCTGTCCAAGAAGATCCCATGACGTTGATCATGAACTGCGGTTTGATGACGTGACAAAAAGCTCGGCGATGGTTCATTGAATAAGATCAAGCCCCTTTAATCCAAGAAGGCAGATAGACATGGATCAGATTGAATGACAAGATAGTTTGAGCAATGTGATATGGAGGAGCCACTTGGCACCCCTGGCAGCATGGTAGAATGAGAGCCCACGCCGACTTTCCCCAAGCTTCGTGGTGAGAGGACAAGGTAGGCCGTGGGGGAAGCAGAAGAGTACTCGCGCACGGCCTAAGAGCTTACTCTAATATCAAGGATGACGGGGCCGTACCGATATGGAGTGGTTTGCGGTTCCAACTGCACGTAGTCTGTAGTCAGGTACCAGGCACCGCTCGTTGGCCGGGGTCCTGAGATGCTGACTGCTATGGGCATGAGTTACCGATCAAAAGCCCGTTCTGGAAGGGAAAGCGGGCAGCTATGGTAACGATAGGAGTTCAAGACAGAAAGCCGAGAGGCTTGGTGCAGCCCGCGGTCCATGTTTCCATTGGGCTAGGTGGTAGAACAAGTTGAAACCCCTGCAGGCAGAGATGAAGCACTGGTGGTTTAGTGAGATGGTTTAATCAATGGAGGTCGTGCACGCCAGGATATGTTTCTCTTAAGGAAATCAAGTGTCTGTATGATAGCAGGAGTATTCGGGCCTTAACCAGCAAGAAAGATGGGTGGAAGCATGGCTGGTCAACGGGCCATTAAAGGAGGCCAGGATTGTTTTCTCCTGCAAGCATCATGGGTTACAGTCGCGTAGGACTTTGTTAGAGACCACTCTTAGTGGGCGTAGGGGCGCTGTAACCGTCGTGCATTGCAATACTTCATGTGATAATGGCGCGACTTATGTGTCTGTCTTGAAGTTGACCAAGATGCAGGCAAAACAAAAAGTGATGTCGAATGGGTGGATAGCAGATCGGTGTTGGCGACAAGGGGCTTAGAAGAAGCAAAGAGAGTTCGAATTTCGAACCTTGCCCCCACTTGGCACCACTAGTCCAGATTTAGATACCTACCACAGTCAGGCTGGGGCCATATCAACCAATGAGAGCACCATAGCTTATCATGACAAAGTGTAGTTGCTCGGCCACTTCGGCAGGTGCCCCTGCGTTCTTTCGTAGTATCCCACGTATCCGTGCCGAATGTACTACAGATAGGGTTGCCTTCGGTCTCCCATCAGGTTGGTAGCGGCGGGAGGGGTGGCTACCATCCTTGCTCGCTCCCCCAACAGGCAATAGGCTGTAGATAAGCTGGCAGTATTGTTGGAGGAGTAGCAGCAATAGCAGTTATATATGCCTTCTCAAATAAGGTATTTCAGTATAGGTCTTTGTGGCCAGTGTTCCAGACAGCTTCTGGTAGGCGACGTGAGTAGAAGTTTGGGAGGGACAACATGGGATAATATCATTTGGCCGAACAGCCAGTTCATAACATCGGACAGCATCGTCATCATTTTCCCACAAGAGGCAAGATTACCATTATAATGATAAGATGGTCCACAAGCTTACCTTTTCCCAAAGTCTATCTGGGCAAGGCAACATGAAAGTTGACGCTTTGAATCGCCTCTGAGTCGCCCTCCCTGCTGCAAAAACCGCCTGTTAGAATCCCGTCCGTTTCAGCCGGACATGAGATGACGGCCTACTATGCCGCTTTTCGTCTTAAGAAACACGGCCATGCACAACGCGGTACACTTGCCACGTAGATCCCAAAGCCTATTCTTCTTCCGTTGTTTTACGGCAGGCAATAAACGCTCCTCGTGTTTGGCCAAGACTTGCCCTGGGACGGGTACTGAATCCCGTCCTTTCCGAAAACCCCTTTGAATTACATACACTTTCTTGTTCCCGTTGTCGTTGCCGTTGTCTCGTTGTGGGTGCGGATACTCTCTTCTACCAATCAACGCCCCAGACTGACTGAGTAAAACAAAGTCTCCGTCGCATGACCAGTAAGGCAACACAGTCGCCCGCGAATAGGGGTTCGTCCGCTGCCTGGAGGGTTTGCAGATGGCTGCAAATGCCCGGACCTAACTTGCCCTGCGCCCGCTCTCACTTCGTCCTCCGCCCGTTGTGGTCTTTCTCCGGGAATGCATCAAGTACATTGACGCATTGGTGAGTCGTCACAACTGACACCTGCCAGTCGTAATGTCCAATCTTACCTTCCTGCACCCCCTAGATCATTGGGTCCCTCCACACGCAATAGTCGACATCTCTGAAACGGCGAGAAGCTGGTGGTGGGATAAGGAAGCCAAACATCGAATATGCAGCTCTTTTTGATTCATGTCCACATCATCATAAGCCGTATAGCCAGGGGTCTGGCGCCATATCCTCAATTGCTCCAGATCTAGAAGATGAAGATGTGCAAAACTTCAGACTAAGGCGTCCTGTGTGTTCAGCAGAAGAAGTGATGGTTAGCATGAGGGCGCCAGCCCAATGAACCATATGGTTACCTTGACCAGATTGACAACGGCCTGGCGAACGTTGAGAATGAAAAGGGGCTATACGGAGATTCGTTCGTGACGAGCCTTGACCTTTGACCTGTCCGAAAGACATCAACGGCAAGCAGGACTGGCCGTTATCTCTGCGGTGCTGGACCCCTGCCTGATAACGACTGCGGGTTTGCTTCCCCATTCATCTTCTAGTAGTATGGTAATTCGGACCCTTGTTCGACAGGGGAGGGCGTACATGGGACTACTGAAGCGCACGCATTTTCCATGGGGACTTTCATTCAAGGGGATAATCAGAGACGAATATGACAATTACTCGGGCAATTTCGAGGAGCTGACAATTACTAGTACCATCTTGAGGAGACAGAGCAACCTGTCCAAATACAGCTTGGATGAAGTCAAAAGTGGTCCTGGGCAACTGAAGTAGAAGAGACGTTGCCGCTAACCAGAAATGGTTGTCGGTCTCTTCTTATCAAAGCCGTTGTTATGTCTTGAAGTCGTCTGATCAGCCACTTCTTCTAGTTCCCTCCGTGGCGGTCTTGCTGTCACTCAGTTAACTAAATTGTCCCTCATTCACAGAACGCTGTTTTTTTTTTTCTTTTTTCCTTTCCCTTTTTTCTTCTTTTACTCAACTGAATGCACACCCATGTTGGTATGTTGAGTGCAGCACGTTACCCTGATCCCCTGGGCGAGGACAATTGGATGAAAGTACCCCAGGCACGTAACCATCGATAAGCCTCCGCCCCCGTGTCTACATCCTCTCCCGACTGATTAGCCTCGATCGGAACCCTGTATCCGTGGTACTATGGTACATGTACGGATAATGGTGAGTGTGACATGCTTCAGTACAGGGGCCTCCCACGGCCTTCCATACCTGCAACCCCCAGGAAAACTTTGGCCACCCCCTAGTTCCTAGTCCGGAAAGCTTGGCACCCAGCGGCCAGGCGATTCTCCGTGGGACAGCCCAGCATGTTGCGACCTTCTGGTACCCTTTCTTTGCCTCTGAAGCCGTCGGGCGAGGCCTACAGTCCCGCTAGCTTGCCCGCCACTTTCAGGGCTACTCATTACGCCGCCCGCAACGCAACAGTGTCGGGCGCCCGCCCGACATCCACATTCATAAGCTTCGCGCATCCCGCGCCCGCTCAATCTTGTTCCCGCTCCGTCATGTCGTCTCATCCATTGCTGTCTTTTCCGCAAACCCGTGACGGTTCTGTGCGCTCCTCATCGAGCATTCGCTCATTCTAGAGCCTGCAGCCGGCCTTTTAATACAGAAAATTGCCAATTATTCTGGCCCGCCTTCGGCCTGGGCCTGCCAACGATATCTCTAATCGTCCCCTCTGTTGTACAATTGCCGAATCGGCGATAAGAACCCAGATTACCTAACTGGATACTATGGCGTCTCTCGACCTCGATCTCAACGAGCTCGAGTATGTGCCCTTAGTGCCTTACAATGGCACCGGCCCTACAGGAGGAGATTCTTTGACAGAGGATCTAAACATTTGGTATGAGGTAGGTTGTTCGTAGTCACTTTTGCAGACGTCAGCGTGAATGCGATGCTGACAGTACGACCCGTAGACTGGTGACATTGGATGGATGATCACGGCGACGGCTCTTGTGCTGCTCATGATTCCAGGGGTTGGGTAAGCTCTACAATCCGCAAAAGAAACAACGACCGTGACCTGTCAGTTGACGCAATTCGCCACAGCTTCTTCTACTCCGGACTAGCCAGGAGGAAATCTGCCCTCTCTCTCATCTGGCTCTCGGTCATGGCCACTGCCGTCACTAGCTTCCAGTGGTTCTTCTGGGGCTATTCTCTGACATTTTCGCATACTGCCGGCGCTTTCATAGGCGACTTGTCCAACTTCGGTTTCAGAAACGTTCTCGGCCGTCCGTCAGTTGGCTCCGATCGACTTCCCGACCTTTTGTTTGCTGTCTACCAGGGCATGTTCTCTTGCATCACTGTTGCTCTTGCGACTGGTGCTGTTGCAGAGCGTGGTCGCATGCTGCCCTGCGTTATATTCATGTTTATCTGGGCAACCGTCATCTACGATCCTATCGCTTGCTGGACGTGGAATCCCAGTGGCTGGTCGAACAGGATGGGAGGTCTAGACTTTGCTGGAGGAACACCTGTGCATATCGCATCCGGCGCAGCGGCTCTGGCGTATTCGATGATGCTGGGCAAACGTCGCGGCCATGGCACACACGAGCTCAACTACCGACCGCACAACGTAACCCACATCGTCATCGGTACTGTTTTCCTCTGGGTCGGATGGTTCGGTTTCAACGCTGGATCGGCCCTGTCTGCCAACTTGCGCGCTGTCCTCGCTGCCGTCGTTACGAACCTAGCGGCTTGTGTCGGTGGTATTACTTGGTGCGTTCTGGATTACAGATTGGAGCGCAAGTGGTCCACCGTCGGATTCTGCTCTGGTGTTGTCGCTGGCTTGGTTTCCATTACACCAGGCTCGGGTATGTGCAATTCGCAACAATCTGCCAAACTTGTCAACTAACCCATGACAGGATACGTCCCCGTCTGGGCTGCCGTCCCGTTCGGCGTCCTCGGAGCTGCTTTTTCCAACTATGCAACTAAGCTCAAGTTTATCCTAGGAATTGACGATGCTCTCGATATCTTCGCCGTCCATGGCGTTGGCGGCCTTGTCGGTAACATTTGCACGGCATTTTTTGCTGCTAACTACATCGCCCACCTTGACGGAATATCAACTATTGACGGCGGGTGGATCAACCAAAATTGGATCCAGCTCGGCTACCAGCTGGCTGATTCTTTTACCGGTGGTGCCTACTCCTTTGTCGGTACCACCATCATCCTATTTATCATGAACATGATTCCCGGCCTCCGCCTGCGCGCCACCGAAGAGGCAGAGATTCTGGGCATCGACGACGCTGAGATTGGCGAGTTTGCCTACGACTATGTCGAGCTCACCAGGGAGGTGCTGAATGATATGGACAATGAAGCCGCTAGCCGATACTCGAACGACATGATTTCTTTCCAGCCTATGGAGAAGAACAGCATTCCCTTGATGGATGCCCGGAACTTCGTTGGTTCCTCACAATACCCAACACAATTTGGTCATGCCCAGTGAAACATCCTGAAAATTCGGGCAGATAACATTAGTTGACCAGGACGGGACATCTCTGCCCAGGAGACATCAGACGTCAAGGTCTTAGTTCGACACAGCCTCTTGGTTAACGACCAGCTATAAATGGCACTGTCGCTGGCTCAACTAGGACAACCTGATAACGACTGCCGACTTAATCCTAAGAGGCGAGAGCGATTGTAACATATAACGACATGGCAACTGCTGGGCGTTGGAGACCGATGCGGGAACGAGCGATAACTTTGTACATGTATTTTGGGTTTCGTTTGCGGTGATACCATGGGAAGCGAAGGATAACAGAGTCCTTTTCTGACCGCTGTACTTGTAATTCCATATTGAAGAAAAGACAGACCCATGATGACTCTTGGGCTCGAAGTTGGGGGCGCAATATAGACCAGACATGAAGTTTCTTTGTTTACTTTAACAGATCCAGTGTCTCAGCGCTAGCTTGATGATACGCAAGCCCAAGTGGACATGTATGGAGTTCCGTCTCACTGCTATTGCAAGTAGCTTCAATGGAGGATTTGAAGCCACTGAGGCTGTTGGTATGTTTTCAATATATGTCCTCGCGAAATTTGATATACACAGACCCCTGGCTGGTTCATGCATGTGCTGAATTGAAGAATTCGCGTCATCGAATGCAACCCGGAGTTAATTTACTCAAAAATAGCCTATCGCGCGCTCGCACCTACCTCTTGTCCCTACCGGTGGAGAGCTGTCAGTGCTGAGCTTGCCTTAATTGGATTACTTGCAGGTAGCCACAGCACTAATGCAGCACTGTTCCCCACGCACTGCACCCATATTCAGCTTCTCTATCCATGGGTCAATAAAGGCATCCATCCCTTTCCTTGACGTGACACCTCGCCATGGTAAATTCAAGGTAAGCTAAGGTCTTCCCTTACTACCTCTTTGGGTGTACGTCGCCCTCCTTGACGAATTCCGCGTTTTCCCCATTCCAACGTCCTCGCTAGGCAGCAGCGACCCATTACCGACATGAGTCCAGTTCGACTGTCATCGATAAAGGTTTCATACATATCTCTTTAACACCTCCAAACACGATGGCGAACACCGACACACCTCTCAGGGACAAAGCGCGCTTCTTTCGGCAACTGGAAGCTATCGGCAACCTGGACAGTGAAGATGATGACGAAGAGTTCCAGGAAGCTGAAGAGCATCATCGGCAACAATTGAAGGCCTTCCAAGCCGCGGCGCAACCTCGCCAGCCGTTGCAGGAGATGAGCCCACCAGAGCCTCTATCGTCTCCTGTCATCTCCCAACAATCAAACACAAGCTCCCGAGGGTCTACATCAGCTCCGGTCCCGGCGCCACTCACGGAGCTCAAACGGAAGGAAGTCATTGAACGGACCCCACTTGCCGAGATAAAGGGTCCCGGAAGGAAGGACCGGGACGTCGCTCCTGCCGCCGACATCAGCTTTATTGAAGATACCCCGATTCCGGATACATCTTCAAGGAAGCCTCTTCAGCCTCTGACTACACTTACAAGAAGCAGGGCCACGCCGCTCTCCACCAAAAGGCACCTTTTGCCTCACCTGACGGATCACTCACCATCAGTCGCCGCCATGAAAAAGAGGAAGAGAGACCCGGCTATCAAGCTCTTGCCGGTGCATCAGCAGCTATTTCGTGGGCTAAGATTTTATTTCATTCCAAACGATGATATTGCGCCCGCAAGGAAACTTCGGATTCGTAAAGTGCAGGAGTACGGCGCAACCTGGGCGCGAGAACTCCAAGATGCAACTCATGTTATTGTCGATAAGAACCTCGCTTGGAAGAACATCGAGATGATTCTCAGCTCCACAGGTGGTTCATCCACATATACTGTCGTCAATGAGGAATTCCCACTGGATTGCATTCGCTTTAAGACATTGCTCAATGCTGCCCAGAATCAGTATCAGGTCTCTGGATGCCCACAACGAGTGTTAGCCTCTACTATTGCAGTTCAGCAGACCGAAACCACAGCGTCCTCTCTTCATGACCGACCACTGAAGGCTCGTCAGACTGATTCGAAGAAATGGGATTTTGCGCCTCCACCAGGGACACCTTCAAGAAGCCAGGATTGTTCAGGGAGACAGAGCGAGAAAATTGCAACGCCAGGTTCACCTCCTGTTATAAGAGACACCTCTCCAACTGGCCAACCTAACGTTGCACCCATTCCCCCAAGCCAGTTCATCGATGAAAACAACCAAGAGGGACCCGGTCCGGCGATAGAGAGACCGATGTCAACATCTGTTGATGAATTGGAAACAGTTATTTCTCAATTGCGGCAGTTTAGAGATCTGCCGCTGGAACACGACGAGGACGATTTAACAGTTTCAGCAGACCCAGTTGGTTCAGAATCAGACAGCGAGGCAGTTTCTGGAGACGAACGAAGAAGAAGTAAGCGATTAGTCACTAAGGCCAAGGCTCGAAAGGATTTGACCTGGGAAGACAGGTTCGTCTGTCATAAAGGTGGCCGCAGAGAGGGCGATCAGCAGAACCCGAATAGCAGAACGATTGAAGTATTGCAACAAATGTGTGATTACTACACCCGGACAAACGATACATGGCGCCCTCTCGCGTATCGTAAAGCTATCACCCAGCTTAAACGTCAATCGACAAAGATATCGACAGCTGAAGAGGCTATACGGCTGCCCGGTGTTGGCGAGCGGCTTGCGGACAAGATCGAAGAGGTTGTCATGACCAATCGACTCAAGCGCTTAGAGCATGCCGAAAACGAGCCCATGGACGAAGTCTTACAAAGCTTCCTCAAGATATACGGCGTCGGCAGTGTGCAAGCTGGCCGCTGGATTGCCCAAGGCTTTCGCACGCTGGATGATCTTAAGGAGAAAGCCAAATTGTCAACCAATCAGCGTATTGGTATCGACCATTATGATGACCTCAATACTCGAATTCCACGGGCCGAAGTCAAGCTCCTCGGGGCTGTTGTCAGGGCAGAGGCGGCAACGTTGGATCCCACCGTGCAAATCATCATTGGAGGGAGCTATCGCAGAGGGGCAGATGATAGCGGCGACGTCGATTTTATTGTGACCAAAAAAGGGACAAGGTCTACATCTGATCTCATATCGTTTTTGAACGAACTGATCAGGATATTAGAGGCCCAGAAATTTCTGGTGGCCAGACTGGCAAGCTCGAGAGATGAGGCGGACGGCAGTAAATGGCATGGGTGCTGTGTTTTACCAAAGATCAAGGGTATCAACGACCACAACTATCAGAAAATTTGGAGGCGCGTCGACTTCCTACTTGTTCCGGAAACAGAAATCGGAGCAGCACTCATTTACTTCACGGGAAACGACATCTTCAACAGGAGTATGCGACTACTGGCATCGAAGAAGGGAATGCGACTCAACCAGAGAGGTTTGTACAAGGATGTCATGAGGGGCCCTGGTCGGGTCAAGCTGACTGAGGGCGAGCTAGTTGAGGGCCAGGACGAGAAAAAGATCTTTGAGATCTTGGGAGTTAAGTGGAGAGAACCACATGAGAGGTGGTGCTAGGTTTAGCGGTCTTGGGAGTCTCTGGGGTCGTGGTGTCTGAATCGCATAGCGTGGCGTTAAATTTTCTTCTTCTATTTTTCGGGACCATGCCCCGTGCTTTGGAGTCCAGTTCAGAGAAGAAAAAAAAAAAAGCAAGCAAGCCGCAAGCTCATCTAGTATGGTCTTTGTGTAACAAGGAATAAACAAGCAACATTGCCCCTCGGCAACGAACAAGGGAACATAGTGTAGGAGCTTCTATCTTATCGGACCTAGTGCAATAGAAGGTCTGATTTTATCCATAAGTGGCAAAGTACGGGCCGGCAGTAAGGGTCTGCCAGCTGTGAACACTCATGATGTGTCCCATAGTGGGGTATGGGAACTGGCTGATACAGGGTACAGGCGGTGACAGGCATGAGCGGCGCAAGTTTTAATTTTTTTTTTCTCTTCCCCTCCAGTCTCTGTAAGGCCCAGTCCCCGATCGTGTGAAAGGTCCCCCATTCAGGCCCAGCCCCGCCGACCGACCCTTCCTTCTTCACCGCGCGTCTATCCGTGTTTCTTTCTCTCCTGAATTTTCATCTTTCCCATATCTGGAGACCAGAGTTCGGCAGATAGTCGACTGATCATCCAAAGCACCTCGTTTTATTCTACTTTTTCTTCTCCTCACCTTTAAACCACCTCTCATTTTCTTCTCCCCTCCCACAATACAGCCATAACGAAATGTCGGGCGACAAGATGGAGGTTGACGCCGCTGAGGCGAAGCTCAAGGCCATGGCGCACTCTGAGCAGCACTACTTCAAGAGGTATGTCGAGCTTTCATTCTAAGCGTCGAAGATCCGCTGGTCAAAAAGCAAGGTCATGTTGCTAACTCGTGTTTGTGCAGTTACGACCATCATGGTAAGTCCTGTCTCGCGATGCGATCGATTAAGGAAACATTGTGTCTGACCTGGGGGAATGTGGAACAGGCATCCACGAGGAGATGTTGGTATGCAGCACCCCCAAACATATCAGCCAGCTGCTCCTTCAAGGCTGGGATCTGAGTGAATTCATCGCTAATTCCTTTCCTCCTCCAGAAAGATGAGGTTCGCACTCGCTCCTACATGAACGCCATTGTCCAGAACAAGCACCTGTTCAAGGACAAGGTTGTTCTCGATGTTGGCTGCGGTACCGCTATTCTGTCCATGTGCGTATACATTCGAAACAGCTCTGCACAATCCCTCTTGCCTTCGTCCTTGAGACTTACAATAAATTGTGTTGCAGGTTTGCCGTCAAGGCCGGCGCTAAGCACGTTATCGGTGTCGACATGTCCACCATCATCTTCAAGGCTCGCGAGATCGTCAAGGTCAACGGCATGTCTGACAAGATCACCCTGATCCAGGGCAAGATGGAGGAGGTTGAGCTCCCCTTCCCCAAGGTCGACATCATCATCTCAGAGTGGATGGGCTACTTCCTGCTCTACGAGTCCATGCTTGACACCGTCCTGTACGCCCGTGACAGGTACCTGAACCCCGACGGTCTTATTTTCCCCGACAAGGCCACCATTTTTGTTGCCGGTATCGAGGATGGTGACTACAAGGACGAGAAGATTGGATGTAAGTTTGAAAGGCCGCTGCGTTTGCCAATCGAGCTCTGCCGGAAACCGAACAACCACTGACCATGATTCACAGTCTGGGACAACGTCTACGGCTTTGACTACTCGCCTCTCAAGGCCACCGCCCTGGCTGAGCCCCTTGTCGATACTGTCGAGATGAAGGCCGTCGTTACAGACCCCGCCCCCGTCCTGACCCTGGACCTCTACAAGTGCCAGGTCTCTGACCTTGCCTTCAGCTCCAACTTCAAGCTGTCGGCTCGCCGTGACGATTTCGTCCATGCCCTCGTCGCTTGGTTTGACATTGACTTCACCGCCGCCCACAAGCCTATCCGTTTCTCTACTGGCCCTCACACCAAGTACACTCACTGGAAGCAGACCGTCTTCTACCTGAAGGACGTTCTTACCATGCAGGCCGGTGAGGAGGTTGAGACTAGCCTGGAGGTTAAGCCCAACGAGAAGAACCGCCGTGACTTGGACATCAAGGTCGCCTACAAGTTGCTCACCGACGACGCTACCCGTAATGCCGAGGGTGGTGCCGAGTACAAGATGTGCTAAGCGCCACTTGTTGAGCTTGCCCATGTCCGCCTTAGATGATTGGGCTTTAAAAGGGCAATACCAAGGCTCTGCAGAATTTCGTCACAGCCGGAGCATTCAAGGACTGAGGCGTCCTCCCTACTAACCGTAGTGGATACGGAGAAATCCAGCCTCTGCCCTCCGGACGATAACTAGTGATAAACCTGCCATTATTTGCGCCTAGGATGATTGAAAGGGAGATTATCCCGCCTGGCTGCGTAACCTGCGCCGGCGAGGAGGCATGGCGCGGCCTCCTTTCTCAAGGATTCCCCTTTTGGTGCCTATTCGGTTCTTAATGAAAAGGAAATACCGCCGCCAACGGGCGAGCGTGAATGGGGGAAAATCAAGACATAGAGAGCGTGCATGGGCTGGCTTTACAGTCCACTGCCTGCAAAGAGAAATAGATCATGACTAATGAATCAATCAAACTGAACCTCCTTTTACATTTAACCCTGTGATCTTTGTTGTAGACTGATGCCATTAATTGTGTATGATTGTGGAGGCCTGATTTAGGTATTCGGCAGGAATTCACATTCACATCAAACTGAAGTCGATTGGTCAACACTCGTCCATGATCTATTCATCCCCTGCTGTCTCGTCTATCATGTTTTTGTTTTCCCGGCCGTAACACTCTCATTTGGTGCGCGTGCCTGTCTATCCGCCATGCAATGCATCTTTCAAAGACCCTTGGATATCAAGTTCGTCCAACAACCCCCCTTGTATGAATAATATTCAAACGACATGAAATAGAAAAAAGAAAAAAAAACGGATGTGAGGAGAAGAAGAAGAAGGGAAAAAAAAAAAGAAGAAAAGAAAGAAGGGGGGGTAAAGATTAAAAAAGACTCCCCAACCACTCTTCCCCCCCGAATCCAATCATACAAACGACAATCATGTCTCTTACTGACCTCCAGCACCCAACCAACTGAGATGCTAACGCTGATGATGATGCAAGAAGGACACTCCCCCCGTCCCACCTAAACGCCGGTCGTGGCTGATGCAGTTCTCGAGACATAAGGAAAAAAAATAAAAACAAAGAAAGAGAAACACTGGTGCATTTCTCCTCCTCGGATCCCGTTTCCACTATAACTCTTTTTTTTTTTTTTTCCCGTCTTTTTTTTTCCCCCTTTTGCCAATGGTAATTTTTACATCCCGCTAGGCCCATGGTTCATCCAATCTTCAATAGCATCTTTCCCGCGAAAGACAACGGCGAGCATGAATGTAAACTCGTCGGCGTCCCTGGGATCAGCGAGCGCAAGAAGGCCGGAAAAGTCCATCCGGCCAACCCACCACGGCGCCTCGCCCTCACGCGACCGGTTCCACCGCTCCGCCGTAGTGGCAGACCACAGTCTCACCTGTGCCGTGAAACCCATATCCGCAAGCCCTAGCGGGTGGTGATGGGCATGATGCCCGCCGCCAGCGCCAGCGCCGCCGCCGTGGTGATGTCCTGCCGGTCCGGACCCAGGGCCGCCGCCGCCACCCCCGCCAAGCTTACCGTATGCTCCGCCCTGTTTGGCCGTGGCGTACACGGCACGCACGAGGTGCGCCATGACGAGCACGCGTCGGATCGACTCGGCCATCAGCCAGCGGCGCCAGGAAGCCTTGAGCTCCTCCTTTGTGAGTCGCCCGCCGCCAGGCGTGTTAGAGCGCGAGTGGTCCGGCGACAAACCCTGGTCATGTTGGTAAGTCGAGGAAGACGACGAGGACTGCTGCTGAGGGGGCACGTGCGACGGTTCCGGAAGGACGACGGCGGGCATAGCTTCCTCGGCCGAGAAGACGGCAGCGCCGACGCGGGCCTGTAAGGCGGAAGTCCACGCGGCGAGCACGGGCTCCACGGAGTCAGCGAGCACACGCTGACGGATGTCGCCATCGAACCAGCGCATGATCTGGTACATGACCAACGCCTGTAACGCGGCGACCTGCTGGGGCAGGGTCCATGTCGCCTGTTCGGGGACGTAGAGGAGCGCGGTGGCTTTCGCTTCGATAACCCCGAGGACCAGGGCAGCGTTCTCGTCGTTCTTGGCGGCGTACGCCGCGCACGCGCAGAAGCAATCCTGCAAAACGGGCGGTAATCCGTCTGCGCCGTTGGTAGTGGGGAGGTAGAGTGCCGGGTGGATGAAGGGGGCCACGCCGTTCTGGGTCACCCAGCGCCTGGGGTAGCTCCTGAACTGTTCGCTACAGTAGAGAACCGAGTCTCTGGAGATGCACTCGCTGCTTGGAGGAGGCAGTATCGACGGAGACGGTGTCGGCGCGGCTGCCGCCGCCGCCGTGGCGTTGTTGTAAAACATGGACCACGAGCTCTCCGTCTCGGGAACGACGGGAACGGGCATGATGTGCTGTAGAGAGTCTGGTGTAGCCGCAGAGCCACTGAGGACGTCGGTGAAGAAGTTGAAGTCTGCTGCCGCGACGGCCGCCTCGAGGGACGGGTAGTTGCAGTCCTCGAACCCTTTTTGAGTGCAACGACCGCAGCGAGGCAGCCGTTGGTCGCAGCGTCGCTTTGCCTGCTGACAGGCCGTGCAGGCGCGGCGTCTTGTTGAGATGAGGGGGGACGATGAGCTTGACTGGCCTGACATGGTGGCTGGAAAAGGGCAGGAGCCCGCAGGGCGTCTTGGATGGTGTGAGGCGTTTCGTTGGAAGTGCTCCGTTGGTAAGGTACCGAACGGGGTTGTTGGCACGGTGTAAGACAGCTTGGGCGGATGTGGTGTGGTATCTTGTGCGTACGTGCGTATATGTGTGCGTGTATGTATGTGTGTGTGTGTGTATGTGTGTATGGTTTCCGAGTCGTTGGGAAGAATTAAGCTTACGCCAATGCCAACAAGCAGAACAAACAAGCAAGTAGGCCGGTCTCACGACGGTGGAGTAGCGTGGCTTCTGGCACGATATCTCTACCCCTTTTGCAGCTCGGCTTGTGTCCCAATCACTAACAATTCACAGAGACCGTTTGTACCGCTTGCCTGTCCCCCTCCCAAATTGAAAGGCGCTTGGGTGCCGTACAGACGGGTTGGGCTGGATGGTGGTTGCCGGTCCGGAGCGGTAGCGGGATGCGGTTGCGGCTCTCCGCTTGTGGCGTGTGTGGAACTCCGCAACGGGTGACGGGCTTCCGCGTCTTGATTTTTTTTTCTTTTCTCTTTCTCTCAAGTAGCCGCGTTGATGATCTTTCCCCCGTGCCTCTCACTCACACTCTTTCTCTTCGGTACGGGCGGTGCTCCGCAAATGGTGCCTGGACATGATGAGGAAGACCGGGGAGGTGCGCGCTGAAGCCCGCTGCTGGCCGCCCTCCTTATATGGAGGTGGGATGGGTTTAAGGGAGATGCGGCCCGCGTGGTTTGGCCTCTTTCTCATGAGCTCACTTGCCCACACGAGCCACACGCCGGAGGCGAGTTGGATGAATCGAGAAGCAACGATCGTAGGCCCGATCCAAAAATGGAGTAAGCATTTGTTCCAAATACCAGCATCAGGGGCGTGGCCTTGCCGGTTAGGTCATCGAACGTCGCTCGTGAGTAAGCGTGCGTAAGTGAGCGACCTGAAGATGGGACCCCCCGCCCCGGGCTGGGACAAGGAGAATAAGAAGTAGAAGGTAAAAACGCGGGCAAATCGATATTGAAGACCCGGTACCGACGGGAAAGGCGTGCTCGGTGCGCGAAAAGTTGCCCTCGTGGTCGACGCGGGTTCCCACCCCGGGATTGAGGGGGCGGCCCTTTGGGGATGGTGGTGTGTCAGCTAGGCCGTCCTGGGTCTGGGACTAGGAAGCAAGATCTGCTCCGATGGGGCATGCAGCTGAATTTGAGTTGTTGTGCATCACGCTTCTCGTCATGGCTGGGCACCCAAATCATCGTGGTTTCTGGCCAACGCCTTCTCTTACGACCTAGAAGACGAATCAGTGGTTGAGGCCGTGTGTAGACTGTCTTCCAAAAATGGCAATTACTGTCTGGTTTGACAGGCTGACAAAGACAAAACTTACCCCATCTATGCCATTGGTCTTGCTGGTTGGCCTATTACAAAACATTAAAAAAAAAAAAAAAAAGCAGGAAAACGAATAAAAAAAGGTCGGCTTATCTGCATAGGTCATACCTGCAACGTAGTAGAGGTTTTTGCAACCACCACCACCGCTTTTCTCCGGCGCCAGGACCATTACAGCGTTCCCATGTCTTTGGTGCAAACGAGCGGACGAACGAGAGGGCAGACCGCACATCCACTCCCCGTTCTGCAGACACGAAGTCTGTCATGTCTCCTTCCCTCCCCCGGCATTCCCCATCCGGTCCAGCGTGTTACATAGGCGATGGGTAATCACCTTGTCACCTTAACCAAGCATCTTGTAAGCACCCCAGAACTGTCTTGTAAGTTCCGCCATACTCAGCCTTATGAACCACGTCTATTGCTACACCGGCTTGGGGGCTCTTTTTCTTCGCTCCGCCTTTTGCCTCATCATCTCGCAGGATCAAATGCAGTCTTGTTCAACGGTGCAACTAACAAAAAGAAAACGTCAAGTCAATGTTCAGCGTCGTTGGTTGTGGGTTGGTTGGGTACACTCACCAATCAGCCTTCTCCAACCCCTCTTCAGCCCCATATTGCCCTCAATAGCTCATCAACACCTAACCCCGAGTTGTCGGTGAGGAAAATGAAGGTGTCGACGCCATCAGCAGCAGCCAAGCCCGGACCGCATCATGGCAAGTTCCGGCAGTGGGAGGGAGACATGACGTGGGGTGAAGCTATTCCAGCCAAATGAACCTCTTCTGCCGTCGCCAGCCACCGTCTAGAGCTTCCCACCACAACGTTGAGGAACTCGTATTCGTTTCAAAGCCCGAGCTGCCCGCCCAGAAAACCCCAGCACTGGCTGTAGGCAGCAACAATTGAAAACCAAGAAAGTCATTGTCGAGCACCCAGTGTCCTATATGCAAAATGTCAACTAGCGCGATACCAGCCCTGCGATAACCATATTCAAGCCCAGCCCGCGGTTGCGGACACACTTCGGTGGCTAGCTGACCTGGAAATTGACCACTCCAGATTGCCAGGTTTATAAAAATAGCGGCAGACATCGTGCCATTGCGGACCATGGACCACTCAGCAATCCAGGAGAAAAAATCCCGCGATCATATCACCGCCTGCACGGCACGGTTAGAGTTGTTCACTTTAGGGTCCCAAGTTGTCGTGGCTGCTCTAAGTTTAGAAACAAAACGACGCTTGCAAGTGGGACATTTGCATGGTTCGACTTGAACTCCGCACTGCAGAAAGACGTTCTCGTCCCGGTTAAAGAAAAAAGCCAACCCTAACCTCCACCACTGTATTTGGCCACGGTCTTGCTATCTCCTCAACATGTTGCCATGTTTTGGGAACCAGTCACCACAGTCACGAGTCTGCCATCAATAACCACGTTGTCTTGGAGTCGATTCTCTGTATTTGACACACGAACAGGTTGCGTTCTACCAAGAGCTGTGCAACAATGCGTTTACGACCTTCCCCTTTGTCACGGGCTAGCAAACGTCGCAACGAATACGGGTCCTTGTTCGCGAAGCCGGCTTCGCATCGAAAACATCTCCATTCGAGAAGTTGCCGTAAACGCGCTATTAATGTCTCTTACCGGCCGAGGCCTGGAGCTGCATTGACCATAGATGACAACGATGGTGACTGACTAGCTTCGTTGTCGAAGTCGAGTTCGCGAGCGAGTGTGTAGCGGCGCGATTCTGCAACGGAGACTGGAGATGACCCAAGAGCCATCAACGATACTGCTTTCTTCGCTCATCATGCGCCGCATCTCACTTTCGAGACAACACCTTGCGACCCAATAAGTTCCGCACTACTTCTACCAAGATTAACTTCGCTAAGTGAAATGCATGATCCGAGCTGATGTGTCCACATGGTTCGCGTATGATGAAGGAGGGACTTCTGGATTTCCTAGGCCCAGTGCTGCTTCAAAGCTCCCCACGACCCCATAAGCACGTGAGAGGGCAAGCCGCCGTCTCAGGGGATATATCAGTGGTCAAGTTTCGGCATGGAAGCGCCTGGTGCTTACTTACGTCCTGTAGCACAAGCTCGTGTATGGTCATTGTGTGACCCGACACCTCGCCGAGGGACCAGCGGTTGCTCTCGCTAATGTCCGACAATGGGGACCCCACTTCCCGAGATGCATCGGCATCACAGCACCGCAAGCCAAGTGCATTCTCGGATACCCTTTCGGGACGAAATTGAGCAAAATACGGCTCGGCTTTGGCAGAGGCACACAGGCGAATACGGAAGAAAGTGCCCAAGCCATATTGCCTCAGGCTAATAGCTTCATATCATCTGGTCTTTAATTCCCGATGAGGCTTTCGGGATGTAAAGTCGAACACATTTCCGACCCGGAGGGTCCAGCGAGGCGGTGCCGCCCACTGCAATATTGGCGATGACAGAGGCCCGGAGCTTGCTATTATTTATGCATGCCAGGTATCTGTAATTAGACGGGTTTTCGGTGCACCTTGAGCCTATTGCACTGCGGCAGAGCTACCCTTGAGGTTTGTTGGTGTCCCATAATATCCGCTAGCAAGGTCGCGATTAGTAGGCCCTGGTCAGTCGGCAATGTGCTGAAGTCGAAATTGAAGTTGGTGTTAATTAAGAGCTCCGCCAAAGGCACGCCAAATGATACCAGCAGGGTTCTGGCATCGCCTCGTTGATCATTGCCTGGCAACGACAGGAGGGTGAAGAAGCCTGATGATCCTCGACAAAGCAACCGCTGTCTAATCCGTCCCTCGCGAAGATGGTAATTAAACTCCCTCGCCTTGGCCACACAACCCCGGACAACCAACCCAAATGGGAGTGCACATCTGTCCGATGTGGCAGGAAGGAGGGCGCCGATCGCCCGATTCTGTATCGATCTTCAGTGCACCACATGAATGTTAGGCTCGGGTCGCTATCAACAGACTGAAATGTTTGAGCCATGACAGTGATGCCATCACTCTTTGAAGACGCGCTTTCCTCTATTGCCTCGGTTGTAAAGGGAGGGGCATTTGTGATTATGGGCAAACTTGCCTACCTGGCGGGGAAAGTTATTGTGATTATGGCCCCGTTCTCACCCCAAGAGAAAATGAGCGCTCAAAACGATATCATAGTCAGGGGTGGGCCACACATCAAGATGCGTCCCTGGCGCTAAGCCCTTCTAGGATGACGCTGTGCCTGGATAGGCGACCAGTAGAGAAATTGCGAACGCAGCCGCCTCAGGGGAGATCTCGGCGCCAAACCTAACCACGATGCATCCAAAACCTACGGGGCTTGCAGTGTGAAATGTTGAGAAGATCTGGTGGCAACATGCCAACCAATCACTTTCGTCTTTGGCGTCAGACTCAAAATATCTATTGCATTTAGCCGTCGGTAGTCATCAGCAGAAACAACCTTACTCGCCGGACTTGAAGATCGGCAGAGTTAGGTTGTGTGACGACCAAACGGTTCCAATTCTGGTTGGTGCATAGGCGTCTCGCTCTCGTGATTAGTTTAAACATATTGCCTAGTGGTTACGCGGATGTAAAGGCTCGATACCAAGCCAAGGTTATTCACGAAAGTTTTTGATCAAAGCCGTGAGCCATTTGAAGAATGGTCGCGTCGGATTTCGCATTGCGAGCGTTTGGTCACAGCCTCGAAGCAAAATTCTTTGAATCCAGACGCAAAATCCGCAACATAGCGTCGTACGGGTTTGAACGAGAGGGTGGCCTTGCCCGTGCAGTAATAACATACTTAGGTCAATGGTTGGGTCAGGTTGCCTCGAGCGAACCGAGCGTCTGCCAACGTTGACTTTTGACAGAAATCCAAGCGCGACACTCCTGATCCGGGCTGTTGGGAGACATGCAGCGAGCGATGATTAAAGCATGATCGCGTCCGTGTGCATTCCTTGCTGATGGCGAAGTGAACAGAACTGCCAGAAAAGGGTTGAACCTTCGAAGTTGCAGCGGCATACTACATGAGACGGTTCGCGTAAAGGGGACTGTAGAGTCCAATCAACAAGGCGTAAGTGAGGCTGTAGAAGTTGGCATGGCATCTGATTGATTCAATGTTTCGACGACACGCACGAAACATCCCTAGGAGATTCAAGACCGCGTACAATAACGTTTCTTTGTTCGGCTGTCGTATCCGGCCACATGCCAGTGAGGCTAGGCCCTCTGCCCGTGTTTTAGCTGGGAAACTCTGTTAGTTACCTTGTAAATATCGCTGTCGGTATTTGGGTTTCTTGTCTTCGTATCGAAGTGGAGCGAGACAAACAACGAACTTTTTCAAAAACAGATACGGGAATTAGGTCACATGTGATTATGTTCTCCCCCGCTTGGCAGCTGATATATCCATAGCGTTGGATGACGGCGGTTGAAATTGACGGGCAAAGGCCGAAGTGCAGCAACGGACACATGATGTCGGTAAGATCAATTGATCGTGTGCTGGTACAAGGCGATGATCATGCATTCAATGTGAAAGGTACGTACGACGGGAAAGAACGGCTTCATGGGGGCAAAGTAGAAACCCCAAGGTGGTGCGCCGTATGTACGGCGTATATGGACCGTGTATAGGCAAGGAACAGCATAGAAGCTAGACAGGAACAGACCCTAGAAGTGACAGGTTTGCAGACGGCAGCAAAGGCAAGAAGAGGCCGTACCACACTGGCACAACTAGTAGGCATGGAAAGAGCCGAGAGGTGACAAGTGCGTATAGCACAATCCTGCCGCCGTAAAGGTGCAGGACACAAGTGAGGGGAGGAACAAAACGTGAAAGATCCACAGTGACCTGGCCCAGTCCAACCCATGTTGAGACGCCGAAACGGGCTAGACTAGTGTTCTCACGCTACTTGATTGGATGGAACCACTCATACGCTAAAATTACAACAGTTTGAATTCGTCGAAAAACGGTTGTCTCATCCCTGCCGCCAACAGGGAGCGCTAGTGCAAGGCACAAGCAGCCTTCCCTGTTGCTCACTGCTAGGATGGAAGGCCTGGCTTGCCTCAATTCGGCCTTGAAAGAAGGTTTCTGGACGTGCTCTCCTATGTTGAGCTGCTTCTGGTCGTTCATTGGGTCCGTATTGTACCTTTACTATAGCAGCTCGGGGCTTATAGTGCCCTCGTTGCTACATAGTAAGACGTAACTTCAGACACGGCAACCTTTGAAATGCCCAATTCTTTTGCGTCCAGTCGTCTTCTTCCCGTCGGCTTCCGCCAGCCGGCTTTCTCGGCCCAATTGCCCTTTCTTTCATGAGCCCCCCTCCTGCCATCTAAACCAACCGCAGTCGTCAGCGACATATCGCGCCCCCAACTTCGTTTCGGCCCCGGCACACATCGTATCATGGATGCCAGGCACAGGCGCATCCTCAATGGCCCAAGGTTGCTTGGGGGAACCACACCCCAGCGCCTAAACGGGAAATGGCGCCAAAGGAGGAAGCGCTACGCTACCACACTTTCTCCACCTCATCCCCAGGGTCCTGGCGCGCGAACATGGCCCCTTTTTGTCCTGTCGCCGTCGCCAATCCTACCCTACGACTCTCTTTGATCCTATGGCCCTCAATTACCCCCCAAGATTGTCCATTTCCTCTTTTTGCGTCGCCTTTCCTTTACCAATGGAGCGTCATCTCGTCCGAGCCTCGAATCTCTCGCTGGTTCAGCCCATGGTTCCAATTTCTCCCTGCGAGATAAGACCGACTTTTAGAGAAAGCCACCGCCGCTCAGGTCTCGATTTTTAGCCATGGCTGCCCGCGATCCTCGTCCCGCTCACCTTAATCTTTCGCTCGAACGCCCTTCGCATGCCGTGGGAGACCCTCATTATTCTGAGACTCTTAACGCTTCATCCGATGTACAGAGGGGCCGTCCACCCTACCGCGACTCCTACCACGCTGCAACCTCTACTTCGCCCTCGCCTGGACGCACTAGATCACAGACCCTTCCTGTGGTAACGCCCACCTTCAATACCGCCAAGGCTATTAGGCGAAAGCCTCTCTCTTCTACCGCTTCTCAAATCGCTGCGAGCTACGGTTCCGGTTCCAGCAGCCCGTCAATCCTGTCACCGAGTGATCTGCCTGCCCCGGACACGCGATTCTCGAGGTCATATTCTGTCGACAGCCCGACTCTCTACGAATATCCCGACAACGTACGCCCTCTCTTCGCTCCTCCTGCTGCTCACCAGAAACTTGACACACCGTGAGTCCGAACACTCTGTTCCTTTTCATCCCATAACTCTTCAGCACTTACCGGGTCACTGCCTGGCTGGAAACGTCCTTCGTTGGCACGCTAACCAGACATTGTCTTTCCGCAAACAGCCCCCCACCTAGCGACACGGCAGCCGACGCGGCTTATCCTTCTTCGCGAAACATCCCAAGCACCAACCTTGCAGCTCCTCAAACAAAACCTTCAGACGGCCTGTCAGAAGCTGTCTACCTGACCGCCGACGTCACCCCAACCTTCTCCCCGAAGTTACCGAAACCGTCAACTCACCCGATCATCGAGGAGGAGGAGGAGGATACGGACGACGATTCCGAGTCAACTTACAGTCACAACACTAATGAGAACTCTATCATGTCTATAACCGCCGCCAAACCTACTCCTCCCCATCTGAATCTACAACAGAATCGACAAGACTCATCGCAGACAGTCACGACAGTATTAGATGCCCCGCTGTCCCTGACTCCCACCACATCAGCTACACCAACTCCGTCCCTTAACAAGCCTCTCCCAAAATCCCCGGGCTCCTCAAAGCTCGTCAACTTTTTTGGCTGGGGAGCATCTCCGTCGCCGTCGACGACAGAGTTCTCCTCTCTTTCATCACCTCTAGCATCTCCACGCCGCGATACCCTCACAGATGACACTCCACTCACGACCGGTGTGCCGTCGCTTCTGCCAGAACCAACGAAAAGGAATGCTACGCCGACAAACGCCCTTGGGTACTGCGAATCACACCTGCAAACACCTCCGGCTTCCTCCCTAGCTCCATCAATACAAATTGAAGAGATGGAAGACGAACTCAAGGCCATTAGCGCCGAGCTGGCGTCATCCATCCGACGTGAAATGGACCTCGAAGATTTGGTCGACAGACTTCAATCCGAAATTAACAATCCCCAAGCCCCCGGTAAAAGAACCAGTGATTACTTCTCCGATTCGGGCTACAGCTCAGCAAAGTTCAGCGAATATGATCAGAATAAAGAAGAGGTTGAGAAGATTCAACGACGTGCAGAGCAGGAGAAGGCCTCCATGCGGCTGGAGTTGACCAATAAACTTCAAGAAGAACGTATGCGGAGGACTGAGTTGGACCAGCAGATCAAAGAACTCGCTGAGAAGGCTTCACAAATTGATGCTGCTCAGATCAACAGCGCCGACGCCAACAACCGTCTAAAAGATCTGGAGCACACATGCGAGGATCTACGACGCAGACTAAGTGAAGAAATTCAGGTCAAGTCAAACTTCGAAGACCTGTTGTCGGTCCTTAAGGTCGAGCTCCAGAGTGCTACCAATGAACGCGACAACCTTCGCGATGAGATCGTACCGCAGCTCAAGGCCCAGCTTGAGGGTCTAGAAGCTGAGGCTTCCGAGTATGCCAACTTGACTTATGAATCGTCCAAGATGCAACAAGAGCTGGAAGCCTTGAAGCAGGAGAACAAGGTCCTGAAAGCAACAGGCCAACAAGCCCAAGGCGATACCCGCTCTAGGAGTTCCACCATGCGCTCTGCCCCCAGACTGGCCAGGTCCAGCTCTGTAACCGCCGCCGCCCCCTTTGCCCTCCAGAAGGCTCCCATGGGCCTCACTCGGTCCAATACTGTAAAGTCCGGTGTGACCGAGTCTCGTGAGCAATTGTCCGAGCGGCTCAAGGACGTTGAGGCCCAAAGGGATGCACTTCACAACGCCCTGAAGAGCCTCCTCGAAAGACAAGAGTTCCAGAATCGCGAGAATGAGAAGAGAATAAAGTCCCTGGAAGTCGAGCGTGACCGCCTGATGGCTTCATCTCCGCGAAAGGCAGGATTCGAGAAGGATATCTCCAATCTGCGCGTGGAGATCAATGTGCTGCGCCGCCGCGCCGAGGAAGCTGCCGAACAAAAGTGGCAGGTCGAGAAGGGCCTTGCTGGCCTCAAAATGGATCTTGACCGCGCCGAGGAAGAAGTCGCTGCCCTTCGTGGCTTGCTGAAGGAGAAAGACATTCTCATACCGCCTTCCATGGCTCGTTCAAGTATCGACCACACGGCACTTGCTACACCTATCACCTCGGAATCTCTTGAGGCGGCGTTTAAGGACCTCCAACTTGCCTACAAGGAATCTCTTGCTAAGATCAAGAACTTGGAAGGCAAGGGACCATTGATCGCACAAGATGAATCTACCCAACTTGCTATCCAGAGGCTTGAGCAGTCTCTTTCCTCGGCCGCTTTTGAGCGTGATGCGGCGAAAGAAGAAATGTCGGTGTACAAGGATCAACTAGAAAGCCTTGCTAGCAGTGAAGTAGCACACTTAGAGAGCGAGCGTGCACTTGCGGACGAGCTGCGCTTCTCTGCTCAACGAGTTGAAGACCTTGCGGCACAGGTTCAGAAACAGCTTTCCCTGAACTCAGAGCTCCGCCAACGCCTCACTGAGGCTGTTGCGCGTGGAGATGCTGACCGTAAGGCCAATGCGGATCGTATTACACGCCTGCAAAGCCGTCTTAAAAATCTGGAGGAGCAATTGCAGGCTGCCCAAGCCTCCTCAGAGGAGCGAGTTACCCGGCATGAAGAGCAGGTAAAGGAACTCAAGGATGCCCAAAACGCTCAGCTTCGCCGCATGAGCCCGTCACCGATGGGCAACGGGCTCAAGTCTTCTCGCAAGACTAGCCTTAGCCCTTTGCCATCCCCATTGTTCCCTCGTTCGCCGCGCCCTCTCCCCAAACAGTCTGTCGAAGACGAAACTCAAATCGACAGGCTGCGCGTCAAGGTCGTGGAGTTGGAGACGGCACTCACGAACGCTGATTCGGAGATGCAAGACGTCATTGCACGTATGAGTGCCGCACAAATCGAGGTCTTGACCTTGCAGGAAGAGCGTGAGGCCGCGAGGCGCGAGACGAGACGCCTCCAGCAGGAGTTGGAGAAGGAGAGAATGAAATCCTTCGAAGATCGCTTCAAGTCACTCAGCGGCAACGTCTAATGATTTAAATCAAGACTTTCGCCTGAATAGGGGTTCGTGCGACGGCATAACACTGCCTGGTATAGCCGTCATCAGGATGCGGCGCGCCCCGTTTCAGACTTAGCACCTGGGCCAGGGCGGTCCCTCGACTTTTCTCGTCCTCATACCGCAGCAACCAACCCACGCACTGCAAATTTGAAATACAGACCGCCGTTTTGGTGGCGATGCTAGCATATTGAAAGCCAGCAAACCATGCATTGGGAAAGCGAGGGCGCATGCAAATAGTTTTATTTCTCGGTTTTTATTAGTTTTTGGATAAATATCGGAGTATCGACCATGGGAGGAGGCATTGTGCTACTTGGTGTTCTCCACAGAGCTGCCCATGGCGCTCCAGCAACAACCATACTTAACGGCCGAACTACAGTACATGATTTTTTTACGTCCATCTGCGGGGCGGCAGATTTGTTATACCTCTTTACACATACTTACTGGGCGGGCAAGCATCAAACAACATGTATCTAATGTATTATTTAGTCACTATCTCTTCCCTGTCGGTTTCTGGGACATTCTCGTCAAGGGACTGGCTCCAGATTCATCTGCATGGGAAAGACTGTATACAACAAAACGGTGTCGGAGATGTTTGTAAGAGGAACAGAGGCGGGGGAGATGTCATGAAAGGCAAGCGTCATAGTGGAGGCAGAGGGAGAAAACATGTATGATAAGAGAAGAATTGACGACTTGAACCATACTTTGTCGTATCTGCCTGTTTTCCCGGGGGCTTTTGCCTTTACTTAAAATTGCCGTATTGGTGGTTAAATCACTAACGCAACCACCGACCCTACCGCTGAAATTGTGTTCCCATGGAGGCCAGAAACCTGACTCAACTGGGTTCATTTGTCATTTTTCTTTTGAGGAAAGGTCATGAAAGTCTAAGCACGGGTTTACCTCTGCTTCTGCTTCAATGAATGAAGCGATGCATCCGATCGGGCCGAGGACCCAGCGAGCTGGATTCAGACAGGCCTGCTACATGCACCACCACCACCACCACCACCACCACCACCACCACCAACCTCGGACGGGCCGCAGAGAAACCTCTAGTCAGCTTGAGATGGAGACAGGGAACCCCCGGATGGTTGTAAATCATGGTTTTGGTGTCCGCGTCGACGTCAAGTTTAGGGGGACGTATGACAAAAAATGCGTGTTATAACACCTCGGCAGTTTATATACAAGCAGACCAAGCGGGATGCACGATGAGGGAGGAGGTACACATGGATATCAAATGTCTCATCTTTTTATTTATTTCGTTAATCCTATTCGAATGACTCCTCGTTGCGACCTGTCCGCTATTCTAGCTTTCAAAAATCACGCCAAAAAAACTTTTTTCGCCCTCAATAATTAGCAAGGAGTGAGAAGCCCATCTGTCATCCAAATGGCTGCATCAGTAACCCGCCGCTGTTTGTCATGAGCAATCGCCGAGCACGGTATTTACAAGCCACCGTACTGCTTCACAATACCAGCAACCTTGTTGGCAAGCTCATCCGCTTCGGAACGAGTGGCGGCCTCGGCGTACACACGGCAAGCGTTCTCCGTGCCGCTGGCGCGGGCAAAAGAACGAGCGCTGGTGTACTTCCTAACACACTGGTCAATCTCGTCTTGAGCACCCGGCGGGTGGCTGAGACGCCGCTCGGCGTCGGTGGTCTGGAAGGCGTCCTTGTTGGCAACCTCAACGCGGACAAGGCGGTTGGGGAGATCCGTGTAGGTCGAGGCCCAGTCCTTGAGAGTCCAGCCCTTGTGGGCGAGGATCACCTCGACCATCAGCATGTCCGAGAGGGCATCGCCGACAGTCTGGTTAACGAGGTTACCCACAGCGGCAAGGGTGTCGAGAGCGTCCTTCTGAGCGGGGGACTGAGGCTTGGTCTCACGGAAAGCACGCATAGCATCCTGGCTGAAAAGGACAGTGCCGTGGCCGTTGGCCTCGAAGTAGGCGCCCACATCAAACTTGAGGGCAGCGTGGTGCAGGTGCTTCACGCCAGTAGGAGTGCACACAACAGGCAGTCCGAGATGCTTCTCGATATAGTTGGTGCTAGCACCGTTGGCGTATGCGGTTTGGACAACACCGATGCGCAGGTCGTTTTCCAGGCCGGCGGATCGGACGAGGTCACCGATAAAGGAAGCGGCCAGAGAGGATATCCGGTCACCGTCCAGCATGAAGAAGCCAGTATCAGGGTCGGTCCAGTAGTAGATCAGGCGGTCGGCATCGCCATCGAAGGAGCAGTAGCGGACACCGGGGATGGGCTTAGGGGAAGCGGGGGCGCGTTGCTTGGTCTTGACGAAGTCTGCTCCGCACTGGGGAGTGTCAGCTTGATTGATAGGGCATATTCGACTCTCGTGTGACTTACATCGAGGTTGAGGACCTCAGGGCGGAGGACATCATCATTGACGACCTTGACATCGAAGCCAGTGACGTCCTTGGGAACATGCTTCAGGAACTCAACAAGCTTAGGACCGCCAACACCATTGGAGCAGTCCACGATCAATTGGCCATTAACCTTGCGGCCCTTGAGGGCCTGAACAAACGCATCGGCAAACTTCTCGTAGTAGCCAGTCTCGCTGACCTTACCGTACGACTGGGGGGTGCCCTCAGTGTTGATGCAGCGGGTGAGATAGTGAAGCTGGGGGGTTGTGAGGATCTTGTAGTCAACATACTCGGTGTTGGTTGCCTCAAGGGAGTCGGCAAGAGCAGCAACGAGCTTGTGACCCGAAGGGCGGGTGTCTCGACCGTAAATAACGCGGGCAGGAGACGAAAGATCGATGCGTAGTTGAGAGGCCAGTGCCTTGTAGTTCTCTACGAGCTCCTGGTCGGAGGAGCTGTTCACAAGCTTGGTAGCGTATGCCTCCCACTCCTGCTCAAGCATATCACCTAACGGGTCAACAATCTTGACACCATTGTCGACAGCAGGGTTGTGGCTGGCCGTGATCATGACACCAATCGTCTGACCATTGAGGTTGCGGCTACGGAGAGCGGAGAGCAGGCCGACACGGAAGGTAACTCCGTCCAGGAGATCGGCCTTCATCCGGAACCCCGCAGTGCCATACTTGAATACGTGGTTCGGCACAATGGGGTGCTTCTGCGAAGCTGCAATAATCTTGTCGTCCATACCGGGCGGTGTTGAAGATGTGTGAGGTAAGGAAGCTAGAATGCAAGCTATCGATTGACGATGGGGGACAGTACAGAGGGGAAATTGACAAGTGGGTAGAGCGATTGACAGGCGTAAAGAGTGAAATAGAGCTGGGGGATGTTTACGAGAAACAGTGGAGAGTAAGATAGCGGCGGGCAGGCTGCCGCTGTTGCTGGCTGAACGTGGAGGCCGCCATTCCAGTGTTTTCTTTTTGAGACCTCCTTGTCCTCCACTCTTTGTCTCCCACTCTCTTGCTCTCTCCTCACTCAACACTCCCAACTCCCCGCCATTACCTTGTGCGTGGGCGGCAGCGACCAGCAGGCAGGCCCCGCCAGCTGACACTGCCCGTGATGCAATCATGCAAGTCAGATGGATGCAGCACACCGCAACTGGAGGGAGTGGGGTAGGAAACCTGGAAAGCCCCTCACCTAAGCTCTCAGACCACCCGAAGGCCCGAGTAAGGAAAGAGATTCGAATCACGTGTCTTCGTGAACTCAACCTAGCCATTTCCGGTCACTTTTCGTGTGAAAGCGCGTCGCGACAATTACCATTGACCTTGACTCTCTTGTTTTTTTTGTTCTTTGGGTGTGTACTTCGCCTTTCCAGGCTCGGATACTACCGCTTTCTATTCCTTTTTTTTTTCTTCTTCACTTTTGGGTCGATGAACCTCTGAAGGTTGCACTTCGCGCTCCCCCCAAAAAGCTGCAGGCGACAGGCAGCCTTCGATAATGACCCGCAAGGAACAACTCAGCCCTCATACATCACGTCAGCAAGATGGCCGGAGACCATGAGCAATACGCCAATCCCCTGCTTCTTGACTGGGTCAAGGAATGGCTGGACAACGCTAGAGAACGAGGCATGAAAAGCATAACAACGTACAGAAATGCATACGAATCACTTAAGGCATGTCCTATAACATTTGAGCATCCTCGGCAGCTGGTTCAGCTCAAAGGCTTTGGAGACAAGCTTTCTGCTCGCCTCACAGATAAATTGAAAGAACATTGTGAAACCAACGGCTTGCCGATGCCCAGAGATACCCGGCTCCCTAAGAGAGGTGGCGCATCCGAAGTTGCTGACAACGATGAGCCCGCGCCTCCTCCTAAAAAGGCACGTAAGGCAAAGCCATATGTTCCAACATATCGGTCCGGTGCCTATGCTCTAGTTCTTTCGCTTTCTACCCTAGGAGAAGATGCATCCATTGGCTTGACAAAGCCTGAGCTTATCGAGCTTGCCCAAGAACACTGCGACTCATCCTTTACGGCGCCGGCTGATCCTAGCCGACATTACACAGCCTGGAATTCGATGAAGACACTGATCGAAAAAGACTTGGTTTGTGAGAAAGGTCGTCCACAAAAGCGCTACTTGCTCACCGATGAAGGATGGGACGTTGCTAAACGCATCAAGAAGACAACAGAACCAAGTGGTCAAGCTGGTGGTATCGTGGCTGGTTCAAGCACTAGGCTGGAGCCTGTTAGGCCTGATTTGGCCACATCAGAAAACCTAATTGACAGAGAAGGGTCCCCATCAAGCGAGCCTGTGGAACAACCAAAACCTAGGTCGGCCTACGAAGGCGTCGTCACAAATGGCCCTGTTGTTTCAGATGATTCTTCGCTCCCGACATTTAACCCCATCATATTGCCTCCGGGATCTTTCACAGTCCATCTTGTGTTGGACAACCGCGAGGTCCGGGCTTTGAAAGATCGCGACTATATGCAGGAAGAACTGAGCAAGAAGGGCGTCAAGCCTATTGTGCGAGCACTAGAAGTCGGTGACGCGCAATGGATTGCCAAATGCCATGATCCCAATTCGCTATCTTGTCGTGGCGGCGAAGGTGACGAAATTGTACTCGATTGGATCGTTGAGCGCAAGCGACTCGACGACTTGGTTAGCAGTGTCAAAGATGGCCGCTTTCATGAGCAAAAGTTTCGTCTCCGAAGATCAGGTGTCAAGAATGTCGTATACATTGTCGAGGAGATATCTATGGACTCGAGTTATTTCCAAAAGGTTGAGGAGATGATTCAGTCATCCATCGCTTCAACTCAAGTAGTTAACGGCTACTTTCTCAAGAGAACACAAAAGATGGATGAAACGATCCGATATTTGGCCCGGATGACATCCATGCTTAAAAAGATTTATGAGCGCAAGCCACTCTCGGTTATTCCAACTACCGTCTTGACGGCACAGAATTATTTGCCGCTGCTGCAGCACCTTCGGGAGAAGGATCCTTCTACAGGATATTATATTACTTATCCGGCTTTTGCGTCTCTGGCGTCCAAGTCGGATATGTTGACTTTACGAGACGTTTATCTGAAGATGCTCATGACGACAAGGGGCATCACGGGAGAAAAGGCACTGGAAATCCAGAAACGGTGGAAAACACCTCATGATTTGATAAAGGCGTTTGAAGAGTGTGGCTCTGGCGAGCAGGGAACCAAAAGGAAACGGGATTTGGTCATAAGAGAACTGCCTAACCTCGTGGGCCGGAAAAAGATCCCCAAAGCCGTCAGTCAGCGACTGGCCGAAGTCTGGGGCGATGCATAAAAAAAAGGGGTATTCCTGGATAACGCAAGCATTTTGTATGAACCAAGCGTGTCCGGATATAGATATTGTTTTAACCAGTTCAGAAAACGCAAGACCTAAAATTAAGCACGCAAATTTTGAAGTTTTCAACCCTCAAGATTTTCTACCCAAGCCCTCTGCTACGATACGCTCAACCATCTTCTCCAGAGGAACACCGCCGGATCCGCCGAGGTAGCCCGCAAGGCTCTTCTCGGCGTACTTGGCCATCATATCAACCTCGACGTTGACAGTGTCCCCAGGCTTCTTGGCAGCCACGACGACCTTCTCCTGCGTGTAGCTGATAAGCATGACCTCCCACCAGCCCTCCTCGTCGTTGACCTTGGTGACAGTCAAGCTGGTGCCGTCAAGAGCGACGTAGCCCTTGTAGACAACGTAGCGCAACACGGAAGCGTCGCGCGGGGCGAAGCGGAAGGTCAGGGCGTTGCCGTCGGGAGTGACGGCCAGGATGGCGGCGGTAGTGTCGACGTGGCCCTGGACGAAGTGGCCACCCATGCGGGTGTCAGCGCGGACAGCACGCTCGAGGTTGACGCGTGAGTCCTTTGCGAGAGAGCCGAGGTTCGTGATGCGGAGAGTCTCTGGGGCGACGCCGACCTTGAACGACGGGGGCGAGGTCTCGAACTGCGTCACCGTTAGGCAGACACCGTTGATGGCGATGGAGTCACCTAGGTGGCAGTCTGACAGCAGCGAGGAGGTCTCGGGCAGAGAGATTGTCAAAGACGTGCCACCCGTCTCGTCATTGGGGTTCAGCTCGGAGACGACTGAGGAGGCAAGCGCGTGTTAGTTGGGTTAGGGTCGCGGGGGGGGGGGGTTTGAGGGGACGGTGAGGGGTGAGTGTGTGAGTGAGGGTAGGGTTAAGTACAGACCTCCGATATCTTCGACGATGCCAGTGAACATTGTTGCTGCGATTTTCTACGATGTGCCTTTACTTCTGGGGATGAATTGAGACTGCCGAGTTTGAATGCCCAGATGAGGTATAATGAGGATGAGTTGTGAGGTGAGAGGTTGACTGAAGCTTTCGGAAGCTCTGGGGAGGGAGCTGTTGATGCAGTTTACCCCTCCAAAAACTCCCCACTTTCTGCAACGGGTGGGCACTGTCCGCTAAGAGCCGCCGCAACAAAGACCCCTTGCATTCCAACTCTTCTTCGCCTCCTTACCCTCTCTTTTAGTCAATAGGATTTTTTTCTCTAGCGTTGGAATGGTAATGCAGGTTTGTTGTTCATTACGGACGAATTGTAACCATCGTTGATTGCTGAAGCAGCCGTTTCTTGCTCATCTCCCGCGCCTTCCAAGGCGTTCTAAGTCGCTTAGTATGAATTACTAAGCTTCACTGAGCCCGCTAACGTGGTTGAGACCCAGTGGGTTTTCGCACGTCCACCCGCGCGGCTTGGGTGGTGGGGGCTGCGGGCATGCCTGATCACGTCGATCGAGCGGTATTGGCTGACGCAACTGATGCCCTGATTTCCATGGCGGATTTGCGTTGGAGAATGCAAGGGCCTCTCATGATGTCCCCTATGTTTTTCGGTTTCGACCATCGTATTCGGGCATACCAGGTTTTGAGTTTGTTGCATGTCAATGCAACGGCTTCAACGAGTGTTCAAAGATGCAAATGGAAAGTTGAACGTTGATGGATAGGGTCAACACGTGTGTCGCTAGAACCTCTCATTCGTCACTGACCTGTGTCATCGGCGGTCTATCACTTACACAGCATGACCAAGGATATGCAGGTATTGAATAGCAGCTGATATTAGCGTTCAGTATAGTTGAACCACTCAAGGCGAGCAGACCTGTTTTTGTCAATGCGAAAATTGTTTTGCGAGCAGTATATGCACCTAGGCTGGTCGCGAACAGAAGTTGAGATTGATCCAGGATTGGTTATTTATAAAGGCTGCGGCCTCGTTCTGTCAGCGAGCAAACCGTATGGGGATGCTGATACTTGGCGGAAGTTTACCAGCTTTCATAGGTGGCAAAGGTATGAAGCATTTAGACAAGGAAGTGAGACAAATCACGAGAAGTCTTGGTTCTTAGACGTCTGAGAAATGATCTATAAGGACGAAATGTCGCATATTGTTATATCTGTAGTGTTGTTTTGGGGTTCACTTGGCACCAGACTTGCTGCTCAAGGTAACTTTGCCATACCTGTAGAACACAACAAGCCTGCGACTAAGCAGCTCAAGAAAACATGCGGGAAAAATATGCAGCATAGTTCTTTGTTTGGAAGCCTAATACAGTTGTTGGAAGTAGGAGAATTATAGCAAAGTCAGTGCCTCCATGCTCTAGTAACTGGCATACTATTGATGCGTTATCTCCTCGCTGTCCGTCTAACACTAGTTAAAACACCCCGGCACCGTATCGACGAACTTAAACTGTTCGTCTTTGGGTTTCTGGATACCGATTATGTCTCGTCCTGCTTGCTGTCTTGTTGGTGATGGCAAAAGAACTGTTTGTGCGAGAGCTAACATGCCAGAGTCTTGCAGCATCATCGAGTATGCATTTGAGTAGGCATTCGACTATGCATTAGACCCATATTGTAAACAAAACTATGCTAGCTTATTTAATCCGAAACAGTCTATCAAAAGAAAGTCTTTCACAAGCCTCGAGGAAAGTGTCTAGTTGAGGTCGGCCCTGGGGATTGCTCTCTCAGCCCGCTTGGTTTATGTGATTCCCAATCTTAGGGATGAATACCCCCTCTGGACAGGTACAATCTGGAAAGTTTGATCTGAATTCTAGAGAATGTTTGCTTTTTCCTGCTCAAAACAAACAAACATGTTGGGCGTTGTGATGGGTACAGGCCAGGTGGTGGCATGAAGGGACCCCTACGAAGACCCGACATAAACGTGCCAGCTGTAAGCCCAAGCTACTTGCAAGAACGACACCTCATATATTCTCGTCATGAGACCACCTGTGTTTTTTCTAGTCTAGTTTCTATATAAATGTGAATAAAAAACCAATCATCAAATTCGAGTTTTAAACAAAACCACATTCCTGTAGTTGGTGGCCATATCTGGGGATAGATCACCGCCAAGGACAATAATGTGACCCAACTGTCACCACGAAAGATTACATCACTCAAGCATACTCATGTTTATTATTGATTCACGGCTGGTCTTCAATGTCTTGTTGTTCACGAGGACACGCCCTTAACGCCCCCTTGGATTAACATCACGACCTGGTGTAAGTAATCCCGAGCTTAATTATTGAACAACGCGATGGCGAAGGAGATAAGCGGCGCGTAAACTACCAAATAAGCATGAAAGTATGCAAATTTAAAGGTCGATATCATAATTTGAAAGCTCTTTTTCATGAGATCCTTGAAGACAGACGTAACTGAAGGAGGTGAGGTCACCGCAAACAAGTATCAACTGACCCTTTTACAACCCCTCACCCCCTTACACCAGACTCTGCTGAGGGCGAAAGAAAGATGTCCATTTTTACTGCTGACATTCGGCCCGGTTTCTGGAAATTCTCACCCGTTACCCGGAATCACTCCTCCTACGCAGTCAAAATGCGTATTAGTATTCCACGTCGTCATGTGCGCCTCAGTAAACATTAACCCAGTGACCAAAGGCGACTAGATTAGTGTAAAACCAAATCAAAAAAAAGTAGGACCATAAAGAGCACAACTAGTAAACTCCTCGTGTAGTACTTCGGAACATAGTTCCGCAACAACATCGTCCCCCACCACACCAAACACAGTCTCGAAAACATAAAAAGGCAAAAAACATACAACACCAGGTATTCGCTGGTCGTCACCGACCCAACTACTAATCCGGCCCTCACTGGCTTATCTATGGGAGAGCGGACGGGATCCCGAGTTTTCCAGTGGGTATGGTCGTATGTGACAATACAATTGTGTGAGGTTGGTTATAAAGTTCAGTAGGCGGGTTGCAATTGACATGACATATGCCCCAACAACAAACATTTCGAACGAATTTGATGAAACCTCAGTTCCATCAGTAGTAGTTATTAAAGAGCATCACAAGAAAAGATGGAACATATAAACCTCTTGGTCATAATAGATCATATGCATTTCGGCGTCTGATGCGCCATGCTAAGTATGTTTCTACCCAAAACCCAGCCCGAAGTGAGAAAGCCGCCTATCAAAAACTCCAAACCCATTTTAATACTCCTCATTATGCAAATACTTCTTAATTACCCTTGCTTCTCGTTCAGATCTGAACTGCCGCCCTTTCTCTCTTCCACCATCGGACTGGGCTGAATCTCATCCTTTCCGCTTCTTTCCCTTGCAGACGAGGCCTCGGATATCGTGGCATCATTGGCCATCACACCTCCGGTGGTCTTGCCCTTGTGCTGGCCCTTGAAGTAGCCATGCATCTCCTCAGAGAAGAGGTCATGGTCCTCCCAGACCTCGGGCTCCTTCTCGCCCTGCATCGCCTGTCTCTCCTCCCATTCCTTACGCATGTCCTCGATCTGCGCCTTGTGGTCCTTCTCAGCGTCGTAGTACTTGCCCACGCCACGAATGCGCTCCCACAAACTGAGATGCTCAGGGTGAACGGCAACGCCATGGTACTCAGACTCCTTGCCGCTGCGGATGTAGGTCCAGCGACGTTCCTGTTCCTTGAGATCAAGACCGGTGGTATCGGGAAGGAAAAGCCAGGTGAGGAGCATGCCGGCAAGACCGAACCAAGGAACAACGTAGAACTTGGTCTGGGTGTCGATGTAGTTGTACAGGACGGAAGCGAGAAGAGCTCCAGCCTTGCCAATGCACGCGGAGAAGCCGTGTGCAGTGGCACGAATAGGGGTGGGGAACACCTCACCGGCAACGAGGAAAGTGACGGAGTTGGGGCCGAATTGGTTGAAGAAGGAGCTGATGAAGTACATGGCCTGGAAGGCGCGAATACCAGCAGGGCTCGTGTAGTATTCGTAGTTGAAGGCGGGGATGACGAACATGATGAAACACATGAGGAAACCAACTTGCTGCATCATCTTGCGGCCGTAAAGCTTGTTATCGATGAACAGGGAGGCAAGGTAGTATCCAGCGAGAGAGACGACAACGTTGATCAAACTCCACGTCCACTTGGTCAGGAGGGAGTCGGGATTGCTAGAAATAACAGAGATGAACTGGCCCTGGAAAAGCTTGTTGCCATAGAAGAAGACGTCGTTGCAGAACCATGTGCCAGCGGTAGCGAGAAGACGACCGCCAAAGTGTTGGCAGCAGTATTTGAGCGCATTCACGTCGTATCCAGTGACGCCCTGCTTCTTCTTAGCAAGCGCGAGCTGCTGGTTCGCGCGAGGCATCTTCCAGATTCTGTAGTAGACGAGCCAGAGAGTACCGATGGCGGGGAAGGCGAAGGAAAGACGGAAGGTATACTGGGCGGCGGTGGCCGAGTAAGGGCCGTCGCCGGAGCCGCGGTTGAAGATGACGAGCAGGACGATGAGGACGACCTGGTTGACAAACTGACCCCAGCCCTGCATCAAGAACGCCATGGTGACCTTGCGGCCACGGTGAAGACGATCTTCGCGAGTAGAAAGACGACCAGCAGTGACGGAGTTCTCCATAGATGAGGTGGCAGTGATGGGATATTCGCCACCAACACCGAATCCGTAAAAGAAGAGGGACCAAGCGTAGAAAATGACCCAGCCCTGAAGGGAGCTGGCCCAGCTACCAGTCAGTAGCAGCAAACCGACGAACATGATGGCAGCATCTTGGATGAGACCCCAGCGGCGACCAATCCAATCTCCAATAACCTACAACAGGGTCAGCTTTCGCTTTCAGGTATGGGAGTTCAATGACTTACACCAACAGCAGCCTGACCAATCATGATACCAACAATCTCGAGGTAAGTGACGGAGGCAACCCAGTTCTGGCTACATTCCGTATGCGCCTTACCCCAGCATTGAGGCCAAGCGGCGGCAAAAAGAGGCTCCAAGTTGCCAATTGAGAACAAGACGTAGCCCTCAAGACCGAGGCCGGCACCGGGTAGAACAGCATTGCGGAAGTACCAGGCCAAAGGAGACAGGGGATCCTTCTTCATCATCTCGCCGGTAGCCTTGAGTTCCCTGGCGGCCTCGTCGCGGTCGACCTTACTGACAAAGCTGACGCGCTTCCGTAAGGGCAGATCAGCCCAGTAGGTGCCGTCGGGGGTGTAGGAATCATCGGGGCGCGTCACATGACTGAAAATCTGACGTTCATACTCGGTGGTGTGCTCCCGGGGGTAGTCCTCATGCTCCTGGCCTGTCTCCGGGCCGTGAGGCACGGGGATGACGCCAATGGGGGCGGAATGGCGGGGGTGATGGGTCGTCATTGTGGAAGACGCTGGCTACCTTGGGTCGTGGGGTGAAAATTGGCTGAGGACGACCCGAGTAGATTAGGACAACAGCGGCGCGCTGATGTCGAGGAGAAGGGGACCGGTAGCAGTATATAAAGAGTCCTCAACTAAGAAATTGCGGAGAGACAAAGCAAAACCTTGAACTTGGGATGGGACCCAGAGGGCAAGGTTCACTAGTCGAATTGCTTCCTTGCTTTGCTTAAGAAAGCAGGCGAGTAGGGAAGGGGGGTGAGAGGAAGAGGTTGATGACCGCTACAGAAGAGGAGAGGAAGGGAAGACGAGATCAACGGCCAAGAGGGACGGAGCAGATATAAGCAAAGTTAGATCCCGGGATGGTGGTGGGCTCTGTTTAGGCGGGCACGTCTGCCCGTTTAGTCTCTCGCCTCACGACTCCAGGTGGAAACGGGCGAACACCGACTCTCTGGCCAGTCTCCGTTGAGAATTGGATCCCGTGCTTGGCGTACAGCGGGCCAGCAGTTCTGAGATGATCCCCTGTTCAGATTATCTTCTAGGACCTCCGGAAGACTAGGCTCGAATCTTTTTCCGGGTTGGGTGACCGAGGGGGACGCAACTAGTCGTCAGAGATTGGAAGGGGCAACGTGATTTACAACAGATACAAGCGATAACAGTCAATGACAGAGCTACGGCAGCGAGATTTTAGGTGTAAGCGCGCGTTGGACCGGGTGATTTCGATTGACAGACCAAAAAAAACCCAATGGACGGGGGAACGATGTGGACGAGGGCGGAAGCCGAGGAGGGTGTGGCACTCTGTCCACTTACACCCCACCGGGGGTTGGGCTGGGATCCATGACATGGTATGGGATGGCAGTACGCTACATGGCGGTGGTAGTATCCGTACCGATTGGTAAAGTACTGTGTGGGAATAGAAAAAAAAAAGAGGAAAGACTTAACGAGGATGGGAAAAGGACCCTTTGCATTTGGCATGGGCCTGACTTGCCTCCCGCGCCGTCAACTTGAACACAGAGGCCCCACTTTTGACAATGTGAGCAAGTGGTCTGGAAGATCGATGGATACGTGAGGAGAACAACGTAGTGTAAGAAGAAGGTAGGAGGCGAAAGGGCCGTTGGCGAGTGTGGCAGTCACTTGAAGGTAGCTAGAAACTCGAGAAGAATTTCAGTAATACGCGGTTCTGACGCCATGTCTTGTTATTCCGCTGGATTAAAAAACACAAAAAAAAAAAAGGAAAAAAAAAAAAAAAAAAGGTCATACTGGCGTGAAAAGTGATACAGGGACCATGCTGCGGTAAACCCGAAAGCGGCGGGGCGCACTAACTTTACGTCACCTGGTTGGGCCAGCCTGGTTTTTGACCGACCGACCGACTGACCACACAGCTGAGAGGAAAGAATATGTCAAATCCGAGGGAGTTGCCAGGCACATCTCATCGTTCCAATTTAGGGCGAGGAAATACGTACCCTTTCTTTTTCCCTTGCAGCTAACGCGGCTAGCTTTGACAGTCTACAAGTTTTTGGAAGGCGAGCGAGGCGAGACTGCCTTAGTCGTTAGTAACTGCAAATCCTCACGTTAGTAACCACAATTGTGTCACTGCGAAATGAGCCCGCTCCGTCCGTGAGAAAAGGTTATCCAAAGTTCCCTCCTCTTAGAGATCCCGGACCATCTTTTCCAAATGGCCAGGGGAGGAAAGTCTGACGCTTCAATTCTACTACGTACTACTACTACAGCATATCATATCCATCACCATCTCACCAGGACGAAGTCGAATCAACTTGCTTCCCCTTTTCCCCTTTGCTTCTTATCCCGAGACGTCTCCTATTGGCTTTACCCAGGCTATCCCAGCTTACCCCTCATGACCTCTCCTTTCCCACCAATATCTCTCCCCTTGAAGTGTTCTCTCTCTCTCCACGGCCGCGGTCAAGAGCTTCCGCCCCAAAAAGTCCAGGCTGTCCATGTCCTCCTGACTCGCCCCGCCAATTGCGGCTGCAGAGCCCTTGCCCAGGTCTTGCAGCATCTTGCTACTTGCATTGGCCTGGCCGTTTCGCCCCTCCTTCCACCCCAGAATCACTGCATACCCTGCACATACGACGCACAGAGAAGAAAAAGAAGGACGGGCTGATCGACCCTTCTCACGCGGAAGGTAGCTTGAACCAATCCCTCCCCTGCCTTCACCGCGGTCTTCACCAGGCTTCCCCATAAAACATGCCCCGCTACCACCACATATGCTATGTAGTACTCATCCCCCTAGGTGCCTAGCTCCGTAGAAAGCTGCTAGCCCCCCACTCTACTGCCACTGTGCCGCGCTCGCCCCTCACCCTCTTCGCAGGAGGTCCCCGGGCAAAGGAAAAAATCCATGGGCGAGCTTAAAGGAATTACGTCTCAGCAACAGCCGGCGAACCACCGACGACAGCGGCAGAGCTGTCACAGATCAGCCAATCAGATGCTCTGAAACAGAAACGTGCCAGATCTATTGACTCCCAGTGAACCCGCACTTCCGGCATGGCTTCTTGACTTTTATCGTGGCTGCATGACCTGCGTTTGATGAATGTTGTCGACTCGAAATATCGTACGGCAATTCCTGCGCCAGGAGGGAAAAATCCATGACGTCCCGCTAATCTCACCCATACCAAGCCATCGCCAAGCCTCTGCAATTTTTTGCTGCTAACCGCTGCCAGCAACTGCTCGCGTGCTCGTTTTCCTCATTCTCCTTCGCCAAGCTGCCAAGCCCAGGTGATTTTCTCAAGCCACGACCATTGGCAAAGCTTCTTTGCACACTCGTGTAACGTCGCCTGTTTTTTTTTTTTTTTTGCTGTCGTTGTTTTTATTTTATCCTTTTTTATTGTTCGTATGCTGTGCAAACTTACCCACCCTTTCAAGTAACAAACTGTGAGCCTCATAATTTCCATCTCGGGTTATGACTCGAGCTTAAAACACATTGCAAGGAAACATCAGTCCAAATTTAAAAAGGAGGCCCCTGCCATATTAGAGAGTGTGTGTATAGTTCTCAATTCTTGGATTCCGTCATCATGGGGGAAAAAAAAGACCGCTGTGATCAAGAGGCATTCGGTGCATATGGGATGAAAACTGCACCTGAACCAATAGCTGCATGAACCGAGTTCTGTAAACTTTTGACAACAACAACAACAACAACAACAACACCACCACCACCATTACCGTTACTATCTAAGGAACCACCACTACCCCCCCAACATTGTTCCCCGCTTCCCTCCCTGCTCTGCCTCTATCTCTATATCTAATGTGGCGAGTTGCAGCTTATCTCGTGCCATAGTACTGCCAGCTCAACCCCTACCCCTACCCCTCCGTCTCGTCTACTCTATGCCGCATCCAACCTAACCTCCATCGCCTTCAAACAGCTTAACCCTCACCTACCTGTTTCGTCAGCCCTTGCTGTGCCCAAATGAACAGAACTCCTAACTGGCTCAAACTCCCCTAAATCCCGCGCGGCTGGTCGTTTATACCCGGTTCAAGCATTGCCCTGTCACCGACTACACACGCATGTCAAGCGGTGTGTGCAAAGCTGTAAAAGGTAAGCCTCGGGAAAACCCCAAAGACTCAACCCTACCGAAGCAAGCTCCCGTCTTCCCCCCCTTGAAAAAACCACCATCCAGATAGAGGCGACTGAAACTCACACGACTCGCCCTCCCTCTGCATACCATACAGTACTCCCGCAGATACAAACACACGGAGATCGAGACGGGAAAAAGGAGGGAGGAAGAGGAGGAGGGGGGGGTGCGGATGAAGAGGAGACGGACCGGACCATTCTCGTCCGTGCTGGCTCATTGCGTATTCTCAGAACCCTGTTCTTCTTCGGACGACTCCAGCCTCAAAATCTATGTAGTCTAACCTTGCCGTGCCAAGCAGATGTATGTGTATGTGTGTGTACGTGCGCGTGCGTGTGAAGTAGACAGTTCTCCGTCACCATTCCCCCCTCCTTGCTCTCTAAGTCTGTCTCTCTCCCTATCTTTCTTTCCCCCCTCTCCCTCTCTCGCCACACAAAATACACTTTACACTTTACCGCACTCGAGTTGGATATACACAACCGTGACAACCCACCCGCAGAGGCCTCGTCTCTCCAACAAGGTTCCTCCTCAACTACGACTGACATACTATTTGGTACCTTCAACAGCACGCGTCCGAGTGCCACCCGTGACGCGCTAAGCCACTTGTTCTTACACATCTTCGCCACTGTTGTAACACTTTGGATATTGACTTGGTTCGTTCGTTAAACATATGACCGAAGCGAAACCTCTCTGTAGGGGCCCCAGAGTGCCAAGAACGCCTCCATGAATGAACATCCCTAATCGTAAACACATCTTAGACATAGCAAATGATAATCCTTTCCCAATGCTATAGGTAAGTTCACAAGCAGAATGATGAGACCGCATTTTGGTAATTTCTGTATTCAGTCTTCTTTTTTTTAGAGGGCCTTTTGTTTTGATTCAGTCGTATTTCCCCCCTTACTTTTATGATCGAATAGATCGAGTATAGGAACCAAAAGCGCAAAACACGTTAGGAATAGACCTCCCCCTTTTTCTCAACGCAGCAAGCCTGACTTAAGAGTACTCGTGAACTCAGCTCATCATTTCACCCAGCCTACATCTAGACGAGGAACCATGATCAAGTTGCGGGCATCCAGCCATGCCGCGTTCAGAACCCCGTATCCTGCCCTTCTTTCCATGTACCGATGCAGTAGGGAGTAGAGAGCCTAGATTGTGTAGACACAGAACAAATATAGAAACAGAAAAAAAAAAAAAGAACGAGAAAAGAGAAGAAAAAAGTCTGCTGATGAATGAGAGTTGGCATGCATGGCGATGCAACAACTTCACATCTACCCTACAATGCAAATGCAACAAAAGAAAGATAAACCCCTCCCATCGTTCGTTCCATCCCGCATTCTCGGCCTGTCTTTCAATCGGAGGGGCTTCCAGAATCGAACCACTCCACTTGAACCGTAAACGCCAAAGCCGTCCAAAGTCCGTGTTAACTCAAGGAAAAGATGCAGTCTGCGTGTCGCTGTTGTCCCCACTTAACGCCTCGCTGTCGGGAAAACAATTGAAGAAAATAAAAGAAATGTTCCATATCTGTCGGAAGCTGCATTGCCCAAATGTTAATGGGCATCAGCGGTGGGTAAATTTATGCACCCCTTCTTGTCTGTAGCAAGTGCCTTCTTACCCTATTGGGTACTCATCACACCAGACCTCTCCAAGGGTCGCGGGGTGGGTTCCTCGTCCGCATTGTCATCTCGATTTGCCGGCTGCGGTCTCGGGGTTTCCTCAACATCAGGAGCAGAAGCCTTGTCTTCTGCGCCGACTCCGCTGTCCGGCGGCGTTCGGGCCGCAGCGCCTTGCAGGTTCTCGAAAGACGTCACATCCATCTCTTTCGAGGGGGTCACAACCTGGGTGACAGGCTCCGGTGTGCTTTCTGAGCCGATTGTAACGCTGTCATGACTGTCGGCTCTCATCATTTCAATACCTAGCTTTGAGCTAGGTAGCAGTGGCTTGCCTCGGAAATGCTTCTCTCTCCCCAGACCAAGCTCTTCGTCCTCATCGTCGGCTGAGTCGGTGCCCTCCGCATGCCGCTTCTCCATGTGCTCCTTCCTTGCTTTCAGTTTCTCCACGGAGTGTTGAGAAGAAGACTTTCGGGGGTGCTCAAGCTGCCCGGGCGCAGACTGCTGCGTAAGCAGCTGCGGCAATGATTTCGGGGAGTGGCTGAGTTGCGTGGTATCATCTTCCCGAATACCCAACCCGCCTTCTTCCCAGTCTCCTGTTGCTTTCCGGCTTATGACCATCGGCACGTCATCTGTTGACACCGACTCAGAGTCACCAAAGAGACTAGAACTGATGGAGTCCTCACGGCTCGAGGTAACCACGCTGCTACCCGGACGCCCTGCAAACAAAGATGAGCTAGAGGTCGGGCTGTCATCAGTTCGCGAGCTCGCCTGCCGAAGGCCAGACGGAACCGGGTGAGGCAGTGACAGGGACATTGAGTAATTGATGCCAGGCGATTCCGGTTTCCATTGGCAGAGGTTTTTCAAAACTTCCGTCAGCTTAGAACTGGAAATGGGCTTCTCAATCAAGGAATCGAAGTAGTGAGGAGCTTGCAGCTCTTTGAGGTAAGCCGTAATGGCGACAATGGGCGTATGGGAGTTTGTGTTCTTAGTCTCCCGAATCATTCGTGCTACGTCGGCGCCATTAATCTGAGGCAACCTATACTCCAAGAAGATGATGTCAAACTTGATCTCGCTCATAGCAAACCTCACAGCTTCAGAGCCGTTCGCCACCGAGATGGTTCGGCAGCGAAGTTTCTCCAAAAGCTTCTCCATGACCATTCGGGAGACGGGGTGGTCCTCGCATATCAACACGTCCAAGGGTCGGAACATCGGTCCTCCATCGAAAGCGATTTGCGATAGACGGCGAGAACTTTGACGGCGGCGTTGGACCCGAAGTAGCGCATTATGCTTTTCCCCCTCGTTATCGGATGAAGACGGCGACATGTCGAACACTTGGCTGCGGCGGTTACGATGATGAGCCAGAACATCAGAAGTGATCGGACTACCCTCATTAGACTGCGAGCCTACTGTCAGGGATCTTGATCGGCTACTTGAAGCCTGGCGAGGCGTTGACACGATTTTCTGAGGTGAAAGAGCAAGGGGGGGTGGCGGTCCCGCGCCGCGGCTCTTCACTGGGGAGGCAGCTGCGCTCGTCGCTGCCTTTTGTAAACTTGGGGGTACACGGGGTATCTCAAGTGACGTTGGCTGATGAGGAATGTTCGATTGGTGCGAAAGACTCGAAGAATTGCTGGATGCTTTGCGCCTGCCTTCGCTTCCCTGGCCAGCAACGAAGGATACCAGCAGCGGCGAGGAAGGTTGGGACGCCCTGCTGGGAGACGAGTTGGCATGACTCAATCCAGAGGGCGATTGCGGCCGGTTCTTCGCATTCGAGATTGTTCTTTGGACAGGATTTGCCAGGACAGGGCTACCCTCTAGGGCCGGACCGGGTGATGTAACACTTCCACCAGGGCTTATGACGGTCGGTTTGCTCTGAGCTGCCAATGCTTCTGCGCGGAGTTTCTGGATAACATCCTTATTGGCTTTCTCCAGTACTGGAAGGTTCTTGAAGGTAAAGCTACCGAAGTCATCGGCAACGACGGGCTCACTAAGCCGGCGGCTCTTCAAATCTCTGACGTGAGGAGGGATGTGAAGAGGCATCAGATTGCGCTTGATCGAGTTGACCTGAGATCGAACACGGGACAATGCATCGTGTGGTCTGTCAGGGTAGTCCGACCCAGGTCCGGATACAGGCGGAGACAACTGGTCCTCCATCTCCTCAGCGAAGGACTGGAGAACAGCTCCACGGGCGTCGAAATATTCGGTATCCTCAGGGTGCTCGAGCTGTGGCACAAACTGAGCCTCATCCTGGAGTAGAGTCTCCCAGTTGATGCCCTCAAACCAGGGGTGGGCGCGAATTTCATCGCCACCAGTAGGGAATTTCTCTTCTCGGTTAGCTCCTAATCGGGATTGAGGTTCCATGCAGAGTAGCTTGTTAATGAGATCTTTGGCCTCATCAGAGATTGGCTCGCATTCGTTCTCGTCAGGCCATTGAATCTTGCGCGCCAGAATGTTTTCAAAAACTTGTTCTGCTTCGTCGGCATGGAAAGGCGGGAAACCGTATAGAAACTCGAACATGATGCAACCAACAGACCACCAATCGCTGGTCTCATCTTGTTTCTCGCCTTTGATGGTCTCAGGGGCCAGGTAGTCCGGGGTTCCAACGAAACGGCGATTCGTGTCTTCTGGGTCAAACAAGGCCATTGGTGGCGGCATCATGGAAGACTGCGGAGGAGTGCTCTTGCCTAGGAAGTCAATGCTGGATTGAGTGCTAGGGTGGTGCAGATTCGTCAGATCCGGCGAGGCTTGCCCGGTGCTGTCAGTCGCTTCATCGTGAGGCGGTGGTGGATTGTGAGCTTGTGTGTTCGGCTCTTGGTCGTTCAAAGAGAAACTGTTGAGCATGCGAGCGAGCGTCTCACTACCGCCACTGTCGCTGCGATGGCTAGAGACGCGGCGGGCGTCGAGGCTACCCAAAGCGAAATACGAAGGCTGCCCGGCGCTAGATCCAGTATCCGGTGTCATCTGTGGTGTCATGCTCGGAGAATGCATGTTCCCATGGAGATCCAGCGAGGTAGATCGCGAAGATGCCAAGGACGCCGAACGGGCAAAAGGCCCTTGTTTGAGCAGGTCAGGTGTAGGGTCGACGTTCTGGCTGTCGAGTGCCCGTTTCTGCCGGCCAACAAGGCCCATACGCGATAGACCAAAATCAGTGAGCTTCAAGTGACCTTTTTGATCGATAAGGAGGTTATCAGGTTTGAGATCGCGATGAATGATGCCGCGGCTGTGAAGATGCTCTACGCCAAGGACCACCTCGCCGAGATATTTCTTTACCCAGTCTTCAGGTAGGCCTCCAAGAACCTTGATGAGAGACGCACAGTCACCACCATTGAGGTACTCCATGACAAGGTACAAATAGTCTTTGCTAGAAAATGTCCAATATAGCTTGGCGACGAAATCGCTTTGGCCTTGCCACATCATGATGGCACGCTCTGCCTTGACGTTTCCAACTTGGTTCTTGGCGACCATGTCTGCCTTCTTGAGCACTTTGATCGCAAAGTACTCACCAGTGGACTTCTTTTTGGACAAGTAGACGCTGCCGAAAGCACCTTTGCTGATAGGCTTTATGATCTCAAAATCTTTAATGGAAGGTGGTGCCGGTCGCGCTTGTGGCGGGGGCTGGTGAGCTGTCATTCTTGGGGACGGCGGTCCCTTCATCACAAACTCCGACATGGCAGCGGATGACTGTCTTCGGTGGTGGCTGATCGGAAGATGAGCTGGTGAGCTGAACTCGCTACCCGGCAGCAACGGAGAGGCTTCAGGAGATGTAATACCATCATGTGGGAAAGGGAAGTTGCGTGGTTTGATTATCCTAAGGGGAGATGAGGGCTGGGTGTTGCGCGAAGGAGATTCCTGGCGCCGAGGAGAAGATGTGCCAGGGAGAATGATGCTCCTGCGATGATGTTGCCTGGCGCTGGCGGCCCGGCGTAGGTCGCCAAACTCGGATATGGGTGAATCGGTCCGGGGGGGTTGTCTTGATGCCACAGAAGATGATCGGATGCTCCCGTCACTGTCTCCGGTATCACTCTCGAATAGTAAAGACTCTCGTCTTGACTCGCGAGCTGGCCCAGCAAGATTAATGCCTCCCAAGTTTGACCGTGGCGTCGGGCACTCTCTAGGGCTACTTGAGCGCGTAGATTCCACGAAAGATGTTGGTCGTGGCCTATCGAGGTTACTGTTGAGGCTGGCATTCTGTAAGGCAGCCGCGAGGGCAGAAGGGTTTTCGAAGGAGCCTTGGAAAAAAAGTTCTTCCTGGGCAGGTGTAGTACCCTCCTCCTCTTCGTCCTCGGTTGAATCACTCAGTCTGCCTGCAGCAATCCTAGCCGCCTTGCGCATGGCCTCGTCAATACAGTCTTGGACAATGACGGCGAACTCAATTCTAATGCGCTCGGCATACTCAATAATCTTGCGGTGTCGGAAAACTGCCTCAACTTTGGTCTTGGCAGCTTTCTCGGTGTCGGCACAGAGCAATGCTAGACCCTGTTCCTGTTCCAAAGTATTGGTGCTGGGCGATTGCCATTGCATGACTTGTGAGATGCGGGATTCTGACTGAGGTGACTGTGTCCTGATCTCGCCTGGATTTTGAGAAGAGGCTTCCTTGACAGCCGGGGTACTGATCTCGATGGCAGTATCGCAAAGATCGAGCAGCAGTTCAACAATCCTAGCTTGAGGGCGTCTAATTGCAAAAGAACGTGCTCGTGAGTGGCCGAAACCACTTGATCTTTCCCTCGACTGCGATACTGAACTTCCTGGAGACGACTGAGCTGATGGAGGAGGGCCGATGGGCATTCCCTTATACTCGGCCGCGGGGGGTGTGAGTTGGTCACCAGTCAATGACCGGCTTTTTCGAGCCTCAAGAGCATCCAAAACCCTCACAATCAGATGCCGGTGTTCTGTCAAACTGTCTTGTGCCATTTGTACATCCATCTCCGCCCTGTGCTCTTGCAAGCATAGATCGGTGTGTTTCTCAAACCACCACGGCGAAATTTGGCGCTCGCAAATGCGGCACAACACCGGTAATGGCGGCGGGTGGTTTTCGGGGTCGTCCACTCCGGACTCTGCAAGCTGTGTCAGGTAGCTAGCGAGGACCTCGGCACCAGATCCGAGCGAGTCTACAATGACAGCGGGCAGGTCAATCTTGATTTCCCGAGGCGCGATATAAGGGCGGATCATCCACATCGTCTAGTGCGCGAGGTGGTTAGCTGATGGAAATTCGTTCGGTGGAACAGCATAGTAAACTCACATGACTTTCTCCTCCCGAGACCCCGTCATAGACCATGATCCCCTGGGCTTCCAGGTCGATAGCACCAGGTGCGCAACCTTCGGGCTCATCGGTATCCGAATTTTGAAGGTCCTGGAGCGGAAGCAGTTTTGATAATGGGCCACATGCAACTGTGAAGCGCACTCGTTGGCTTCGCGAGTCATCTGACTTCATGGACTCGACAGTGTCTGCAAAAATAGTCTTGTTGTCGCTGACGATCAGGTCGGCAATAGCAGTTCCTTTAACCGACTCGGGTTGGGTGCCAATAACGTCGGTCCATGACGGGCTGACCCATCGAATAGTTCCGTCGAGGTTGAGATCGACAATAACGTTGAGAGTCTGCTCGGCAGCCTCACGTAGCTCTTCTCGTTCCTCTCGAATATCTTCGCTTAGGGATCGTTCCATGGCGCCGGCCTGTGACCGGAGAGAGGTCACGGCCGGGGGCGCCAGCATGTTGGGTTGTGGTTCCATGATTGGGAAGAGGTGGGCGAGATCCCCGATTGTGACGATACCATTGGCCGGTTTGCTTCGTCTCGGCGAGCGAGTACTGACTGAAAGGGTGTTGTTGCGATATCTAGGTGAAGGAAGATCAAGGCTTGTGCAGCGTCGAGAATTGGTTCAACCCGGTAACACCGAGTGAGAGCCAGTTTGTCTGGCAAGTGGCCAAGACTACAGGCAAGCCAGACCACGAGACATGACGGGTATTGACGTGAGCAATCTCGAGGCGCAGCAAGCGAGAGAAAGCTCAAGTAGTTGACCACAATGGGCTGCTAAAAGAGTCGCGAGGTGGAAGGCTAGGAACGAAGGTATTCGGCACGAATAGCCAGCGAACGTCGGGCAATCGGGGAGCCGGTATAGACGTTCGAGAGCTGGAAAAATGTAGACTTGACGTGACAGGGACGGGTCGTGATCGATCGCGGGTAGCAGTGCCGGCTGGCCGACTTGGACTGATTCAATGTCTTGTCCCAAGCAGGGGAAGGAAGAGGCCGACTCGAAAGTGGACGAGGGGAAAGCGAAGGCGAAGGCGAAGGCAAGGCGTGGTGTATGCTTGTCGGAGGAACAGAGCTCGCAGCGCAGTACCGTTGGCCGTACGGGATGCTGGACTGTGTGTCGTCGTCAAACAAAACACGGGAGCAGGAGGGAGAAAAAAAAGTTAAGGGAACGGCACACGCCAAAGTTCACGCCGCAGGGTGGCCCTTTGTGATGATGGTGTCAGTCACTCATTACCTTGCTCTTGCTCTTGCCTTAGCACTCTTGCCTAAAGGTCGGCAGCAGTCCAGTCAAACCGTGCCCAGAGAGCATTTAGCAGTGTCGCGTCCATATTATGGGGCCTTCAGCAGACTCAGTGGTCGGGGTGGATGGTTTAAGCGGGGAAGGGTCTGGTCTGACCAATGAAGCCGGGATTCTCTGGGAAAGACCTGGTAGAAGTACATGCATGATACGCTAACTATGTATGCGACACAACGTACCTCTACCCAATCCAGTTTAGGTCTGGTTCTGGTTAGCCTACTCGCTAAAACACGAGCGAGGGAGTCGGGGAGTCGGGGAGTCGGGTGGTGTGTGTGTGTGAGACTTTTGGGGGTGGGAGGGAAGGGAAGGCACGATGGTGGGAAGGGGAAGGGGCTCCTTCCTCCCCTTCTCCTCACACTTTTTGGCAGGAAGGAGGAGGGTGGAGGCGCCTACCCAAGCCAAGTCAGCCAGTCCGGTCCAGGGCACCCACAAGCTGCAACTACACCAGGGCAGGAACTATAGAGCAAGCAGGGGCACCAGGGCACGCCTCATACATTGGACGGTATTCCCGTCCGTACTACTAAGGTAGGTACCACGGTACTTGCTTGATCATGCTCTGCTGGCCTAGGCTGGGCGGGGGCCTGATCTGGCGGGAGAGGGCCGCGCTGGGAGGGACCACTCGGGGGTTTTGTCCACTGGAAACAAATCAACAACCTGGAACAGACTGCCCGGACTATGAGAAAAATGAAATAAAATAATAATTATTTACCGCAATGAGCTGCAGTTGTGTTGGCATGCACTGAATTGTCTTCCGCATCGCATCGCTTGCTTCGCTTCAATCAGTTTTCTTCAGTATCTTTATTTTCCTTTTCTTTTCTTTCTTTTTCCTCCTTCTCCCATTCTCCTCCACCCTGGTCCATTCGGCCCCCCCTCTCTGCCCGATTGTTCTGTATGCCTGCCACCTATTTTTTTTTCCTTCATCCGCTTACAAACCCGCTCATTTCTCACTTTGAATCCACTCTCCCACATGTGCCTGGACTTTCAAGTAGAATAACAGATGCCGGGTGACTCCGAAGGACAAGAGGAACAGGGGGGAAAGACAAACAACGGACTGCCGGGCGGGCAGCTTGCAAAAAGAAAATCAAGCGAGCACAGGACGAGAATCACCGCCATCATAAAGGCCCTGCCTGCAAGCAATCCAGCCTGCAGCTAGTCCGACACCAAGTAACACATCACATCACGCACGCATTAGTACCCCTCCCCTCCTTTTATGTTTGGAGATAATCGTACCCACAGGACACATAGGATCTTCAGCCTATCTATCTCCTAGTTGTCTGTGTTGCTTGGCCTTATTCTGTGTTGCCCCTTTTCTTCCTCATTGTGTTCATAGTGTCATTTCCCCTTGTATCGGATTCAACCGGACATTCAATACTCTTGGTCTGTTGTCCTTTGCGGCTTATATTTTGCGTTAGCCTTTTGCCTCTGACGCATCTACGACTGCTATGCAACCCCTCTTTCATCAACACAGACATGGCCGTCCGGATGGGTGTCTCAACACGTGAGCGAGAGAAAGGGCAGCAACAAAAACAGTCATTTGCCTTGGCACGGTCACATAAAAAAAACTTTGCTTCAATTGTCTAATTGTCACTCCAAGCTTTGGCTGGCTTGCATGCCTTGGACCTACCGTCCTGCACAAGCAAATGCCATCCATGAAAAGGGCATCACCAGCCGGCGCCTCCGCTCCAAGGGTCCAAATGCCATCCCACAAGCACGGCTATCCCATCTTCGGTCTTCCGCATCTCAGCCCCTAGCCACACCAACGCCGACACCGAGGCGGAGGCTAAAATGGAACCCATCAGGGCAGATTAACGCGATTAAAGCGTTATATTCTTAGGCTCCAACACAAACACCGAGAGCGGGCAACCCAATACTAGCAAAAAGGAACACATCTGCTCGATATCAACTATTCTGACCATACGTACACCTCAAACCATGATTTACCGCTCAAGTTGCCTTTTGAGGTTTATAGTACCTTTGGCAATGCTAATCTAATACGGCATGCTGAGGCGCCGCGTGTCGGCTTCAAGCACCAACATACGTCTGGGGGCAAGACATGGAACTGGCATTGGGGCTTCCCGCCCCCCAGCCCATGCCATCATGGTCAGAGACAGTCAGCTGGTCTCCCAATCCCAGCCGCTTTCCTGCAGCCGGACGACGCCCACACCCTCACCACGTTTCTGTGGCTATGCTCATATCCCGCCGTGACACGGAGCAACCTCTTGGTGCGCGCTGCTTATTATATTCCGTCACAGCCGCGGCACTCCGGCACCTGTATCTGTTTAGACGTGTCTAAGGAGTGGGAGCCGCCCCCGTTGCCCGCTTTGATTTTCACGCAAAACGGTTGTAATCCTCAATCTTGAGCCATGGGACCCCCTGCTGCTGGCATCCAAGGTAATATCCCTCCTTGCCTTCTGGGGCTGCGGATCGCTTTGAACCACGCTGAGATCGTCGACAATCCGACCTGGGATGTATTCCTTTGAGAAGAGTGCAAACGACTTGCCTTTGAACCGGGCCCCTTGGAATTGCGTTGATCTACCTTGAGCGTTCCCAGTCCGGGGTGTCTCAGGTTGAGAGAGTGTGGCAGAAAGATGGGACACAAGCCTCGAATTTGACTATCAGCTCCAGGATGAACGGGTTCAGCAACCGCCGTTCTAAAGCTTTGACAGACACAGGTGTAGATACTGATACGTACTGACGCGATTCGATCAAACGTGACCCTCTTGATCTACTCATTATCGGAACAAAGGGAAGCGGCAAACAAGGGATGTCACTGTTGCTATTTTCCTCCGCTGTGCTTAGCAGCTACATGTGTAGAATTGGGTTGCATAGCCTCCAAGAGAATGACGGCCAGCCACGGCTCGTCAAGAGGACTAACGCAAGCATACTAGACTGCATTGCTTCACATTTTACACCGTTCCAGGCAAAGGTTGCAAAGTTGCCATACAACTCTTGATTATCTTGATGCCAAGTAACAACCCCAAGAAGCGCTTCATGAGATTGGTGGGGAGTGTCTTCCATGGTGAAGACCACAACCGACAGCAACTCAGCAACCCTTTCGCACTACCTCTTATGTAATGTGCTCCGACTTGCATCTGCACCTAGGCCTACATATGTTCACTGGCAATCTTTGCGATACTCGATACGCAGTCAAGGTGTGTATCGTCACCCACCCATCCACTCTCTCTCACACACACCCCCCCATGAACACACACAAATATACTCGCCATCAGCCTTAGCGTGGTCGGATAGATGTGCAGTTGGCCCAAATGTTACAACGACGCAGCCAGCCGGCTCACGAGCGCCACCTACTAGTAGGTGTCATGGAACGGTGTGCAACATGTCAGCGGAGTAAAATGGGGTCTAGAAAGCCGAAGACAACGGCGAGGGGGAAACGTGCTCCACACGCCGCTCCGAACACTTAACACACATCAAATCGAGACAAGCTTGAGTAAGTTCTGGGAGCTTGGCTGGAGGTTGGGGCCACTGCATGGTAAACAAGGACGCTTGGGGCTGTCAAGAACGGTTTCGACTGTTCCCTTTACGTCAACCTAAGGTCCCTACTGTCCCTATGGCCCTTACAACGGCAGACGCTGGCACCACCATCTCACGACGTCCAAATGAGGTGACAAACCCATCCATCCATCCATCCATCCATCCAACCAACCATCATGCGCACCCACCGCCTCGTCTCTTCCTCACCGGGACCACTCAACTCACCTCTGCCTTTCATCGTGTCCCTCGTCCCCTCCATCAGATGTTTACTGGTCCCCAAACAGCATTGGCATGCTGGGCAAGTTTAGACCCCAAATCCCCAAAACGCCCGCGCCAAGTGTTCCGCCCGCATGATGTCGCCCATCTCGTCATCCCTGGCCTTCACGTCCAATCGACGACAAGGTGACGAAAGGATCCCGCGGACAGCACAATAGTACAAATGCATTCTCAACCACCGAATCGCTGCGAATTGTATTTCCCTATATGCGGGGGGTCCGGCAAGTGTGAGCCTTTGTGCTGCAGGCCAACACCCTCAACTCAAAATGCTCTGTTTGTTCACTTTTTATTTTTATTTTATTTTATTTTATCAACAATACTATTCTCAGTCTCGTGCCTTGTCTCACCGACTAGCTTTTGTCCATTCTTGTTACTTTCGTATACCTCGAGCCATGGTTCCCAAACACTCAATCGTCGTCGTCGAGAGTATCCCTGCCATCATACCCTGCCCTCCCAGCACACCGGCTTCCCGAAAGCCTCGCTGTCATTGAACTGGGAGCCAGCCTATTGCAATGTCTCCTTCAGGCGTACCCCAACCTGCGAATTGGGGGGGTTGCGGCGCCAAATCGAGATTCCTCCTCCAAATGTCCCATTCTATCGGCCGCCGCCTCTCTCACACAGCACCACTTTAACGTGTTGACTTCGGCCCCCGGCCCTGCGTCTGGCGAAACAACCGACTTGGCCAATGAAGCTCGCCCAGTCCCATTGAGCCACAAATCACCCTTTCGTTCTCTCTGTATGCAACGGCACAGCTTGTTGACAACTGATCTGGGGTTAGGGAATGGTCGACTTTATTCAAAAGTTCCTGTTCATCCTTAGCATAAACGCCTTGTCTCACTCTCTAGAGACATCGGGTCTAGGGTCTTGGATGGCTCGGAAATAGGTCACCGGTGTCGTCGACACTCGCCGCGCCTGTCATCCTAAGCATGCCAGAAAGCTCGGTCTCTTGGAAGTCTCGTTGGAAATTTAACCGTGTCCTTGCAGCAGCCCCAGACAGCCTTAACGACTCATGCGATTGCATTTCCGCGTCTGAGCAGGCGTCGTGCCGGTGGTCAAGAAACCTCTACCCCGGACCCATCCTTGTCTTGTGCCCTGTGCCACAGACCAAGCTCGGGTAACTTCAAGGTCGTGCCATGTCCAAAAGATCGCCGAGTCAGCTGCTCGTTTGCACGGCCATTGCTTTCCCAACTCTCCAAACTATCCAGGTCCCTCAACGGCGATGCGCTTATTATCGTGCTCGTCCTTTGGGGGGGAGAGGGGAGATAGGATCTCGTCCAAGCCCAAAAGGAATTGAGAACGGAAGCGGGTAAGGGGATTCTGAATACCTTGCTCAGTGACGGCTTTGCGATCTTCATGAAGGCGAGACGGCTAGTATGCCCCGGATCCGTGATCTACAGTTGCGGTGAGCCACTCTGATCAACATCTTTCTTGTGATCGGAAGGAATCCCACAGGTGCAGACATCAACAAGCGGCCCGTGTGGGGGTTTTTGACAAGCGTAGCGACCTCCATCTTTCTACTACTGCGCGGCAATTGACTTTGCCATTATGATTAGCGTATGCCGATGGGGCAAACACTTCACTACTGGAATGAAGCCGTGCTTCAGCACTTCTTTCCTACAAAAACAACAGGCAGCAAACTAAGTTCTTTTTAGGTGTCTGGCAACGTCACGTCGGAGAGGTTGCCGGCGAATGATCGCCTTTCTCAATGACCGTGTGGCCACCAATAACCGTTTGCCCCTGGAAAATTGCCCGCATGACCCTACAGTCGAAGTAACAGTGAAGCAGAGCATCCCGTTAAGGTTGTTTTCTTTTTTGTTGGGAAGCCGAAGCTTCAAATTATCGTTCCATCATACGATCTGATCTGGAAAATCCGGGCGCGCGGTGTGAATACCAACGCTTTATTGCTGGCGGCTGGGAGGTGAGGAAACACGGCCACCATGACACCGGACTGGGTCCAGTTCCGACTCACTTTTTTTTTTTTTTTTTTTTAGACCTCAGAACCAAACTCGTTATAAGTTTGTCTCAATCCGTCAGACACAGTCTGCCTTGCCATCCTGAGCATGTCTTTGAGGAGCGCCGCGTCTGTGGTGCCCCAAGGCGTCGGGTCCGTATCCTCGAATCAGGGCTCTAGCAATGAGTGTACGGATGTTTCTCCGTCTCAAAATGCCGCCTTTCTCTGGAACTGAGGGGTAAGAAAGGATGAATGACCTGCAATTTCACGCGTTTGTCTTGCTGCTGCATGTACAAGTGGCTGCAAGTCTGCGTCGCTGGCCATTCCAGTCCCGACCTCGACTTTCGGGTACCCAGCATTGCTTGTCTCTTTCAATCGCAAAAGCCGAGCTTCGGCAACCCTCTGTGTTGTAGTAGCATGAAGCAGAGAAAAAGAAAGAGAGAGGAAACGCGGCTGAAATGAATGGGGTGGCATGCCATGGCGTAAGCGTGATCAAGTCCGAAAGTTCGGAGACACGGGCAGACGGCACTTGGGGGATTAACACTGTAACATAAGCATCAAAATTATGTTTTGCTGCGGAAACATCAGCAACACTTAAAATCCGCAGAACACCTTGCAACCTTCCTCTCCCGGCAGGCCAACCATGCCACCGAGTATCAGTGGTACGCTCATGACAGCAGTTGCCGCGGGAAGGCCCCTGCTCACCTCGACAGACAGCCCGGCGCCGGGCCCGGCCGTAGTGTCTGTTCCGGAGGGGTAACGGTAGTCTTCGCAGGCGTCAGGCACAAAGCTGACGGCACACCGTACAAGAGAGCCGGGCCAACACCAAAACCATAAGAGAAGTTTGCGCAGCCAAAATCGCGCAGGCCGCTCATGAGCGTGGAGCGGTCTTACACTGACCAGAAAAGAAGGGAAGTCGTGATGCTCCTGCAGTCTCACAAGATTCGCGTGGAAGATGAGAAGGACCGGCGGTCGTGGAACCTAGTAGTCGTCTGGAGAAGAGGGCTGCCACTGGGCCACGCTCAGAGGGCATCCGAGTGGTTCAAGATACCCCGAGGCAGCTATTCGATACTAAGAGGCGCGACAAGAACATTGCTAACGCGGCTAGGAAGCTCACGACATTTGGGAAGACGAGACTTTCGGAGGAGGAGGCTCGTAATCAGACGGAAGCAGAGGAACGGAGGAAACTGCCGGAGGCTATTGAGTGGCCAGAGGACGCGTTGCTGGCTATTGTCGCCGGACCCGATAAGTTCTCGCAAAGGGCATCAGAGAAAACTCAGTTACACAGACAGAGCTTAAGCCAAAGTGGCTCGACTGGGATGACGGGTCTACGAGAGACGGACAGTGTCGCGGTCTTGTCTGCTGGAACCCCTGCTGCGAGTTTATCCCCCATCTCTTCGGCTTCCCCATCGGACGGAACAGCCCGTCCATGGGCCCGAAGCGGTTGCCGTGAGGGTTGAGTCTATTTCGACCGGCAAGGGAACGGCAATTGCCGATGGCTCTCGCTGAGAATCTATGTCTGGGGTATATGCAATGCATATGTAGTCCGCCAGAGGGAAAGAGGGAAACACGGGGTTTCAACGGTTAACGTGCCACGACTGTTATGCCTGTTGTATCTTATTTGAGGGATGGAAAGGGTTTTGCGTTTACGGTAAAAGTTTCCGATTGGTATAAGGACGGTTTAGCAAGCATGTAGTTGACCTACAGCAAAGGCAGGCTCTGAAAGCAGAATCACGGACTGAAGTAGATGTTTTCCATGACCATAGAGAAATACAGCTCTCGTTCATGTTTGGTGGTCTATTGTGTTCACACGACCACGGCGCTTTGAGAAATGTACCATAGGAGCCCTTTGATCGAGGTTCCTCGATCAAAGGGCTTAGAACAATGCCATCAGATTTCCGGAGATAGTGAAAATGTTCTCGGACAAGAGACGTTGTTTGGCCCATGAAAATGGTTGTAAGCCAGCCCTGATTTATGAGTGTTGATCCAGCGAGAGTTTCGGCAAGAAGAGTCGTAGGGCTACACACTCGTTCGCCCTCCGTTTCTTGTCCGGAGTAGAGAAACATCGTTTCCGCTGATAGGGGGGCATTAGGCATCATCCTCCACATCCTTCGGGCAGAACCGAGATTTCGGAGCGAGGAGTATCACTAGCCACACTGCATCTTTCATATATATAAAACCAACTCACCATGGAAGGGACTTCAAGAACGGAAAACATATGCCGCTGTAGTCAAGATAGAAGCGGCATGGTTCTGTTTGCGACCCACGTACCAAAGGCCGTAGCTGGGCCCATACCAAAACATCATCATGTAACCCAACACAAGACCGTCACAATGCAACACTTCTGATATCTCAGCTGCACACACACATGATAAACATAGTCCACAACAACAACAAAATAACTTTGGGAGTGCCTCCGGAACATTTCAAATACCATACAAACCAATCGCCGCGGTTCCACCTCTTGAACCCTCGCCAAGGAGTCTCGTAAATTACCCATTACGGATCAATGACGATACTCTGACTGCTCGGAAAAAAAAACACACCACAACCTCCGAACCAGAACGCCCGTTTGTAATCTCTACTTTTCAAAATAACCTCCCGTGCGCGGAGCGGGTTCCTATCCGGTTGGAACACTCACGTTTGTTTGTGAGTCATGCTATACGGTATAAAGCCCAGCGGGGCCTGCCATTATTGTCTCACGGTACATCGTCTCTCGAAACATTTGAGCCGTTCCGACGACGTCCCGGTGCCTGGATACCAAGCTAGGGGTGCCTCGTTGACTGCAGGTGACATGGGAGCACAGTGAGCATTCTAAGCCGGCGCGGGCTGTGCGGGATGACACTGTGTGTTTTGATATGAGGCCTACTGATAACAAGGCCAGGCTACGGTTGTCTGGCATGTCACTGAGTTTGCCATGGAATACCGTAAAGTATCACTTGTCAAGGGCACGATGGCAACTGACTGTTCAATGGGAAGCATTGTTAAGCTATTTGATAAGACAGAGGTTCGTTGCCTGAACGGCAATTATATGCTGTCCCGGATTGTCATCAGACGTATTATAAGCTGTTAGACGTAGGAACATACCACGCTTGTTGGGCTCTTCATCTCTTCAACATGTAATGCCCAGCTAACTCTGTGCTTCAGATGCCCACTCGGCCTTCTTCACGTCCAGCCACTCGCCCTTTTCAACCCACACGTTCTCGAGCCACTTGGCGAGCTGCTCGTCATCCGCCGGCAGACTCTCAATGGGAAACCTGCGAACATGGACGTGAAACTTGTATCCCAGCCGCGAGCTCAGTCCGGGGACGCTGAGGGTATCCCACATGGTTGGCGCCGCATAGAAGTCGCCGCCCCTCTGGTAGGCAATCGTCACGTCGTATACTGCCTTGACATGCGGGGCCTTCCTGAGGTGCTGCACGGTAGTGATGAAGCCCTTTGTCCTGGGATACAGCAGGTGCTTCGGCTGCGGACGACCCGACTCCTTGCACCAGACAATCGACTGCTCATACTTTTTCTTAGTGAAGCGGGTGGCTTCACTGAAGCTGATCAGCCCTGTTCCCTGTTAGTAACGATCGTCCGTCGACGGACTCGGGCAGGTGACTAAAAAGCACTCACAAGTGGGCCATAATCTATTCATGATGCCCGAAAAGACTCTGTCGAGCTCATGCTTGTCCTTGGACCAGTTCCGGCTGACCATGGGCATGCCCATCGCCCACAAGCCCCAACCCAGGAACGGGACGATCCGCAGCTGAATCTTGGCAAAGTACCGGCACCGCCCGAGCATCCCAGCCTTAATGGCGAGAGCCTGGATCATGTAAAAGTCTGCCCATCCAACATGATTTGCGACTACGATGGCGGACTCGCCACGTGGGATGGCATCGCCGGAGAAGGTGATGTTGGCACCGTTGAAGCGCTCAAAGATGACCTGGATCCAGTACCACACCGTCTCGGCGATCCGCGAAGACGAATTATAAACGAAATTCGGGGCGAGCCACTTGAGCGGCAACTGGAGGGAGATGGCCATATCAGCCAGCAGCAACCAGAGGACCCAGGGGGCCAGGATGGCGGCTCCCCGGAGGTGAGTCAGCATATTGCCGTTGCCAGCCATGACAACGGTGACGGGATGAGGAAAAGCCGAAGTCGTCAAGGCACAACGAAAGGCCAACCCGAAAGCGAAACGAATCGGACTGTATTCCCTAGGCCGCGGTCTTGAGAAGAAAAACGAAAGTTTAAATTAAAAAAAAAAAAGAATAAAGAAATACCCTCCGATTTATCTGGGCACTCAAAACAAGACGATAGCCGTTATCCCTACGGAGGAAAAAGCAAGGAAAACAATGAAGTTGAACTTGTGGTTTCCGGCAGGTGAGGTTGGACGACGGTCAGCTTCTTTCCGGGGGTTCCATTCGGCGTTGAGTGGAATGTTTCGAAAGGGAGTCGCGTGCGCGTGACTTCCCACCACTCCAAAGAAGGGAGACAGCCAAAGTGTTTCTGGAACAAAGCTAGGGCGCGTAACGATCCGGGGTTCACTCGTCTCCGAGATTTTGCGTTTTTGACGTCCGGACAATATTTCTAAAGCTGGGCGAACGGGGGGCCGAGCATCTGTTCACACAAATTTGTTCACGAGACATGATTGCGACGGCCCCAAAGACGGAGAAAAGGAAACATAATACCGGCGATGGCTGGTCTCGACTAGCAAAGTTGTCGGTCCCCGCCGGATTTCCTTAGTGGGATATAGTATGACGGCATTGACTTTTGGGCAGAGATCCGTCGTCCAGCTTTGGGGGGGCGGCTGACAAACGGGAATGTTTAAACTTGACCATATGAAAGATTAGGCAAGTGTGTGCGCCGCCCCTCTTACTTTCGTTCTCTTTCTGCAACGGTGGAGCCAGGGTTCATTCGTCTGCTGTTGCGCTGCTCATCACATGGCACGGCTGCGGACGACCGGGTGAGATATCAGAAGCTGGCCCAGTGGGCAGCGAACCGGTTATTTCTACGACGAGCCGGTCTTGGAATTGAAGGGACGGCGGCACACGGACTGGTGCTCATGTGTCAAAAGCTGGCAGAGCTGGCAGAGCTGGCAGCACAGGCCGAGCGAGTTGGGTTTGTATATTGGAGGGAGGTGCGCAGGCCAGGGACGTTGGCCGGGAAGCCCACATTAAAGGCCCTCTTGGCTTTCCCAGCTCGTCCGATGTCGATGCGGCCATTGGGCCATCATCTGTACCGAGGCCTGTGAGCTTGGCGAGATCGCTGATCGCGTAAGAAATGGTTTTTGTGAGAGGCAAGATCGGAGATTCAAGATTGGATATTCGGGATGTGGATGCTCAGCTGAAGCACACGCAAGCATGATCGAGCTGGGATCCAATTCCTCCAGTAACCTGAAATATCCTGTTGTTGGGGAGGGTGGGAGGTTGGCACAGTCGTGGGGGGAAAAGATTTCTCTTACGGACGTATGAGGGAGTGTTGGATATTAACAGACGACTCTGTGCATCGCCGAGTCTCATGATGGCAAGACGAACGCCGAATGGCCGTATTTACAACAAGGGAGCGAAGAGACTGACGGACAGATAGGGAGCATCATATTTGTAAGGGGAGGCGGCCATACATGCTCAGGCTCGGTTATCGTATCGTCAGATGCTTTAAGCCGATAGACAACCTCGGACTTTGTCTCCGAAGTTTTTTTGCTATCGCTGGTGCTTTCCAGCATTTGACGGGGCCAGTAGCTGTTGTATTTGAGACGCCGAGTCAAGTAAGTCAAGCTACGGGAACCTGGATTACATGCCACCAGGCCGCTGGGGCCCACAGGGGCCAGTCAATTGCTGTTCCCAGGGGACCCTTCCACTCATCTTTGCCAGCAAACAGCGTGCTCCAGTCACTACCAGCGCAAAATACTACCCAATAGGTGTGTATCCGCATTCTGCCTAGCTAGCTACTGCGTAGTAAGGCATTTAACAGGTGGCTAGGCTGTTAGGGTAGGAATTCGTCACTTACACTGGCTGCCCTGACCTAGTCCCCTAAACACATGGGCAAATGGGAACCCCTCCATGTACCCCACCTGTGCCGAAGCTGGCGCACTTTTTGCAACCTGGCAGGAGCTCCTCCTCTGCTAGTCAAGCTTCTGGTCACCTACTGCGTAGCCACTCCGTGGACAGACTCGGCGGATGGGTTGATAGTCTGGCCGAACACGCATGCATCAAACAATGGAAAAGCTTGAAATCCTGTAACCTCTTTTGACCTTTTTTTTTTTTTTTTTTTTTCCTCTCAAATTTGATATGCATCTAAGCTGCACCCGCCTGCCGCGATCCATCCTTCAAACCCCTCCCTCCCCTTTCCCCTCTCCTCATGAAAAGTGATGGGTTAGATTAGATAGACAGTCACAGATGGTCACAGCGCAAGCGGCTCAGATAATAACTATACAGTACCAAGACTTCGCTGAGGCTTTTACCGCCTTTTCTGATCTGTGCCAATACTCCTCTCATCTGGACCATTGCTACCTGAATAGGTCTTTTCCTCCGAAGTATATAACGCACTTGGGCCAAAAATAAAAATACAATCAAAACCGGTTGGCATAGGCAGTTGGGAGTTCAAAAGTCAGGGTTGAGACCAACGCCGCGCCTTTTGACCACCCCCGCCACTGTCATACAGTACCGGCGCCAAAACCATAAATACAAATCATTCTCTTGAGGGGGGCCCCTCCTCTCCTCTCGGCCTCACCACGGTCTAGCAATCGCACGCCAACTAGACGACTGGAGCCATAGCCCTACCGGCTGACCAGATCGATAGGCTTGCCGCCATTCCACTTAATTTTGGGCGCCGTCGTCTTTCCTCAGGTACAGCATTGAGGCAAAGCAGACCTGGCCCAACGAGAATCGCGTGGAACGCCGATAATCCCGAAAAAGCAACCAAGTGGGAGTCCCTCGTCAGCGTCACGCCAGACCAAGCCAATACCGCCCCAATCGACCTGTGTTTTTCAGCAAAGGAAAAGGAATTCCAGTCTCGAGTCCAACTTTTCGTACTTTTTTGTCCCGCAAACCAACTCTTTTTTTGGGCCCAGCGCTTCCGACTTCCGTCGAATCTGGTGAAGGACAAAATCGAACAAAATACTCATCATTGTTCATACATTGCTCGCCTTCTAGTCACTGGTCTGGATTTCAACTTGATCCGAACGACGACCGACGGCTACTGGAACCCCGCGTTTCCCCCCCCTAACGCCCCCCTTTCTCCTCCCTACTTTTGTACCGCCGGTTCCAACCGTCCTTTTGCGGCTCGTACTACTCATTCTTCGAGAGAGAGAGAGGCTTGAGTCGACTCTACCCTGACTAAACCAGCTGGCTGCCTGTCCGTTCACCCTTCCTCTTCTCCGCTCCCGCCATATTGTCTTAGAAGAGAACGGTGGCGTATTTTCTTGTCATCTCGATTCGCGACATACATTAGCCACCACAAAACACAAAACTTACCCAGTCTGACAGGTGAAGCAAAGTGGTTGAATCGCACCCATCTCTGTTCACTCTGTTCACGGGCTGGTTTCTCCGCTCTGCCGTCATCCGTTCTCTCATCCATCGTCACCTCGGTGCTCCTAGATACTACTACGCCTCTTCCGCCAAATCCCTCCGGCTCTCTTAACCCAACTTACCTTACCGTGGTTCACTACAATTAGGTAGCTTCCGAGGAAGGAAAAAAAAAAAGAGGGGAGTTCTTTGCTTGCTGCAACCATCCAGAGACCAGAAAGCACGACATATTCTTCGTCTGAACTGCGTCAAACAAACCTAAAACAGGGCGGACCAGCTTACCATACTTTACCTACCCCGACCCCATCTTCTACCCGCGCCGTGCTCATCTCCCTCGCCGCGCCGCATTGTATCCTCAGACAGCTCAGACGCAAGAACCTGGTTTCAAGTGCAAGGGCAACTCGTTCTCAAATAACCGTATTCACGGTCCGGAGGTTGGCGCATGATACAAGCATCGATCGGCTCAATCATTTCCCAGTACACGTCCCTTTGTTCTGACGGGCAATAATCGCCTTCATCCAACTGCGACGCATTGCCAGGCGAACCGGGAGTCTGTCCGCCGCGCAGTCAATCGTCCCAGGTAAGCCCTCCAATCTCTACGGGTGCCATTTCTGTGTCATCGCTGCGCCTGGCGCCGCGACGAACTTGAAATAGAGGCCATCCCCGCTATACCTGCCTGGCGACGCGCAATACATCCACATGACGACATGAGTCGCATTACCTCTTTTTAAATGTCATCGCTCCACGGCGATTACCCTGAACGATAAGATGACTGACCTAAGCAACGTAGCTACCTATCGTTCTCCGCCGAACCAATCGTCGTCCCCGTCACGCAAGCAATCTTCGGGCTCGCTATACGAGAGGGCAGCGATGGCTTCCTCCTTATCCCCCGACCAGTACGGGAAGGCGCCGCAACAGCTACCTTACAGCGGCGGCTCCGGTTCCGGGGGCGGTGGCTCTGATCAAGACAAGAGCCCTTTGAGTTCGCTCAACCTCGGTTTTCTCAAGTCCTTGACGGAAAAGAGGACCACACGCGGTAAGGACTTTGACTTTTGATGCCAACGAGCCTAGATCTGACAATTACCTTTTGTAGATGGCAACCCGCCCAAGAGGAGAGGACCGAAGCCTGACAGCAAACCGGCCATGACCAGGCGACAAGAACTGAACCGCCAAGCGCAACGGTAAGCCGCGATCGCCTTTGCTGGCTGTCACTGCGACACATCGCAACAGTTACTGACAGCGCCATCTCCAGTACGCACCGTGAGAGGAAGGAGTTATATATCAAAGCTTTAGAAGACGAAGTGCTGAGACTAAAGGAGATCTTCAGCAACATATCCCAAGACAAGGATAAGATAGCCGAGGAGAACAGGCAACTCAAGCAAATCCTGGCTCAGAACGGGATCCCTCTGTCTCACTACGGTGATGACATCGTCAGTAACCCCAGCGTTGGCTACACGTCCAGCGCCAGCGTTTCCGGCCACAGCTACGGCCAAAATGCTTACACACCGCCGATGACCTCCACGACAGCGCCGTCGGTGTCGCCTTCGTCTCACGGTCCGTCTCACTCCCATTCACACGGCCCGCCCCCTCCCCTTCCTCAGATGGGCGGACAGCAGGTGCAAAACATGCAGGCGCAGAATTCTGGCAGAGGTGTGGACTTTGAGCAAGCGGGCATTGACTTCGTCTTAACGTACGATAACCACCACCCCTCGAAGGCATACCTTTCACCTCCCCCGCAGTGAAGAGACATTGTTCATACCACCAAGTCTGGTCACCACCAGGAGTCGGGTGGTGTGAGCGATCATGATCGAGACCAAAGTTAAAAAAACGGAAAGAAGGGCTTGCTAACGAGTGCGATTTTATCGAGGGTATGTACAGTCTCGAGAAACCCTGCATGAACCACATGCCCTGGCTACTAGAAAGAGCAAGCGAGACAGGCGGCGAACCCTGCGGCCACGCGCTGATGGCATCGTGCCCTCCTGCGCCCTTCCCCGAGCTGACGCCCGACATTCCATTCGGATACAGCAACGTCAACGGAGACTTGGACTCCCAGCAGAGGACGTGGGAAGTGAGCAAGGGCAGTCTCTCAGCTCTGCTGGACCTCAGCAAAAAGCTCAATCTCGACGGAGAAGTCACACCCGTCATGGCATGGGGCATGGTTCTTGGCCACCCCAGGGTCAACGAGCTTCGAGCCGAGGACTTCCAGAAGCTCACCGACGAGCTCAAGGACAAGGTCCGATGCTACGGGTATGTATTAAGCCTCCTCATATTTTTCTTTGGGTTTTTATTCCCCCTCCTTTAATTTTATTTCATTTTTGACCTTTCTTTTCTCATGGTGTATGTGCATGTTGACTGACCCCGGCTTAGATTCGGCGCTGTTATGGAGGAGTTCGAGGTCAGGGATGCCCTGGAGAACGTTTTCTACGCCCGACCTGAGATGATGGTCTACTAAGCCGCCAGTCAATGGGAACCCGGTGCAGCGCCTCTTTGGCGAGGTAAATAGAGCGATGTATGAAGGGCATTTAGTATATACCAGCCTGTACTACTGGTCCGATGAGGTGCTCAAACGGGAACACGAGGAGTGCATTTGGGGATTTTTGTTGATACCACGAATTTATAACAAGTTCTAAAAATTTGAGAGATCACATGAATAATAATTTGAAAAAGCCACATTAAAACATGACCTTGCGTCGTGAAGCCCATGAGTCCCATGCACAGTTTGGGGATATTCACTGCACAGACATGGCATTTCGACCAAGAGCTGTGACACACAAACTGGCCGTGGCCCCGCGTCGCATGGAAACGAGTGGCTGTCAGCCGCCGCCAGGTGTCAAAACACTTTATCGAAATTTTGCCCGCTCTGCCCCACAAAGTTCACCCCACCAAAATCCGAACGTCGAAAATCGACGGCGAGAGGAGGCGCACTACCCAAACCCTTGACGACTTTTCCTTCCTCAGAGCCGAATCGCTGCCCGCCGCTGCACCCGCATCAGCGCCTAATATCGACTCCCTACGAACTTTTGCAGCCCGTCCCGAAGTAAAATCATACAGGCTTTCAATATGGCTCAGGAAATCGACTGGGTCAAGCTCGTCGAGACTTGCCCGGCCGGCGATGGTTGGGGCCCGCCAGTCACCTCCGACACCACCCTGAATGGCGTCCCATACGCGCCCTTCTCCAAGGGCGACAAGCTCGGTCGCATGGCCGACTGGACCTCTGAGGGCAAGGACAGAGAGGGCCGTGGAGGCAGACAGCAGTACAACCGTAACTTCCGTGGTAAGTTCCCTTTCTCTCATTTGGAAAAAAAAAAAGAAAAGAAAAAGATGAGAAAAATAAAAAAAGGACATTGTCGCTAACCATCCTTTACAGATCAGCAGGTCTACGGTGCCGGCCACGCCATCTCCTTCAACGCTCCTCCCGCCGAGGATGAGTCCACCTTCTCCGTCGTTAGCAACACCCGCGACAGCACCAAGACGAGATACGGCCGTGGCGCCGTCTTCACCCGTGGCCGTGGACAGCGTGGAGGCGCTGCCACCACCACCCGTGGTGGTCGCCAGGCCATCAACCGCACCGGTCAGCAGGGCGGCCGCCAGGGCTACGGCGGCTTCGACCGCGGTGGCAGATCTAACACTGGCCAGCGCGGCCGCCGCTTCGGCTGGAAGGACTACGACAAGCCGGCCCGCAACCGCGATGCCAGCATCAACATCAAGGCCGACTGGAAGCTGCTCGAGGAGATCGACTTCAACCGCCTCGCCAAGCTTAACCTCGACGCCGATGAGGGCGAGGATCTCGACGCTTACGGCTTCGTCTACGGCTACGACCGCTCCTACGACAAGCCCCCCGTCAAGGGTGCCGAGCGCCGGCTCAACGCCATCGACCGCGCTGCTTACAACGTTACGACTTCTTCGGATCCTGTGATCCAGGAGCTCGCCGAGAAGAACGAGGCCACCATCTTCGCCACCGACAGCATTCTGTCCATGCTCATGTGCTCTCCCCGCTCCGTCTACCCCTGGGACATTGTCATCTCCGTGCAGGGCAACAAGGTGTTCATCGACAAGCGCGATAACGCCGCCCTTGACATGGTCACTGTCAACGAGAACGCCGCGGACGCACCCCTCGACGCCGCGGACGGCAGCAAGGACACCCTCAACCAGCCCGGCGCCCTCGCCGAGGAGGCCACCTACATCAACCACAACTTCGCCAACCAGGTCGTCATCGAGAACGAGACCCAGAAGCTGCAGTTCCCCCACGCCAACCCCTTCTACAACTCGTCCGAGGACACGGACCCGCCGGCCAGCAAGGGTTACAAGTACCGCAAGTTCGACCTGTCCACCAACGAGGAGGAGGAGAACGTCTACCTGGTCGTGCGTACCGAGGTCGACGCCGTCCAGAAGAACGCCATCAGCGGCGACGACCAGCTCGTCACCCTGCACGCGCTCAACGAGTTCGACAGCAAGGCTCAGGGCAGCGGTGGCGCCCTCGACTGGCGGACGAAGCTCGTCAGCCAGCGTGGTGCGGTCGTGGCGACGGAGATGAAGAACAACTCCTGCAAGCTCGCCAGGTGGACCGTCCAGTCCATCCTCGCCCGTGCCGATGTCATGAAGCTTGGGTACGTTTTATCTATCATCTTAATGCCCTCATGAACAGAGTAAAAAACAAAAACAAAAAGCTAACAAAAAATCCCAGTTTCGTGTCTCGTGCCAACCCCAAGTCCAACGACAAGCACGTCATTCTCGGCGTCGTCGGCTGGAAGCCCCGCGACTTCGCCAACCAGATGAACCTGTCTCTCTCCAACGGTTGGGGTATCGTCCGCACCATTGCCGACATGTGCCTCAAGCGCGAGCAGGACGGTAAGTACGTCCTCGTCAAGGACCCCAACAAGTCCATCCTTCGTCTGTACGAGGTGCCCGCCGGCAGCCTCGACGAGGACGACGAGCAGGACGATGTCCCTCAGGAGGAGGGCGAGGATGCCGAGGAGTAGAAGAAGTAGAAGAAAAGAACTGGCGAATGTCAACGTAACGAGAGCTACAGGGGAAAAAAAAAAAAACAAATCCGGATGGATTTTTTTTTTTTAAATAAAGGAAAAGCTCTAGAACCTATTTTGGTGAACGAGACAAACCTAGAGAGTTGAGAATGAAGAAGGCGGAGGGGGAAAAGAGGAAGAAGTTGTTGGCTTTTGACTCCTTAACCACCAAACCCCCTCCCCCCCTTTCTTTTCGTATGAGACGGATCGCCTGGATAAGGGGACTTTGTCTTGCAGGTTGACCGCCGGGGAGCGGTCATTATGTAAAAAGTCGCTTCCTTTTTTTCCCCCCTTGTCGGGTAGGCACGTATAGACGTCTATGGAGTAACGCATTATGGACATGGTTCATTCCACCTTTTGATTATCGTGTGTGAACGTTTACCTCTTTGTTTGTCCAGTTGAATTGGCCTGGTATGGCTAGGCTTTGATGACGGAAGCTGGCAGTTTGGTTTACGGAGCTGAAGTGGTGTTTGCTTTGTAGACGGTTCTGTGTTGTGAGTGTGACAACTTTCGACATTTACCAGCAGGGAAAGAGTCTTTTTTTTTGGGCAATTTCTTGAACTTGGATAGCTGAGGATTGAAAGGCTACGGGGTAAGTTTCACGGGTGTTTGCCAGGTCAGTAAGTGTGGCTATGTTGTGGTGACTATTGCAGCTCTGGGAAAAGACTTGCTTCGGTGTCTGATGTAGTTAACTTGTCTTGGCTGATAGGTAGCTAGGTCGCATTTTCTGGCGCGAAATGACTTAACGGACACGACGCTGTCTTCAGTCTCAACTTTCTGTTAGTAACCCATTTTGATAAGCTTGTGAACTTAACATCTCAGAGGTTGCCCCCCATTCGTTCAATATACCGGTGGGCTTCTTTAACACTTCCCCTTTGTAGGAGATAAATCTTTTTGTTCAAATGTTTGTCATATTGTCCCCTGCCCAAAACGATTTGGAATCTCTAAAATGCCCAGAACGCCGGAGTCCATGACAGGATGTCTTTTTCATGCCATCATTAAACCACCCCAAAATTTGTCCTTTTTTCTTTTCCATTTCACTTTTTGTTTGATTTCCAATCCCAGCTTTGATGCTTTTGGCCTCGTCTTTTAGCCACCTTAGAATCTCTCCTTCATGCGCGCCGCAACCGTCCGCAGGTTGCCGTAGACCTTGGAAGGCGGCTTTCCGAGAATCAAGCTCACAATGGACTCGCGGGCCATGTGGATGTTCTTGTACGCGCCGAGGATGTGGATCTTGCTGTCGGCCAGGACGATACGGGTCTTGCTGGCGTTCTCGATGGCAACTACACACGTAGATTGTCAGTTCAGAATCTCTTCCTTCTTTTTTGCCCTCGGTTGAAGCCTCGAAAAGGGAAACGTACACTTCGTCTTGCCGTCCTTTCCTGCTATGCGACCAATGGCACGACCCTGTGCCTCGTTACCCATGACTTGCTTGACGTCACGGATCTCGAAGGTCTCGACTATTGTGGTTGTCAGAAACTCTCATGTCTTTGCTATAAGTGACCAGAGCTGTGGACTTACTGTAAAGGTCATCCAGACGCAGCAGCGCAATGGCATCGTCGACGTCGAAGCCCAGGGTGAAGGCCTTGACAAAGTCCTCACCCTTTTGCAGGGCACCATCCTCGGTGGTGTGCCTGGAGGTTCGGAGCTCAACCTGTTTCCGGCGGGGGTTCATGCGCACCTGTAGCTTCAGATGCTCGACAAGGGGAGGGTAGACTGCAGGCGCATCGTCAGAAGGGGTTATCAGACCGAGATCCAGGAGGGGCACGTACTCTTGGGCCAGGCAGACTTAAGAGGGGTGAACCGGTGAGGAGGCACGGGGACCTTGCGGGTTTCTATTCTGGTAATGGGGTCCTGAGGTAACGGTCAGTCCCTGCTACTGAGAAATCTTTGGGGGGGGAGTACGGGGTGGCGCACGATATCTCTGGCAGGCGCAAAGCGCGGGCGGTTCTCCTCGTCGACAACCATCTCGCCCTCCTCTCCGTTATGGGGCACGCTGGGCAAGATCGCATCCAGGTCCTCGGGCAGCGCGGTCGGCGCATCGAGGAGAAGTTCCTCGTCCTGCTGAGGCTCCTGGAGGGGAGCCTCGAATGGCGGGGCAGCGATCTCCGCCTGCTTGGCGGTCGGGGCAGGCATAATGGGCGACTGAGGGGGTGGAGGATATCGCGAGTTGATTAGATCGCTAGAAAACGGAAGGGCTCGAAAATCGGTCTCTTTTTTCGGTCGAGGAACTCCGGTTTGTGTGTCGGGACGAGTCGGTCTGGCAGCGGGGGTCAGGCGGTCGTGTGAAGAAAAAAGCGGCGGGTGCCAATTGCAGACCGATATCGATTTATCGCCGAATTCCCAAAATTTTGTGTTCCTTATCGATAAGCGGCGTGCCCGTTCAAAGAAAAGATGGACACAAGAAGTGGAGACAAGCCACCACCGTGCACTGAGCGTTAAAGGTACCTCATGGGAGCAAGGGCCTAGGTCGTCGTGCACGGGCCATATCGCTTTTTGCTGATTTTTTTTTTTCCATTTACTCAGAATGAGGTGCTCTGTTAGGTGACGCCCCATACGTAAGGTACCTTTGGAACGGGTCCTGCCGGGTTCAGCGAGGTATAGCTGTTGGTAGCGCGTCATGGATGACTTTTCACAGGCGCTTCCCTGGCCCAGCTTTGCATCTCAGTCACATTCGCATGAGCGCATGAAATGTGCTAACATTGCCGTGCCTCTCTTCCCTTCTCCCTCGTGTCTTGTTTACAGTCTGCCTGTTGAGACCCTCCTTCCCCTCCCTTACTACTGGAGGTAGATAATCATTGGGCTTTCCTTTCTCATTGACTGTCTCTCTGTTCAACCAAGAGACAGGATGAGCTGGAGAAATGTCTAACGCTTCGACGACTCTTTTTGGGCGTCGCTTCTGGTCCTGCGCCTCCGAATCTATGTCGCAGACTCTGGGTTTGCGAGGGACGATTTTCACCACCACTGCGACGAGGAATACCTTTTTGAGGACTGGCCAGCCTTGTGTCAGTCCTTCTTACAAAGCAGCGTCCTTTCGAAGAGCGATACATACGGGGCAACGCTCATTCCCACGACCGAATGTTCACAATGCGCAACGAAGTTATACTGGGAGCGGCCTGTTACTGGTCGGCTTCACCACCAACCTCTCTCCCACCCAAGCTACGGTGATATCCTGCGCTGCTGCCACAGAGTCTGCCGCAAGCGCTGGCCTGGCGAAGAAGTCCAATCTCTACCAGCTAAGCCGGCTAGCATGGCGACGGGGCATGCACAGCGATTCAAGGGGACTTGGCCCAGTGGAGAGGAGATACCATAGCTCCAAGAGTGGAAAAGACGAAAACAAGGGCGCAACAGCCCAGCCAAAGCAGGATGCACCTAAAACACCAGACCAGGGCAAGGTCGATGTACCAGAGCCCGATGCCGAGTCGATTGCCTCCGCCATGTCGAAATATCTGCACATACCGAGAATGCCGCATCGACCCACCCGGGACGAACTTTTGGCTGCCGCCAACGGCTTCTTGGGTCGCATGAAGGTTCGATTTAAGTGGGCGTCAATTAGGAGTATGAGGCCGTGGAATATTGATGAATGGGGCGCATTTGTGTCGTGGTTCCTATTCGGCCATTTGGTTTGGATTCTCGTCGGTACCACGACCTTCTTCTCCCTTATCATCTTCAGTATCAACACCGTTTTTGCGCAGGGTATGTTTCTCCTTGTCCTCAATGACACCGCCGACACCACTAATCATCTCCCGTAGAAACTCTTGCGAAATGGGTTGGCGATTCTCTTACTGAGTCTGCCGGCGTGACTGTAGTCTTCGAGTCGGCCATCGTTCCCAAGTGGGGAGATGGCGTGATCAGCTTTAGGAACGTTTTTGTGTCACGACGACCCGGCCAGATTACGTCTTCCGTCAGCAAGGGCTCATCAACGAATGCCGCGGCTGTGGCTGCGGCTGGCAAGCATGGTGAGTCCGACGGAGAGGCGCTGGAAGAGGATGCCGGAAACTACACCCAGTACGACCTCACAATCGCTACCGTCAACGTTACTCTATCGTTCCTGAAGTGGTGGAACGGTAAGGGCTTCCTAAAGGATGTCGAAGTCAAGGGAGTTCGCGGTGTAGTGGATCGCACCTCCGTGCAGTGGTCGGATGAGGCAGTTGATCCTCTCTCGTACCGACACACTCACGAGCCCGGTGACTTTGAGATCGATTCATTCAAGCTCGAAGACCTTCTTGTCACTGTTCACCAACCAAACAACTTCCGGCCGTTCTCAGTCAGCATTTACTCCTGCGAGTTACCGCAGCTCAGGAAACAGTGGCTCTTCTACGACTTCCTCTCCGCGACACACATGTCCGGATCATTTGACGGCTCTTTGTTCACAATTCACCCCCGCCAGGTACACGGCACTTTGGCAGGCCGAAATGGAGACGTTGCCGATGATGTTGGCGAACCGTCTGCGTGGAAGAAATTCAGTCGTCTTCGTATCGATGGCCTCAAGATTGACCATCTCAACCGAGGTGTTGAAGGACCGTTTGGTTGGATTTATGAGGGAAACGTCGACATTGTAGCGGATGTCATGTTCCCCGCTGATCTGGACGAGGGCATCACCAAGGTCATGTCGGACTTTTATGACCAACTCGAAGATGTCGTCATCTCAAACCGTATGCGCCTTCTACAGAAGGATCTCCTCGCAGGCCCTGTTTCGGATCTTCTGGGGCCAACACCTACTGAAGGCCACCTCTCCCAGGCGACACCAAAGTTGACCGAGGAAGACCCTGAAGACCCTGAAGACCCTGAAGAATCCACCGAGTCGGCAACTGCAGACTCGGCAGACGAGGACCGAAGATACCTCATTATGGACCTGCGCATTCACATGAACGATGTCAAGGCCGCCGTGCCTCTGTTTACGAATGACATTTCGTACATCAACCAGGCTCTTGTTCGCCCTATTGTGGCCTACATCAACGCCAAGAAAACATATATACCCATCACCTGCCGCATAGTCAAGCGCGCTAGTGATTTCGACGGAAGCTGGTCCATATTCGACTGCGGTCTCATGGACGACATGTCTGCCGAGACCTACGAGGCATTTGCCCGCGACGTCGAGGACCAGCAGAGCCGCGTACGCCGCCTCAAGAAGGTCGGCTTCTGGACTCTGAGTCTTGCTGTTCACGCCCTCTTCATGGGTATGGCTGGCAACGTCATCTAGTCCATCTCTCCTCTCCTCTCTTATTTCGCTCGGACCAGAGCACGGGTGTGTTAACGAGCACATGATTTCAAAGACGGGCGTTGCAATTGTATAGAAAGGGGAACGGCCATGTACATATAACGGACGGGCATTTTTCACACTCATGGAAGAAGGGCTGAGCAACAAACCACTCACTCCTTCATTGTTTTTATTTTGGAAGGCGAGGCGTTCCGTTCGATAGATGGGATACAAGCTTGGTAGGGGAGAGGGAACAGATTAATTGATACCCCTATTGCAGACACGTCTGGTTACGTCTTTGTGTGAATGCACTGTCCACCTCCTGTGGCCATGACAGTTAAACATTACACGCGATCTTTAACCCCGCGCCTACGGTAACGCGATGATGTTTGCGCATGACGTCCACGTCGTCCGCATAGGGGTCCAAATAATGCTCGTGCTGTAACGCGACCATGTCATCCCCACTTTCCTCCTCCCTCCTCCTCCTCGCGACCCCATGGGTGACTCAAACTTATGCATAACATCCGATATGAAGCCAGCTGTCCTAGCGCGTTCAGGGTCCCTCCGCTTCCAGATAATGGGCCGAAGCTTGTTCCTGGGTGTGGTGCGCAGCAAGCTCGACGTTGGCAGAAGCCTGTTTTCTTCCTCCTCCTCCCGTAGCCTTTTCTCATGCGCTTGATGGGCAGGTGCAACATGCCGTGGGCTGATTGTTTACCATGTTGGGAGCGAGGCATTAAAGGGCGTTACTTTGCCGGTTTGCTGAGCTGTTCACCCTTAATTAGACACGGAGGGTAGGTTAGGCATTGAACCTCCGCATTGCGTTCTGAAACCTGCGGTGCTTATGTCTGGGAGGCTTGCCGATATGTTGCGGGTATATCGGTTGCAAACGATGCTGGCTACGCCGTCACATGGTAGGAGAGGCTTAGCTGCGCACTGCTTGGTATGTATAGTGAAATAAGTGCCCCATCTAGAGATGCCGTTCGGGAATCCTTCGCTTGAAGTTTCCGAAGATGCCGTTTGTAGTGTCACTTGACAACAGATGTTCGTTTGTGGAGTAGTAGTAGGCCGATGTTTGGAGCGACGAGTTGGTAGGTTTCCAAATTGGGTCGGTAACGCCCAGCTGCAAATTACATACTACATAATAGCTGGATTACCCTGTTCACTTTGGAAAATGGCGGCGCGAGATTAAATCCAGCTGACGTTCTTTCTAATGAGAGAGCGATGGTACATCGAACACCACGGCTCTTGATGGACATCGCGACTTGGTACATACTGGAAACTAAAGTGTCCCTGCGCCAAAACGCTGGCACCTGTAGACGATATTGGATTATGTAGATTAGCAGCATCCCGATGGGTAGCGAGGCAAACTCGAGCTATCCGAGATGTAAAGAAGCTGCAAGCCTAGTACTCTTAAATCCACTCACCAAAAGAATTCTGTCTCTGGGCGGCTCACCTACATGCCACACTACTAATGTTGTACAGGAAGCGACTCATCAAAGCACCCCCGGGACACCAAGATTTGTCACACGTTCGAGAAAAGCCTGAATAACACATGGTACAATGTCAATATGGGATCATCGTATGTAGACTAATTCTAACGTCTTGATCCAGCGTCTTCCGTGACATATCTCACCGGGGACCAACTCAACACAGATGTACCTGCAGATGCACGCCTGATGATTCAAATCTATCGTGTTTTGCTCTATCAAGTCCCATTACCCGTCATTCATGAATGGCCTTGCTCCTTATATCATGCGAGAAACGCTGTATAGCATGCTGGGCTCCAGCGGTATGGAGTAGACGATGAACACCTTTCATGATTATCTAGCGTCCGCCCGAATCGGCCCCATTTTGATCAGCCCACAAACACCTTTTCCCTCTCAACCACTTCCCAGCGACCCCTGACAACCTGCAAGCCCTCAAGTCTCCTTGCTCCCCACCTGCACAGGGCGCAGCCGGGTGCGCGGCAGCGACGCTGGTAAACTGCAATGTGTCGCTGCTGCAAGTCTCGGTACGGAGGCGCGCCAGGTCTGATGGCACGCAGCGGGCTCACGGAGCTGTAAGGGGCCGGACGCTGGGTGTGGAAGAATGATGCAACCCTGCCCTCTTCTTTCACATAAAGTCGTCACTAAGGGGGAGTTAGCATGTCGACAACAGCAAGAGATTCCGAGGGGGTCAACTCACTCTCCGAAGGCGTCATCCTCGTACGTCTCAGTGTCGGCGGCGCTGGCACGGCTGACGACGGCAGAAACCTTGGTCTTGGCGGCCTTGCTCTTCTTGTTGCCACCCTGGGCGGCCTTCTCCTCCTTCATCTTCTCGTTACCAAGGGCGGTTAAGGTGGAAGCAATCTTCTTGATCTGGTCGCTGGGGAGGTCCTTAGCCAGGGCCTTGGCGAACTCCTGGAGGAAGAGACCGTAGTGGGCCTTCTTGACGTTGTTGGCGATGATGGGCGCCAGCGTGGTGCGGAGGTGCTCGAACTGAGTCTTGGTAACGGGTTTAAAGAGGGGCATATCAGCGATGTTGGCCGTCTTGGTAGGGTCGTTGGGATCGATCTGGACGGCGGTGCCGGCGAGGGTGGCCTTGCGGCCGGCGGGGACACCGATATCACCGAAGAGATCCTCGGCGTGCTTCATGTCGGACTCCTTCTCAGTACGACGAAGACGCTCGCGGCGCTCAGCCTCGGTTTCCTCCTCATCAGACTCATTCTCCTCGGCGCGGCGAACACGTTCAGCCTGGTGCTCGGCAATGCGCTGGGCCTTGGACTTCTTGTTCTTCTTTGCCTCTTCGGCAGCCTTGGCCTTGGCCTCCTCGGCCTTCTTAGCCTTCTCGCGCTCGACCTCGGAGTCTTCGGCAGCATCCCAGGAGTCGAGAACCTACATGGAAGTGTCAGCATACATGTGGCGTAGTGGAATACGGGTTTCGGTCAACATACGTCGTCCTCGTCCTCCTCGTCGTCGAACTTGGTGCGGCGGAGGGCGGCAACGGGAGGGGAGTTAGGGCCGGAGCTCTCCTCACCACTCTCTTCCTCGTCTATAGACAAACATGCTGTCAGTAAGGCATGGTTATAGTCCGGCTGCGGTGGGGTCTTGAGGTGGGCTGGGCGGCAACGGTCGCGGTTTCCGGTCTGGACAGATCATCGCGACATTTTGCCTCTGACGATAATTTGTGTGCGTGTGTGCGGGACAAGGCAGGAATAAGCTACTCACCCCACTTCTTAGGAGGCATGATGTCAGATGGTATGGGTAGGAGACGCGGGGTAGAAAATCAGAAAGCGAAGTGTGCAGATAGGCAGAGGTTGCAAAGCTTGAAAGGGAGCAGTTCAGAAAGATCTCTGTTGAGAAAAAAATCCGATGAGCCTGAAGTTTGGTTTCGGAGAAACAAATTGTGGAAAGGAAGGGGGGGTCCGTGGTTGGGCAGGAAAGAAGTGAAGGGGCGCCCGAGGAAGGGAAAACCCAGCCCGGCCGAACGCGGCAGCAGCGGGGGGGCATTTCACTGGAGACCCGATGAACTCTGGTGTGTCAACATGCACACGCAGTGGCACGCATACCGCGCGTGGTACAGGAATTCCACATGGAGACTTTGATCATGGACTAACATATTTCACATCATTTGTTTCTGTATATTTAAGAAAGTAGGCTGGAGTTGGACAGTCTCTTTTACAAAGGCGACTGGAGTTTCTCGTTTCGTATTTTGTGTTCTGTTGCGAATGGTCCAAGTCTGCCCATTGACTTGCTCCCCTGATATGTAAAGTTTTTGCTTGTAAAACAAACATGTACCAGTATAAATATGTCACCTTGAAACTGGAGAGCCAAACCTGTGTTAATACTTGCGGGCTATTGGGGCTGCATAACAAAGAGTTCCCTTTACTTTCAATGACATCACACTGGAACGGCGGCGCCGCTGTCACCTACATCTGTGGTTATCCTTAAAGAAGAAGTAGTCCGATGAGACAGAAAAGGCTGTGTTTACATGCAGAAAGTACTAGCGGTCGGTGAGCAAAAGTAGGAAATAAGCCTGTAGATATATGTCCACGCTCAATCTGAGGGATCGGCAAGGTTTATCAGACTTCCTCAGCCGTTGTCCAAAAATAAAAACAAAAATAAAAATCATGGTGGGATGTTTGACCCCGCCATCCCTAGTTTAAAGCCGTAAGCTGACTAGTGGTCGATTTCAGAGCCCTTTCCCTATCGGGTATCTTTTTTGGCCTCATCGGCCTCACTGGCCTCAAGTGGCGTGCACCTCCAATAGAGAGCCATGGTAACCCTCCAAACTCTCCATTCACTCACTGGAGATGCTGTCCTCCTATTCTACGCACCTTGACACCTTGAGCAGTGAGTCACCAAGAATGACCCCGCTCTGGAAATCTATATAAACCCCACCATCCACCGCAATCTTTACATGTTTCGTTTCCTTTCCTCCTTATCCGAGTGCAAGGGCTTTACGCGGATCAGTGAGGATTCCGTCCGAGATCGTGTTATTGCTGTTTGAAAATTATTTTATGACCACTTCTAGCTGGCTTCGTCCCGGCTAGGGAATTTTTGAATACCCAAGTATCCGATTTGGATAATTTCTGCTTTCTTGCTTTCATTACTTGCGGTCCTGCGTGGACCGGGGTGAAGAAGGTCAGCATCAAACACGGAATACGAAATGCGCAATGGCCTGCTCTGATACCTAGGACGCGGTCCAAATGTCACCTCACTGTGTTATGGTGCATCCACCAGGAAGAGCGCGGTTTGATATCGTATGCAGGGACCGAAACGTGACGGTCAGGTTCCGACTCACATCGGAGCCCAGGCGCAGGACGATACCAAGCAGGGCATCAAAAACCTGGCATTAATTATTTTTAAACTCATGCGCATACAAGCAACAATGATCCACCACGTCAAGATCTCTGGCATCAATATCTGCAGCCTTGTAGCTGAGGCATTGACGGATCAGGAACCATGGTTTCCGTATGACGAACGGGCCCCGTCTTGCAGAGCCGCCTTCTCCCGATCCCTCCTAAATTACCTCGAAACAGCCTCAAATTCTGCAAACGTGACCAGCAAATTTCTTCTCTCCCCATCCTATTCTCCGGGGGTCGTAGGGCGTCGGCAATAAGATCATCAGGGATTCACTAGAAGCCCACCTTTTTGAGGCAGTTTCTTACTCTTGCTTACCCCCTTGGGGAGCATGTGAGTCAATGAATGTCATTGTTGCGATGTCATCTATATCAAATGAACTACGAATGGACAAGGCGAGGACCCTTGCCCCTGGCACCCCTGGCCCGTCTTCTTTTTTTTCGCCCTGGAGCAAGCCAGTTCTAGAATGGTCACATGGCCCATCCGCCCAGGCCTTGGCTTGACCATCCGGGGCGGGAGGCGGAAGAGACGGCGGCGGACGGCCCTTCCGCTCCCGGAACTTTCCCATCTCTTCCACAATCGGTGTTTGAAAATATCAACTTCGTAAACAGAACAGTGGGGTATCTTTAGCCTTGTTAGCCATTACCCGGCTTTGCATTGCCCGACAAAGAGTCTTTTTTTTTTTTTTTCCTTTTCCCTTCCATCTTCTCTGACTCGGGTGTTTCACGGAAAAAAAGCTCGTTCTCGTCTCCTCCATCTCATCAACTGCCGCCAGCAACTCGGACAAGAAGTCCGTAGCGGACGGACATGGCCCCCCGTATCCCGGGGAGTAAAGTGCTTCGACTTTCAGGGGGCTCTGAGTAAAGGCCTTACAGGCCATGGCTGGATAATCTCCTGACGTACCATTTGCATCACAGACGGCAATTTGACACTGCGCCATTCAAGCAGAAACAAGAGTAAGCACCCAAGCCACCGTCATGCGGGCTCGAAGCAGCCAGCCCTGCAGAGAATATTGCCTGTGTAAGTTGTGTGGCTTGCTAGGAATCATCGGAGTTGGCCAATCACATCCCGACGAAAAAGGAGCGGAACAGCACTTTATTCTTGACAAAACATACCATAGTACTTCTCAGTGCTGGGACTCCCTCATCCCGACAGGTCCCGACTGACGCCGTCCAGCTGACCCACGCTCCCCGGGCTTTGCCTACGGGGCCCCCACCTGCCATTTCCAGACTTTCCAGCCAACCAACCCAGCAAGTTCGGCAAGTCGGAAATGTCAGAACCGACCTACCAAAAAAAACTCCAAACCTAGTCCGTGGCTGCGGGATTGTAAGCGGCAAGCATGAGGCTAGCCCGAGATTGGCGGCGGCGCCTTTCGGCGACTTTACCTTCGCCTTGGTATTGAGAGGGAGGGGACAGACCCGGTGTGACGGGAGCTAGCACATTTGGATGGGGGAGGGGGGGGGGGGGGGGTACAACGCAAACGGCAATCCTTCTTGGATCCGGTCTGTCTTCGTAGGCTGTATTGGCTTGAGTAATGCCAGCTTCATCCTTCCAAGACTGAACCTGGTCCAGTGATTCATTCCGGCCCATTGCGTATCGTTTCGTGTGTTGTGTTATTCCCCCCTCTCTCTGACAAATTCCCTTCACCTGCCTAAACCCCCCTCGACATATGGGATATAAGAGGGCGTACGTCTTCGAGCCTCCTCAGGCATACGCTCTCACTTTGTACTCATCAGCATCACAAGGCTTACACCGCAACAACAATAACAACATCATAAACGGATAACATAATCACCACCACCTACTTTGAAACCAACAGACGTCACTCATGCTTTCATCAAGAGCAACAGTCAGACTCTGCGCGCCTAAACAAGGCACCGCCCAGCTCGTCCGGGTAGCCGCGCTCCACGGCTTCGGCACCTCGTCCTACGCGACGGTCTACCCGGCGAGCCTGCGACTCTCGGAATCCGCGTCTCATCAGCAGCACAGCAACTTCTCGACGACCCGCGCCGCCCAGCTCCGCGACTTCTTCCCCGCCAAAGAGACGGAACACATCCGCACCACGGCGCCGGCATGGCCGCACCCGGGGTACACGGAGAAGGAAATGCTCGACATCGTCCCGGATCATCGCGCGCCGCGCACCGCCGGCGACTGGGCGGCTTGGAAGTTCGTCCGCCTGGCCAGATGGTGCATGGACCGCGCCACGGGCCTGGGCGCCGAGCAGCAGGTCGACAAGAAGAACCCCACGACGGCCGTGGTCGCTGATAAGCCGCTCACCGAAGCCCAATGGCTTGTGCGGTTCATCTTTCTTGAGAGTATTGCCGGAGGTAAGTTACCAATTATACACCAATTGTCTCCCCCCCCCCCCCCCCCCCCCCCCCCTCTTGGGGATTCTCAGGGAATTTCCCTCCCCCTTTCGGGCGAGGAGTTATCGACGTCTCAGCTGACACAACATCGTAACCAGTTCCGGGCATGGTAGCCGGTATGCTTCGTCACCTCGGCAGCCTGCGACGCATGAAGCGCGACAACGGCTGGATCGAGACGCTCTTGGAGGAGTCGTTCAACGAGAGGATGCACCTGTTGACGTTCATGAAGATGTCGGAGCCCGGGTGGTTCATGAAGACCATGATCCTCGGCGCCCAGGGCGTCTTCTTCAACGGCTTGTTCCTGACGTACCTCATCTCGCCCAAGATCACCCACCGCTTCGTCGGGTACCTGGAGGAGGAGGCCGTGCACACGTACACGCGCTGCATCCGCGAGATCGAGGAGGGCCTGCTGCCCAAGTGGTCCGACCCCAACTTCGCCATCCCGGACATCGCGGTGCAGTACTGGAGGATCCCGGAGGAGAAGAGGACGATGAAGGATCTCATCCTTTACATCAGAGCCGATGGTTAGTAGCCCTTGACACCCACCTCCCTTTCAAGAATCGCGGAGGACGAGAAAGATTCGGTCGGTGCTGACAATGCTTCGCAGAGGCCGTCCATCGTGGCGTCAACCATACCCTGAGCAACCTCAACCAAAAGGAGGACCCGAACCCCTTCGTCAGCGAGTACAAGGAGGGCGGGAAACCCAACGCCGCGTTGAAGACGCAGGGCTTCGAGCGTGAAGAGGTCATCTAACAGACCCTCATTTCAAAAAAGTGTATTATTATATCTCCTTTTTTGTTTTTCCTTCTCTTTTTTTCTTTTATCCCCCCAAAAGATTCCTGGTATGGATCACAGGCCAACATCCTCACGGACGAACAATTTTTTTTTTTTTTTCTCACGTTTATTTTGCGGGCTAGAGAACAGACCGATGATACCACTGCAATGGGGGATTGTTCCGGCGTAATGGGCGTTTTGTTGGGAGATGGGACAGTCCCTACTCATTGTACTATACTAGGAGAGGCATCGGTCTTTTTTTTGGGACACGCTGCAGTCTGTTTGAAGAGGTTCACGTGTAAGATTTAGAGGAGGAATATTGTCTTTTTCTTTTTATAGAATAGAGAATGGATGGGCGAGAGCCAGGCATTCGACATTAACATTCAATAAGTCTGATGTGATTCTGCAAGCTTTGCGCAGTCAAGTTGCGAACCGGATCGCGTCCCGCTAGGCTTCCGGTAACGGGAGGCAAAACCGGACGAAAGAGGGGTTAGAGAAAGAGAAAAAAATTAAGATTTTACAAACGGCCAACATGTCGGTCGCTGGATAACACATTCCATAAGTCGGTGTGACGATTCGGACGACGAATGTTTCGGCGAGGGGAAACCCGAAAAGTTCAGCGTTCTCCAGAATGATCGACGAGCACAGCCCTTACAAGGGCATCTTTGGATGAACGACATGTCATCAGATGGAAACCCCCACCGCTATATTCAAATCGTAGCTGCCTAAAAAAAACGGTAAGATGAGTAGGAGGAGCAAAACATCCGAGACCTCTGGCACCGAAAAAGAAAAAGGTTGAATATACTAGTGATGAACATCACGGGAGGGGGAAGACGACGCGTCTTCATCATCGTGGTTCCAGGTTGGACGACGTCTCTCGAACAAATGCCAATCCCAGGTATGCGGTCCGGTTCGTATTTCCGAAGGTACTGTAAGTTTCTAAAAATGGAGTTCGAGCTGGCGGGGGTCAAAATGGCTCAAGGCCCGCTCCGGCATGGATCGGATTAGTCGCCGGTTATGGGGAACATGGAACAGATTGACTCCGCCGAGGTTGAGCACAACAGGGCGATTTCACGGGCTTCGGTAGCCCCTGGGGTCGTACCTTTTCTCGAATAAGCTTCTTCCTGCCGCGTCTGTGGATTTTCCAGTGGCATATGCTTGATGTCATGTCCGATGTTGGGGGCCACGCAGGCCGGCGTGGCTGTGTCGGACGCATGCAGCTGAGCTACTACGTAGTAACTCGAATGATGGCTTCGTAATTGGCCGGTTGGAATGGAAGCAATATGGAACTTTCCTGCCCCCAGGAGTGTCCTGGAAGCTGCTGAACGAGAGTTCCGGGGAGCTTGCGGATTATTGGATAAAACATTGATGCTGATTGCCTATGGATATCATCGTGATTCTGGCCGTGAGGGGTTCTGTTTCAAAACGAACTGCGCCACTCCTGGTCGGTCCCCTTCACGAAAGCACTGTCTAGAAGGTCTGGGGCGGCGGGCGATGTACTACGGTAATGGACAAGCAATAGAGGGGGTTAGAACGGATGATTCAGGTGAACAATCTGAATTCCAAAAGCCTCATATGAGATGTGACGCTGATGCAGATTGGAGGGGCCGACTTCATGTTGGATTTGTGGTTAGCCTCAGGGGGGATGGTGAGACTTGTGCCTGACCAAGATGAATGGCCCTTTGCCCTGGTTCTCCTGGCGTAGTGAGGCGACAGCGCTGGCGACTTGTAGCGACGACAGTCAGATGGATGTGGCTAGGGTTGGCTGGGCAGATGCCACCGAGATACATAAACAAGGTGAGCATCAGTATCCGTGGCCGCCAAACGAGCATAGAGAACTCCGTGAGCCCTGCGATCCGTATCTGGGAGGAATGCATATGCCGAACTTGCACAGGGCTACAGGTAGGCGGCAAGGTTGCTTTGCACATAGCGAATACTGGGCGTCGCTCACCGACGAATAAGCGGGCTGGTGAGGAGAAGTGGTTGGTGATGAGCGTCAGCATGCTTCCGCACGCGCAGATTACCTATTTCGAGTGCGCGACGGGCAAGGGGCAATCACCCCCTGGAGCGGTTCTGTAATAATTCCTCACTTTGACAGGTTTGTGCTGGAAAGAGAGTTTGTAGAGCGTCGACGGGTCGACAATGATGATTGGTGGTGTCATGTGTTTGACGAAATTGTTTCGTTGGCTTTCCACTGTCATCTCATCTCGGAGACTCTTGCTATTCTCTGTGGGCTGTGGGTTCTTCCATCTGATGCCAATGAAGGAGGTTACGAGAGCTGGGCATGCTCGGTTTACCTCTCAAAGCGGGTCAATGGATTTGTGGGCGACAACGACTTGGACGAATAGGTTGGTCCAACTCCATAATGTGTCAGGTCGTCCAAGTGAAGCGTATATTGAAAGTGGAAAGTGGATGTACCAGGGCTTGTTAATCAGCAGGTGGCAGGTCGGCGTCAAGTCCAGACCGGGCGGTGATCATTGACACTGGGAAGGTGACAGGTGAAGGTGGAATTCCTGCTGACGGCCAAGTATGAGATGATGACGACCAGACAGTGGTCGAGGTCTGAATTATGGGCACCCCAGTAGGAGGAATGTGAAAGTAGTGCAGCACAGGGCCCCAAAGTGGCGTGTGGTAAAGTGTGAGAGCATTTGGCTACTACGTACTACCACGTAAAACGTAGTGATGCGCTGTCCCAAGGATGGGACTTCGCGCGCTGTGGCATGGAAGGAAGCTCCGTGGCCGCACATCAAAATGCCAAGGCCAAGCGAGGAACAGCGTAATTTCAAATTATCGGGTCTGATCAAGCACCAAGTGTCGGGGTGGGCACGGACAGGAAACATGAATCCACTGTAAGGCAGATTTCAGAAGCAGCAAAAAAACGCCCAACGCTTGCAGCTGTTACAGTTTCCCATTTACGGAACTGTGTCCCCTGTGTTCCAGTGTCCCTTGTTTTCCTCCTCCCCTGTGCCTGGTCCGACGAGAGGGCTGGGCAGGTACACATCCACCTAATAATTGCTTAGCGAGTACTTGAGCGCTCAAGCAGAAACACTGGACGTTCTGTAGGTCAACAAGCAGGACGAGATTGATCTGGAACGGACAGCCAAACAACGGACATTTGATGGAGAGACGACCGCGGTCTACGATAGACAGTAATATAATATATGGCAGGGTAGCATAGTGAGCAGTAATCTTGGAGAGATCCAGCTGCTCACGTTAGCGCCCTGCTTTTTACTACTGCTAGTACAGGGAGGTATCCGTAAGGTAAGATGGGGTAAGCTGGATAAGCAGGTACAGGAACAGGCCCTGTACGGCACAAGACATGGCATTTACTGTCAGGACGCAAAAGCGGTGGTCCGTTTGTCCTCCGTGTTCGGTACCGATACCACAGTAGTACCATGTCCTGTCTTCTCTTGTTCGCACCTTGGAAAATGCACCGCGTTGCCTTGATCTGGAAATCAGGGACCCCTATTTTGCCCCTCTCCTACCGTTTCCCGCCCGTTTCTTCCGCCCTAAGCTTGAAATAGACGAGATATTATGCGCCGGGAACAGCCTGTGGAAAGACTTGGTTTCTGCTTCCTTTGCTGCCTGGTTGAGTGTACACATAGTATTGATTAGCCCACATGCTTGCGACACCAACGTCACCAAGCCAATCTGTAATAGTAGCTAATTACTTTGGGTACCACCTTGGTAAAAGGGAATGGCTCCAACTCACTTTCCCGCCGCCCACCGCCGACCGGCGCCCTTTATTCCCGTCTCGTCGCGAGTCACAGGCTTCTTCTTGCCTCCCCAACCCCCAACCCCGGTATACAGTGTTTCGTGGCCGACGGACACTGGTTTATTCGACATACACCACCCAGTCCAGGGCAACAGCACATACCTCAGGTAGACCTCAGGTAGTGGCAGCAGCAGTAGCAGTAGTGGCAGCTCCGAGGATTATCTGCGCATCCATCACCACTTGGCTTTTCAACTCTGAACAACATATCATCACTACCTGCCGCTGTTAGCGCTCTGAGCCGGGCTTGAACGTCCATCGAAACCTTCCTCTCAGGCGGGAGAGTAAATCAACCAACAAGGAATCGCCTTAGCGTCATCAATATTCTGCACATCCTCCTGCTTGAAACGGATTCCTTTAGCTCTAAGCCCCGAGCGACGTCTGTCATCATTCCCTCATCCAACCTAGAGACTGAGAACAGCCAAAGAGCATTCGAAGGCCACGATAGCTTCTGTGTCTGGATCCCTGCTTCAGAGGAAGGATATTTTTGGATTTACACTTCCGGACTTGCAGCATAGCATCGCTTCTCGCTCCACGCAGACAGAACACGCGGCCGGTACTCACAAGTTCGACCCAACACGACAAACGCCATCACCAGGTTCTCTGGACTTTGCCTCCCGGCTGGAACCAACAGCCGCGGGCGCAACAAGAGACAGAGACGCACCCAGAGAGAGCTGCAGCTGGCCCGCGCATCATCACAGGCACACACGCAGGGGAAAAAAGCAAGGTACCTATCTACCTAGCCATTACTTACCTCCAGCAGAACGACCAAGCAGCCCAGCGCATACCATTTCGAGTCGGGGCGCGCCGTTGCAGAGGTACCTCCGACCTTCAACCCAGCGAACAAAAGGGCAAGCCAAGGTACCTCGCTCGAGTACACAAATCAGGTACAATTGTCATGTACACAAATTCCTGACATTATCACACCGAAAGCCGCTGGGTCGACAGATCCATCCTCAAACGTGCACAGCCTTGTGGGCACCACTCAGATTGGGCCGCACAAGTGGGCTCTATTTGACCAACCAAATCAGCATGTCATCCATCGCTGCTAGGCCCCTCCACAACACCACTCACACACATACACACACACACACACCCCTCCCCTTCCCCCTCCCCCAAAACTGTGTGACCCGACACAGACCCCAATCCCAACTGACTGAGAGGTTCCGTCCGCCTGTCTGTTCCCCTCCCTCCCCCTAGTCCGGCCGGCCCCTCGTTCGCTGGCACAAGTCCTTCGCTTCCCCATCTTAACTCCTCTTCGTACACTGTAGCCGTTACTACTACTCTACTCGCTCTTCTTACTGCGACACTCAACTCTCCAACGCCCCCCTCAAACCCGCAACCAGTCTCCGACTTTTTTGGTCTCTCTCCGGCGCTGCTCTCCTCCATCTTACGCAACAATCACTTACGTTCGTCTAAACCGACCTCTGTCCCACAAACATATTCGCAACAGCGAATAATAACCGCTCGTCGCACGCGCGCTCTCTTCACCCCCCGCGGCCACCAGTTGGGTGCGGTCCGTCAGCTCGCGCGTCAGCACAGCCCCAGGGCGGTGCGGTGCCTGAAAGGCTGACTTGTGAACTGCCTCGCCCATATTTCTAAAGACAGCAACAACACTCACACACACACATACACACACTCACACCACACACGCAGTACGCGCATTTTCGTCTATCCCGGTCCCGACTCCCGGCATCCATCTACATCATGGATCAACAGGGCCAACGCGGTCGCTCGCCGTCTGCGGGGCATCAACAGCCTCATATAAGACAACCTTCGCATTCCCCGTCGCCGAGTCCGTTCCAGCCCACCAACGAAGCAGCTTCTATTGGTCTCGGTCTCGGCTTGGATCAATCTGCTACCCAAGCCTTCTCCGGAGCCGCCTCCGCCGACTTCTCTACTTTTAATAATAACAACTTCTTGAACGGCCAGCAGAACGGTCAGTCTTTCAATCAACCCGCTGCTGCCTTCGCAAACCAAGCCCAACCCGGCTTTCTCGACCCCAACTTTCCCTCCGGCGACTTTGCACTCTTCCCCCCGACCACCAGCCAGGGCGAACAGCAGTTTAACACGGGAGTTTACGACCAGAGCCTCAACCCTGGTGACATGAACAACATGGCCATGTCACAGAGCCACCACTCGCCGACCCCTCCTCACCTCCTAAATCCCGACCCCCACCAGACGCCCTCTGCTCACCAGTCTCCTGCCTTCAACAACCACCAGTTCTCCTCGCCGCCGTCGGGCCATTCCAGACATGCCTCGCTCGGCCCTGAAGCTGCCCTCATGCCCAACCAGCTGAACGAATGGAGCCAGCCCCAGTTCCAGCGTCACCGGAGGTCCCCATCCGAGTTCTCGGACGTCTCCTCCGCTGCCCCCTCGCCGAACCTGGTGAGCGCCGACAGCTTCGAGGCTATTGACCAACGCCACTCGCCGATGCAGCGCCCTGCGGATGCAGGTCTCTACCAGCAAATTCAAGGTTTTGACAGCTTCACCATTTCCGACCCCGCGCTTAGCAGTCCCAACCTGCAAGGGCGGAGCCCCTCCCACAGTCCGGCCATCTCCCCGCGCATCCTTCCCCAGTCGATACCCGAGCTGAACCAGCCGCCAAACTTTGGACTCAGCGCTCAGAATGCTGGATTTGCCGCTGGTGGTTACTCAGCCCAGGAGGCGTTCCCGACCCTGCAGCAACCCTCCGACATGCCCCAAGTGGCGCCGGCCATTAACATCGAGTTTGCTCCCACATCAAGACAGACCAGCTTTGAGCCCCCCAAGGCTGCGATGGATCAAGACTCCTTGACCCCTCCCGACAGAGGTATGGAACCAACAGCACCTTCTTTTCTCACTGCAGCTAACCAGAGCAACAGGCCGTCCCCGGTCCCGTCCGCGTGCGGTTACGGACCCATTCAACAGTGCCGGTGCCGGCATGGTCCGCCAGACCTCAGCTGGCAGCCTGTCTCCTCATTTGGGGTCTGATCTGTCCGGACGAGACTCCTCCCGATCATTATCTCCGCTCGACCGATCAGGCACGAGCCCCAGCCGCAGAAGACAGTCGACCTCGGCCGTGCCGAATAACGTCATCGCGTTGCGACTGGCGGACCCTGAGTACCAAAATTCTCAGGACAACGGCAACGCGAAACGCGTGCAGAAGCACCCGGCTACCTTCCAGTGCACGCTGTGCCCGAAGCGCTTTACCAGAGCCTACAATTTACGGTCGCATCTGCGCACGCACACCGACGAGCGCCCCTTCGTCTGCACGGTCTGCGGCAAAGCGTTTGCTCGACAGCACGACCGAAAGAGACACGAAGGTCTACACTCTGGCGAAAAGAAATTCGTCTGCAAGGGCGATTTGAAAGCTGGCGGCCAGTGGGGTTGCGGCCGCAGATTTGCGCGTGCTGATGCACTTGGTCGACACTTCCGGTCAGAGGCGGGGCGGATCTGCATCAAACCCTTGCTGGACGAAGAAATGCTTGACAGGCAGCGTGCCTGGCAAGAACAGCGAATGCAACAACAGAACATGCAGAACATGGCGGCCCAGGGTGCTATGGGAATGGAACCAGGCTACCCGATGGACCCCAGTGGCCAGTACATGCTGCCGGCCGCTCTTCTTGCCCAATACCCTGCGTTAGCACAGATGAACTGGTCCGCGCCAGACGCGAGCAGCGGCCTAGAAGACGATATCTCGGGCCGCTCATCATTCGATGCCAGTGACTACGAAGGCGACGACGGCGGTTACGTCAGCGGTCCCGGTACGGGTTTTGGTGAAGGTGGCATGAGCCAAGGATTTGGAGAAGTTGGCTACGCCAGTGACTACGGCGGTCGGTAACGGCAATACACGGCTGCTACCGACCGATTTTTGCTTTGTTGATTTTTGACTTCTTTGTGCGGCGCTTCGCCTATGACACGTCTTTTATACTATTTATTCTTGGGGATGTGGCGCTTCATCGTCAAGCGTCTGTTGTAAGGGAACACTGCAAACATTGCCCATTGAGAGGGCATTTGAGCGGATGGTCTGGTTACAGGGTTTAGAACGCGTTGCTATAGATACCATTATGATGAGATTGCATACAAGTTTTAACTTTACTTTTGGGCATTGAAATCAAGGTGATTTGTTCATCGTCCTCTGTGCAATAATATAAAGCCAACAGTAAAGCAGAAATGCTCCTCGGAGGGGTTCCCGTCGGCGATAAGAATGCTGTTACATCATCTAGCGAGGGGTGTTCGCGGGGCCGAATCGTGGCGTGGCTCTCGCTTATCACTAGGTGCGGGAGGGGGGAGTAAAAAGGCAGTTGATTTTGGCGCGGGCGGTTTTTTTTTTTTTTTTTAAAGGCACCACTTTGTAAACCGAGTTTCCCTCATAATCTGACAAATGTGTCTTCGGCGCCGGATTATGGGCCCCCTTTGGCGGGTGTCGGCGAATAAGCGAGGACGGACGTGGTAGTCTGCCGTAAGCAAGGAAGCGGCTCTCCGGCGCCGAAATGGGCTTTCTAAGCGCGGAATTATGTTCTCTCTCTCTCTCTCTCTTACATGCCAACCACTCTCTGAAGCGCAATCAACTGCGCGCGATGATGCGGACTTTTTGGTTTGCCCCGCCGTCAACCAGTTGCTCTTTGTCTATGCACACAACCCTGCGATGAGCACTGGGTTGCAGACCACATTTGTAATCTGTGACGATGGATGGATGGATGTGGGGGGGGAAGGAGGTGGTTCTCATATCGGCGTCGGCGTCGTATGGCATGGTATATATGGGAGTGTGATTCCCTCGATGGGATAGTTGGTTGTGAACTCAATTCGAAGCAATTCAGACACTGGAAGCATTCTACACCGAAGCAGCAGCAACATTGAACTTGACACTAGTACACAGACGCTCTTACATAGTACCTTTTCCTACTCGCAGCACATCATCAACACAATGGCGGAGAACCAAGCTGTCAAGACAATCGAGGCCGGCGTGGCCAAGGTTGTCGACGCCCCTATCCCCAAGCTCCCCGCCGACGACTACATCCTCGTCAAGACCACCGCCGTGGCCATCAACCCCACGGACTGGAAGCACGTCGACATGGCGGACAAGGTGGGCTGCGTCGGCATCTGGGTCGGATGCGACTATGCGGGTGTCGTCGAGGAGGTCGGTCCCGGCGTGACCAAGGACTTTAAGAAGGGTGATCGCATTTGCGGACCTGTCAATGGATCGTGAGTTTTTCATTCTTTTTAATTTTTTTTTTCCTTCAGAGAAAGAGAGAGAGAAAGTAGCATGAGATTTGGCGACACAATGGCTAACGGAATCTAGGAATGGTCTGAGAGAGGTTGATGGCGCCTTCGCCAAGTACATCGTCGTTAAGGGTGACCTCCAAATCAAGACGCCCGATAACATCTCCGACGAGGAGGCTGCCACGCTTGGTATCGCCGTCACTACAGTTGTACGTGCCCCTTCTATCCCTTCCCTCTTACCTCATCTCCTCATGAGCAAATGATGATAGACCCCCTCGGGCCAACATGAACCATGTAAAAAAAAAAAAAAAAACCCGCCAGACGAGCAATACTAACACTGAACGCAGGGCCAAGGTCTCTACCAGACACTCAAGCTGCCCCTCCCCACGTCCCCCGCCAAGGAACCCAAGACAATCCTCATCTACGGCGGCAGCACGGCCATGGGCGTCTCCGGAATCCAGTACGCAAAGCTGTCGGGCTACAACGTCATCACCATGGCGTCGCCGCACAACTTCGACTACGTCAAGGAGCTCGGCGCCTCCGTCGTCTTCGATTACAAGTCGCCCACCGTGTCCGAGGACATTCGCAAGTACACCAACGACTCGCTGACGATCGCTTGGGACTGCCATTCGACGCTCGAGTCCGCGACGCTCATCGCCAACGCCCTGTCGTCCACCAAGCCCAGCCTCATCGCCACCCTGCTGTCCGTCGACAAGGCCAAGGTCCAGGAGGCCAACCCCAACGTCGACGTCCAGATGACCGTGTACTATACCGCCTTTGGCGAGCCGTTCGCCTACTTTGGCAGGGTCGAGGCCGTCCCCGAGAACTACGAGTTCGCGAAGCGCTTCTGGGACCTCAGCAGACAGCTTCTGGCGGACGGGAAGCTGAAGCCCGTCCGCGTCATCAAGAACCGCGGCGGCAGCGGTTTGGATGGTGTCCTTGTCGGCCTGAGCGAGTTGAGGGAGGGCAAGGTCAGTGCCGGCAAGCTTGTTTACACCATCTAATACCAATCGTGAAAGGGGAGGGTGTTTCCCCCCCTTGAAAGTTTGAAGACTGGTGAATGCCACGATGATTATGACACATGGAGAAGAACGCGGGGAGCGTTTTGTTTCTTCTTTGTATAAGATTAATATATTCAAGTGCTTGCTTTTTGAAACCTCATTGGACATTGCGCCACCCCTTCCCGCCGCTTAACAATTATGGTATCTAAACGAAAACGTACAAATGCCGTGTCATCAACCCAACCCTAGCCTGCCGTCATATTATATGATTATGTTTTGTCCCTTTTTTTTTTTTTTTTCCTTTCGTTTTCGGTGTCGTTATGTTATATTTTGACGCGACCGATTCTCTGCGCTACCTCGTCCAACATCTTGCGCACCATGTCCCGGTGCGCACTTTCCATCTGCCCCTTGACCAGGGGCATCAGCATCCGGCTTGTCTCGACCCTCGTCGTCTCGACGAGGTCATAGTCGCCCTCGACGTAGCCTACGAGCTTGCCAGAGCTGTGCTCGCCCGGCCATCGCTCGGCGGGGCGGGGCACGACGAGCCACTCGCTCCAGACCCGGACGCCGCCGGGGGCCGAGGCGCGCGAGCGCAGACCGTTGGGGATGTTCTGCAGGATTGCGGGAAAGGATATTTCAGTCTTGACACCCGGCACGACCGTCACTTTCTCGTAGACTTTGTATGATGCGATCTTGAGCCCAGTCTCGAGGAAGAACTCGTCGTCGACGATGCTGTCGAGTAAGACTGGCACTTTCTCGAAGCGGGTTATGAGCGGCTGGTGACGAATGACTGGCGACTGCGACTGGAGGGTTTCGATTACGGCCTCCGCTGGGAGCATGCTAGGGAGTGGAACGCGGATCGTGAGGCTGTGATGGGCGGGCATCGTGGAGACTTACGGTCCGGGGGGGACTTCCGGACCTAGTTGTTTCGTTTGATGTTTAAAAGAACAATGAGATGAGGTGCTAATACCTCTGAAAAACGACACAGTTGGCAAATGGAAGACCGCGAGAGGTTAAAAGAAAATAAGTAGATGATGTCGACAGCCAAGGGATTGACAAGCCGTAAGGCGGCGCGAAGCCAAGTTCAGGTCAGCTTCCTTCCCTGTCGATTGAGGATCAGCGGGAATCCGCGTATTCTGTCTTCAAAGTAAGCGGCCAGAAAGAACCTTGTTCTGAGAATCGAAGGTCGTTCTAAGTGGGTTATGATCAACAGAGAAAAGTATCAGCGACGGTGTAAGAATATTCTGTTTCGTCTGATGGTCTGTTCTCAGGAGGGGTTGATCCCCCAAACAACAGGCCGCAGAAGGTGCAGCACGAGGCCGAGATGGTGTCGCATGGACCTTGCCTCGAAGCAGCGCTAACTGTCAACGTCACCAGAAACGATGGAGGAGACACACTCAGCTAACCACTGTTAGCAGACACATGTGGCAGCTTTGCTGTGCCAAACTATCATTGGATGTAGGGAATAGCGTCAAGGTAGTACCCGATGCATTGGTTCCGGCAGACTGCGTCAGATTTTGGTCACTTCTTGCTTAGCGTGACGAAGGCAAATCAACGTTGATCACAGACAGTTACTGATTTGATACTCGAAGTTGACAGAGAACGCTGAAACGGGCAGTGATACTAAATTTAACCCCTGGGTGAGGAGCCGGTGCCTCGGAATGGGCCTTGTCGCAACCCTCAGCTTGAGGGCGCAGACTGGGATTAAAGAGAGGCCGGCCTTAGACTGAGTCGGTCGGTACTGGAGGACTGAGCCCGGAGTGAGATGATGGCTATGGCTGTGGCTGTGGCTGGGCTGAGGCTGACCACTCTCACCCTCACCACTTCGGCTCCGAGGGCGGATAGGCCGTCTATTGTTGAAGATGGGTAATGGCCCGACCGGAAGCGGGAAAGACCCACGGAATCCAGGCTCGTCCCGAAATGCGATCTTGGCTTTGTCTTGCCCAATGTTGTCTTTTCCAAACGACCGGTACAGTCCTCGTTTCAACCAATGATTCAAGACATAGACTGCAAACGAGACGAATTCGGCCTTCAGTCCACAGATACTGTCGACCGTTGAATAAAGATACTCTTTGGACTTGACGCGGACGATCTGTTGGGGTTGCCCGTCATTCACCTGGTTGCTGGAGAACTAGTCCACCCAACATCCACTGTCAGTGAGCTGAACTGCACAACAGAAGATGCATGGAGTTCTCCATGCATCCCACGCAACGCAAATGGGGCGAAATGGCTTGAGGATCGATGACTCGCTGCTGGCTGGCTATGGAACTGAGCAGCGTCCCATGGTTGGAACCATCGGATCCAGACTCTCTTTCGAAAGGGGTCGATAGGATTCCTGCGCAGATCGATTGACGTTGCAGCTAACCAAGTCGGTGATATTGCATTTGCTGCGTTGTCCTCCCCATCGACCCATAGTTTCAACCTGAATGAAGGGTTAGACATGGACCTGATGACCGCCTATTGCCTGGCTCAGGTCTGACCGCCATGAGGAGTCGCGCAAGTCTGCAGAGAGTTCGTCCGAGAAGCCTCCACTCGCTAATTAACAACTGTCTGTCAATGGACTAATGTTCGTGTTTCCAGCGGCAGAACAGCCCGGTACTACTGAGGTATAGAGAATATGCGGGAGAGCCACTTTCACTTGCATGTGCCTTGCTGTCAGTTGGTGTTCGTCCCTTTAAAGATTCAGAAGCAATAAAAGCCCATTGTCAATTTGGACTCTAGCTGCATTATGCCGGCTGCCCAAACCGAAATTTACTACCTAAATCAGCTTGCCATTTCCGCATCATCTGCGTTCATTAATGCTACGAGGGAATAAAACTTTGCGGTATTCAAATGCCCAAGCTGCGGAGATGACGATTTGACGTGGCTGGTTGGTGCGAATTCGCTCTGCGTGGGTTGAGACGTCGAAGCGGTGAAGGGGGCACCATGCCACTTTGGGTGGCTCTCGTGGGAGGAGTGGAGGGGTTGATGCGCCCAGTCGATGTTGGGGATGTGGGACGGGCAGAGACCAGTAGAGGAATACAGTCGCCTGCCTCGCAGACAGGGCCAGAATTGGTGTGCATGTAGGCCCTGTTAGCTCCCGATACGCAGCCAGCGGCGCTGCGAGTACACCCGCCCAGCTGCAGGTTACTGGCGCAGGCTTAAGATCACTGGATGGACATTCGTCCATCGTACAGATGCCAGATGGGGCTCCGGCGGCGTGGGAAGACCTGCCCAGGACTTCAGCAAGGCCTCGCTGCGAGAGCAGGTACGGATACAACCCCCAACATCTGCTATTCCACATTCGCATGCGCATGGCTGCCCAGCCTTCCATGTATCGATACCTCATCTGATGCGCGTTACACTGCTATTGATGCCAGCAGGCTGGCCGAGCCGTCGTCTGCATGGCAACGTCTCCATGAACGCCGGCTTCTCCCTCTTTTTCCCTGCCCTTGCAAGCCTCGTTCCGCTTCCGGCATGATGGTCCAAATAGCAATGGGGTTGTTTGGCCTAGATGCCGAAGGCAAGGTGAGAGATGATGATGTACATGATGTTATCCCTCTTTGCCTCTGTCCTCCCCGCCTGCTCGTTGAACTTGCATTTCACGCTTTGCACTTCAGACACAGATGCATGGCCAAGTTTGGCCATGCTATCAATACAGTAGCAATCAATGTGCCTGTCGGTACCCGCCTACCACGACCTCTTGCGCGTATGGAATGCAAGCTCAAATGAGGCATTCTTTCTCCTGGCCGTACAGCTCCCTTGCTTGGCGGGGTTGGTATATGTGTGCAAGTACATGGGTAAGTGAGGGCGAGTGGCTGGGCGGGCATGTACCTCTGCCACTGAGCGCTTTAGGCGAGAGAAACAAATATTATTTATCTGACCAGCCAGATGGGATGGGGGGTTATTGTCTGCGATGAACTCCGAGGAGGGCATGGGCGCCCGGGCGTAGCCGGATAAGGGTTCTGGCAAGGGCGGTGATACACGAATTCTATTTTGCTCGTTCTTCTCTTGTCCTCGTTAGTGAGTGGTTGGAGAAAGACATAGCGGCAAAGCGTCATCATGAAGCAACATGGAATATCGCAGTGTCGAGGAGAGAAATTAAAAAATCAAGAGCGCGCCAACAGCGAAGATCCAGGGGGAAAGGGCGTCAACACCCATTGTTCAGAGCAGGGAAGAGGGCTGGAAAGGACGGTGCGTAGGGTCCTGCTTGTCCGGGAACTGGAGTCTAGAGACAACTGTCAGAAGCAATTAAGGTGCGGGTATCGCTGTTCCTCCAGCAGGTGCAATTGGGGTACCCTGTCTGGGTAAGGTAGGCACTCTGGGACGATGAGCAAGTGGCAGGCTGGTTAGCTTGGCCTGCGGCAAGGGCGTTCAACCTCTTCTCTTTCCTGTACTAGTAACGGCCTTTGCACCTTTTGGGCCTTGCCCTATAGCTTGTAGGCCTGGGTCACAACTTGTCTGTTATCTAACTTAACTCGCGCAGTTGTCACTCTAAGACAACACCACAACCAGAACTCGCGTGGCAAACAAACAAGCCTTAGAAACCTCCTGACCTTGGCTTCTCATTTTCGCTCTCGCGCCGTGTGGTGCATGCTGCCCGAATGCCCACTTGAAGCGTACGGGATCCTGGAGAAATGGCATCACCTGCACGGCAGGCTGAATGGGAGGGGGGGCCACAGTGGTGTGAATCGAGTCAAAGGGACGGGACTTGCAGGGACTATATCACATCGGCCCAGCCAATGAACCCCCAAGCCCGCCCCTCCAACCCGCCCATTTGCCAGGGATCAACACCCTCTTGGTCAACAAGCACACAAGCAAGTAACTCGTTGCGCTTTTGCCGACTGTGGCACCTGCTGCCATCTTCATCATGAGCCGTGGCTCGGGTGTGTGGTGCGGTATGTACCTTGCACACGCACTCACCACACGCCCCGAACAAGTACAGACAAAACAGACAAGCGAAGATTGGGGGAAAGGGGCAAAGGGGAGCGGGACAATACTGAGGAGCGATGGCCAGCAGACCGACCAGACTCATTGAGCATTTGGATTGGATGTGATAGGACGGTTGGCTGGGCAGATGGATCGCAAGACGTACATACAGCAGCAGCAAGAACATCCATATCCATAATTATTACTCCGACCCTACCTTACCTCAACTTGCTTTATGGCACCCGATTGATGTAGCTCGGCCTGGGTCGGTGACTCTCGTCACTTCTTTCTCTCGTTCATCAACACCATTGGGGATACAAGGCGGCGGAACCGTCCTTGTTTTTTTCCCAAGCCGTTTCTGTTATTACTTTGCCATCCCATTGCATGATAAGTCGGCTCCTGGAAAAAGAAGAAACCCAGACGCGCGGAGTTGACGGGGAAGAGAAAGACCGCGACTTTGCGCTTTACTTCCTCACAGATGCCCGCAATTGCTTCTCGAGCGTTGGCCACCCCTTATACCGATTTCCCAACCAAAGACGACAACAAGTCCAGGCACCGGGCCAAACGGAACGATAATACCCAGCTGCGGGTGTGTTGCTTTCTTCTGCAAGATATTGGCGGTCTGCCCATCGCCACGACGATCCAGCGACGACGCGAAGGGCCATTGGCTCCTTGTGCAGGAAGTGGCTTGTAAGAATCTTTTCTGGACCGCTTCCAACGCTCCCACTGCTCCTTTTTCTTTTGCTGTTTTTTCTTTCTCTCTACCCTCTTATATGGCTCGACCTCGCCTCCGCCAAGGAGACACGAGACGAAGAAAATAGGAGGTGGGAAGGAAAAAAAAAACAAGGGACGATTCGGAACGTGAGACGAACACCAAAAAGTTCATCGGCGAATTGACTTGTATTCTCACAGATTTAGGGCGGTCAGACCAGCGCAGTTGGTGAACCAGACAGCGGTGACGGCGGCGTTTTGAGCTGTTACGCCAACAGCTCCATCCCTGTTATCGCCCGTAACTGGCCCGTTATCGATCTATTGTCCAGCCTATCCTTAGCAAGGACCAGGAACGTAATTAGAGAAGACGAGGCGGCGTCCTGAGGTATTTCGCCCTGTGGTATCTTATCCATCATTCTCCCCTTACCTCATTCGACCCTTACCTTGTCAACTCCAGGTCCCTGGCGCACGAAGTGGCTCCGTCCCTTTTTTGCCCGCCAAACCGACTTTCCCCAGCCCGCGCATTACTTCTACTTTTACCACTTCATTTGCAAACATCTTTTTTTTTTCTTGCTGACTTGTACCACCTTTTGTTGCAGCTTCCCAGGTCACTCAAAGTCTCAAGCGTCCGTACTGGCAGAGTCTTTTTAATACGGCAAACTTGATATCCGCTTCATTGGCTTTTCGCCCGCCTCCTCAAACGCGCAAACCGTTGCCCCTCCCTCTACCATTCGTACTTACAGCCACGACGAACACGACCGCGACTTACTCTCGCTTTCCAGTTTCCTATCGGGCCTCTCCCAGATTCCACGCAGATTCCATGATTTTCACACCCGGAAGCCACACTACGAGGTCCAATTCCCAACATGGCTGCGGCCGCGGTTTCGACATGCTTCCCCGGAAGCTGGGCAGAAGGCGCATATGGTTGGAGAACAGCTCGGCAATCGACGACTGGGTGGGATGAGGACGACGTGCGCGTCCGCTTGCGCATGATTGCGCGCGCATGGGAATTTGCACTGCGAAATGCTCAGGTACGGCCCGAAACATTTTCGTCCTCCGTCATTCGTTTTTTTAGTTCGCAGTTTTCTTTGGAAATTTGTGCGCGACGGCGTCGTTCCAGCGCCGACGCCCCAATCGCTCGTCCCAAGCTTAACGGTTACCGTTCGCTGTAAGGGGCTATTTGGAGGTACCTTCATTGGGGGAAATCGGGAAAGTGAGGTGGCTCAACACCGCCTCCCCCCCCCCTTCCACTAATACGCCTCAGCATCGGACAAACATGCAGACTAAGCTGATCCGCTGACATTCCTAGACGTCATACCATCAGCGACCCCTCAGAACCACGTTTGACATATCGAGCCCGTTGACAGCACCAGAATGCGGCCCGCGATGGTCGCGACACTTTACCCCGCCACCCGAAGCATCTGAATCATCAGAACAAGTAATGGACCCTACACATTCTGGCGCTTCTGCAAGTCGACGACCCTCCGATTTTTCATTCTTCGTCCGACCTCAGACCTCGAAGGCTGAAACCAGGGAGAAACGTGGCAGCGATGCGATATTCCGGGATCCATCTCACGACTTTTTGATCGATTTTGGTTCAGAAGAAGGCTTCATGCAGGCCGCAAAGAAGAAGAAGAAGGCGCCGGCCAAGGCTCCTGCGAATAACAACACGAACAACAACAATGATGACGATCCAAAGAAAGAGGATGAAGGTGCTGGCGACGGAGGTGACCAGGGAAGTGGCGATGCGCCCAAAGGTGATGGTGCAGCAGGCGACGGTGACGGCGGCGACAAAGAGAAAGAAACACCACCGGCGGAGGACCCACCGGCGGAGGACGATTGGGGTTTCGCGACTGCCAAATCCAAGAAGAAGGGCAAAAAGGGCATCTCTGACGAACCCCCTACGATTCCGGCATCAAATATGGACGCTTTTGACGAGATCAAGTTAGACGACTCGGGCGGCGGCGGCGGCAGCGGCACGCTAGACGCCGATTCCGGTTCTACAGACAACAAGTCAAGTTCGGGCGGATGGGGATCAGGTTGGGGTGCAGGGATTGGGAGCGGCTGGGGTTGGTCTGGGGCTAGCAAAACTACAGCCGCAACAACCCCTGCTGAGGCCAAGGAAGAGATCGGATCAAATCCCTGGGGTCTGAGCACGTCAAAATCTAAAAAGAAGGGCAGCGCCTTGGGCTTTAGTTTCGGCGAAGAGGAGAAACCAGCAGAACCGGAACCAGAACCGGAACCCGCTCCTAAAGAAGAAGAGAAAAAGGATGACCCATGGGGCGCATTCTCTACCACGACGTCCAAGAAGGACAAGAAGAAGAAGAAAGCGAACATCTGGGATCCCCTGCCAGAAGAGGAGAAGAAAGAGGAACCGCCAAAGGAAGACACTCCAGCAGACGATCCATGGGGTTCATGGGGTGGTACTACGACCAAAAAGAAGGGCAAGAAGGATGAGCCCACGCCTGAGCCTGAGCCACCCAAAGAACCGGAACCGGAGCCTGAGCCGGAGAAAAAGGATGACCCTTGGGGCTTTAGTACACCCCTCTCCAAGACCGAAAAGAAGAAGAAGAAGAAGGGTCTTCTCGCTGACCCAGAGCCTGAACCGGAACCGCCCAAAGAGGAGAAGAAGCAGGACGATATCTGGGACTCGTGGGGTTTCGGCAAGAAGAAGAAGGACGAGCCAGCACCGGAGCCTGAGCCTGAACCTGTCCCAGAACCGGCGCCTGATCCGCCAGCAGCGGCAAATGATCCTTGGAGCTGGGGTTCATCAGCGACCAAAAAGGACAAGAAAAAGAAGAAGGGTCTTCTGGCCGACCCAGAACCTCCCAAAGAACCTGATCCTCCTCCAGAACCCGAACCAGAACCAGTCCCGGAACCGGAGCCGGAGCCGGAGCCGGAGCCAGAGCCGCCGAAGGTCGAAGTAGATCCATTCGCTGGATTGACTAAGTCGCAGAAGAAGAAGAAGAAGGCCGAGATGGCAGCGGCGGCCGCAGCCGCAGCCGAGGCTGAAGCTGCGAAAGAGCTGGATCCACCCCCAGAACCCGAACCGGTGCCTGAACCTCCGCCTCCTGCGCCTGAGCCCGAACCCGAGCCGGAAAAGAAGAGCGATCCCTGGGGGTTTACTACTTTGTCCAAAACGGAGAAAAAGAAAAAGAAAAAGGGACTTCTTGCTGAACCCGAGCCTCCAAAGGAACCCGAGCCCGAGCCTGAGCCCGAGCCTGAACCAGAGCCTGAACCAGAGCCTGAACCGGCGGAAGAAGGCTTTTGGGCCAGCCTGGGAACTTCAAAGAAGGACAAGAAGAAGAAAAAGGACAAGGCAGAGCCGGAGCCAGAGCCCATTCCCGAACCAGTCCCTGAGCCTCCGGTGGCCGAGCCTGAACCGGAACCTGAGCCACCAGCAGAGAGCGACTGGACCTTCGGTCTTTCTAAGAAGGACAAGAAGAAGAAGAAGAGCAAATCAGCCGATTCCGAACCCGAACCCGTTCCTGAGCCGGCGCCTGACCCGCCAGTTGAGGAACCCAAGACTGAGCCTGCCGCCGATGACTGGGCCGACTGGGGCCAGAAAAAGGACAAGAAGAAGAAGAAGAAGGGCGATGACATGGCTCTGGTTGAATTTGGCGGAGAAGAAGAAGCCGCACCCGCTGAGGAGGCTCCTCCCGCCGTGCCAGACGTGTCGGAATCACTGGGTGGCGAAGGCTTCTTTAGCTCCTGGTTTACTGGTAAAAAGAAGAAGAGTGATGACGCCGACGCTTCTATGAGGCCAGATGCCATTGAAGAACCGGCAGATGACACCTGGGCGCTATCCTCTTCTAAGAAGAAGAAAGATAAGTCAAAAAACGAGCCTGTGGAGGTCATGGATGAGGAGCCAAGCATGGATTCCATGCAGCCTGACTCGGTTGAGGAAACTAAAGACAAGGCAGATGATGATGACTGGGCTGCCTGGGGTTCCTCAAAGAAGAAGAACAAGAACCGTAAGGACATACTCGCCGACCCTCCACCGCCAGCTCCCACCCCTCCCACAATGGACTTGACTGAGCCTGAAGCAGACCCTGAACCAGAGAAAGAGAAATCCAGCTTCTGGGGCGACTTGACTTCTTCCAAATCCAAATCCAAGGACAAGGACAAGGATAAGGAGAAGTCTAAAAAGGAGCCTAAACTGAGCGAGAAGGAGCTAAAGAAGCTCGAAAAGGAGAAGAAGAAAGCCGAGAAGGAAGAGGCAGCGCGGAAGGCTCAAGAAGAAGAAGAAGCAGCGGCAGCTGCCGCCGAACAGGCTGCCAAAGAGGAGGAGGAACGTCTCGCTCGAGAAGCTGAAGAAGCCGCCGCTGCCGAGGCTGCCGAAGCCGCCGAGAAAGCTCGAATCGAGGAAGAAGAAGCCGCGAAAGCTGCAGTCGAGGCCGCTCGCATTGCCGAAGAAGACGAACAATTCGCGGCTTTGGAGGCCAAGAAGCTTAAGAAAGGCAAATTGACCAAGAAGGATCAGGCAGTCTACGATAGACTGAAGGAAGCTGTGGATCAACGCGCCGCCGACCAAGCAACTGCGGAAGCCGAGGCTGAAGCTGCCGCCGCCGCCGCCGAAGCTGAAGCTGAAGCTGAAGCTGAAGCCTCTCGCATAGCAGAGGAGGAACGGCTTGCTAAAGAAGCCGAAGAAGCTGCAGCCAAAGAAGCAGAGGAGCAGGCGGCTCGGGAACGAGAAGAAGCCGAGGAAGTGGCTAAGAAATCTAAGAAAAGCTCCAAGTTGGAGAAAGAATCCAAGTCCAAGTCCAAATCTAAAGAAAAAGAAAAGGAGAAGGAGAAGAAAGAGAAGGATAAGAAGAAGGATAAGAAGGACAAGAAAGGAAAGGATAAGGACAAGGAGGAAGAAGAGGAGGAGCCGCAAGAAGTCCCGCCAGAGGTCAACGAGGATATCGACAAGGACGACGACCTGGGCGACATCGAGCTCACCGAAGAGCAAGTGGAGGAGCTTCTGGCCGATCCTACATCGCCGCCGCCGCCACCAGTCCCAGAGTCCAAGGCAGCCAATGATGCGTTTAGCTTTTGGGGACTTGGTATGAAGAAATCGTCTAAGAAAGGTTAGTGGCCTCAGGCAATCTCCAATACCCCTTCATACCACCACACCACCAAGCTTCACCGAGGCCACCAAAATGGGACGCCTCGCTACCCTGGGTGTCACCTGAGATTACCCTGCTGACTCACCCTTGTTTAGAAGGTGCGAACTTCGGCTGGAATGACACGAGTACCTCATCCGCCATAAACAACGATGCCCCGACCTGGACGCAACCGTCTCCGGCTCGTAAGGCTATGGGAAGCAAGATTGCTGACAGATTAAAAGCATTTCAACCGCCGTCACCGCCGCCGCCTGAGGACGAACCCGCGCCCGTTGTCGAAGAGGAACCACCTGCAGAGGAGCCCGTCCCGGAGGAACCCGTACCCGAGGACCCTGTACCTGAGGAGCCCCCGTCGCCGCCCGTGGCCCTGTCGAAGGAAGAAAGAAAACGACTCAAGAAGGAAAAGAAGCGCGCTGAGGCTGAGGCTGCTGCTGCTGCCGAAGCTGCTGCTGCTGCGCCGCCGCCCCCGCCGCCTGCGCCCGAAGAGCCACCTTTGGTTGATGGTGAGGAAGTAGCTGACGAAAACAAATCATCTGAACCTCCAGGCGCGTTCCCTGCCGATGAGGATGAAAACGACATCATTGAAGTGATTGAGATGCCGGTTGAGAAAAAGAAGAAGAAGAGCAAGAAGAACAAGGAGAGGAACATTCTCGCTGAGGACATACCTCCACCGCCGGCTCCGCCACCACCCCCAGCTGTCCCGGAGGCGCCTGCCCCTGACGAGCCCGCTGATGAACCCGCTGAAGACCTTGCTGAAGAGCCTGTTGCCGAGGAGATCATTTCACCTCCTCCCGAACCAAGGTCTTCTAGGAAGGAACGTACCAAGATTAGCCGTGAAGGATCGACTTCATGGGGGATGTGGTCAGCTTCGGCCTCTCACGATAAGGATAGAGAGAGAGACCGCGACCGGGATCGCGACAGAGAAAGGAAGTCCAAGTCCAAGTCTGAAAGGCGTGAGAGGAAACACGCCTCTGCCGAAAAAGAAGAACGGAAGAGTTCTTCCAAGGGCTCAAGCTCCGACAAGGCCGATCGCGCCGAGAAGGATATGGAGACGCCAGCGCCGGCACGCCCGAAGCTAATGTCCATGTTCAGTACCCCACCAATTTCCCGATCTGCCGACACTCGGGATCGGCGGCATGGATCCGGCCGGCCGTCCCGTCGTCACTCGCTTGATGTTACTGGCTTAGTGTCACCTCCTCCGGAAGAGGCACCACCTATCTCCTCAAAGGCTGCCAAAGTTCTTGGCGTTGACAAGTCCAGCAGTCGGCGACGCAGGCGTGCCCCTACAGAAGACGAAGACATCGTTATGGTGGGGGCCAATGGGGATGGAGAAGACATGAACCCTCCCAAGTCGTCTCGTCGGCGCTCTAAATATCCCAAGGAAGATGACATCGTCATGGTCGATACCGACGGCCCCGCCGAGCCACCCCCCATGAAGCGGTCCAATTCCAGCGCCAAGAAGGGCCTTGGGGGACTATTTAGCGGTCTCAGAACGCCCAAGCAGGACCGCCCAGAACCACCACGACGGCGACACACGTATGCCACTGACGACGAGGCTAGACGTGAACGCCGCAGAGGGGCTGCTGTTGAAGCCGAAGAGGCGGAGCCCGTAACCATGCCGGATATGGACCAAGAAGCCCGCCGCGCTGCTCGTCGAGCTCGTCGAGCAGCTCGAGAAGCTGAGGCTGCTGGAGTTGCTGATCAAGATGGTGATGAGGCACGTCGTGCGAAGGACGAGGCAAGACGTGAACGTCGTCGCCGACGTGAAGAGGAGGATGCCGAAACACGTCGACGAGAAGAGAGGGAGGCCCGACGCGCAGAACGACGAGCAGCTCGTCAACGCGAGGATGAAGAGCGCAGGGCGGCAGACGAAAAGGAGGCTGAACGAGCCGAGCGGCGACGGCGTCGAAAGGAACGCGAAGCTGCTGCTGCCGCTGCAGAAGCCGACGCAGAGGCGAGGCGAGCAGCCCGAGAGGAACGTCGTCGTGCCCGTGAGATGCGTGAAGCAGCACCAGTCGACGAGGAAGAGGCTCGCAGAGCCAGACGAGAAGCAAGGCGTGCTGCTCGTGCCGCCGCAGAAGCGACCGATGGCGAAGAGGTCCGTCATCGCAGCAGCCGCAGGCGATCCACCCGCGAATCAGGCGATGAGGCCGTGTACTCGTCACGTCACAGATACCGGCGTGACGAGGAAACAAAGCCGGCTTGGCCTCACTCCGGGACCTCTTCGTGGGTCAAGGAACACTCCGACGCGGGTCCACCCCCGGAAGACGGCGGACAAACTGATGCCGTGCCTCAGACGGAGGACGAAGCCGCTCGCCGTGAGCGACGAGAACGACGTCGCCGGGCCCGGTACGAAGAGGGCACTGCCGACGAAGCTGACGATCGCCGCCGTAAAGCTCGACGCGAGGAGCGTGAGAGGCGATACGGAGGCAGTGGTGGCGGTGGCGGCGGCGGCTCAGAAGGTAGTGACGAACGCCGCCGACAAGCCATGTTCTCGGATGCGACACCTCGCAGCAGCTGGTGGCGGAAGCTGACCGGATGATACGACATGTCTGTATGAATGGATGTTAGCGAGTGACGAAGCGTTGTGATTTTTGATTTCATGTTTTGTTTTATGCCCCTGAATTTTCCATCACCTTATTCTTTTTTTTTTTTTTTTTTTTGGCACTTTCCCATGATCACCACTAACATATACCCCCTCAAATCCAATCCAATCTAAATCATATACACGTTCAAAATGTTGTTGCAAAATACTGTTTTAGTCCAAAATACCTGAAAAAAAAAAACACCTCACCCATGTTAGTCTTATTGTATCACCTCCAGGGAATAGGAAAGCCTCGGTGCATTGTTCTGGGCGGCACGGAGTACTAGCATACGACCTTCCTGGGGGAAAAACGAAAAGGGTTGAGGAGTACACACATCACACACATGCATAGCTTAGCATAGTTATACCCCGAGGAGAAGAAACGGTTGGCAGAGAGAGAAAGAGAAAGAGCCAGTCAAGGAAAGAGTGTGGAGGAGGAGGAAGAAAATATATTAGCTGGATTTTTGCTCGCTTTCTTTACATGATTCATCTCATTCTGGCATGTGACGTTCTTGTTCGTAGATCTGGTCGTCGTCTCGTCCCGTTCGCGGAGGAGTTTTTGACTGGCTTTGGGAGTGTTACGACCTGGTACTATGCAGCAGCAAGATATGTGACGTGGCGGTGCCGGTTGGATGGTGGGAGTTGCTTGGCGACTGTGGCCGGGGCTTTTCGGATTGGGCTGTGCTAAGGAGCAACAGCAAGCTACGAATTCGGTTTTGGAGATGGAGACGCACAGTTTGCAAAAATCACACGAGAGTCGGCTAGGTTCAGATACATTATCGGACTAGGTATTATTACGGTACTGAGACGTAAAGTATCGTCTGCTGACGCCCAAAGGCGTGTATTTGTCCACCGAGGACCTTATATAGGCGGTTACATGATTGCTACCTGAGACGTCTGCGCTTACAGAACGAGGGTGCTTTCCATAAATAGATACGTGGAGTAAGTAGTAGTTCTTTGTAAAGATAAAAAAATAAAAGAGTGTAGATTAGCGCAGACCTGTCAGTTCGAGCAGATCGTGCTTGTGAAAATACGCTCGCACGCGCTTCCCATAAATGTCTAAACTTTTGATTAGCGTATTTGTTGCTTGGAAGCCAAAAAGGTTTTACTTACACATAGGAATGCTGAGAGCGCAGACCACAACTTGGATGCTAGCGATGGCAATCATAGTGGTCTTGATACCACCGTCAATGACCCAGTCATATGCACCGTAGGTCAGGCCAAAACTGAACATGTTCTTGAAGATGATCATGCAGGTAAAGCCTTCAATGGCAAGGTCGCGGTACGCATCCACGATATACAGTGAACTCGCTACGGCGCCAATGACCATACCAGCGACCTCAAAGCCGAAGAAAACAAGGGGAACAATATAATGATACTCCTTGCTCAGGAGGCCGGCGGCGGTGATGCCGAAGCCATACAGACCGATGGAGCCGATGATGAACATGGGAATCACCATGACGATGCGGAACTCGGGTTCGTAGACACCGCCATTGCGACGGGTCATGACATGAACACTCCAGTCAGAAAAGACACCGGCGATGATGAATCCGATAAGAGCTCCGACAAAGGCGCCAACGTAAGCGTATCCCGCATACACCTCGTTCCAGTAGTACGGAGGTCCCAAAAAGATGGCGGCAACGATGACACCGATGAAAACTGTCCAACCAATCATGGTACCTTGGATGAGGCAGCCCCAAAGAAATGCTGGCTGAACGAAGAGCGGGAATGGGCGTAGAAGAAGCTTCCAGTAGCTTTCATCCGTCTTGTTGCCGTCAAAGAGATTAAGTGACTGGACGAAGGTCTTCTTGGGAGTATTGGCTCCATGGCCAGCTGCGGCAGCAGGGGCACGCGACGTCGCTTCGGCAGAGTTCTTTTCTTGATCGCCCGGGAAGCTGCCACGGCCGTCGTTGATGGCTAATATTTTGTTGTTCTGGTCAGCAGGATTGGCAGCCATGTCGGTGTTGAGAGCGGCATCGCGGCGATATGCTGTCTCAGGGCAGAGGAAGAAAACAGCCGGCAGCGATACGGCAAGGAAAATGGCCTCCAGGTAGAAAGTCCACCACCAGCCGATGCTATGAGTGATCTTGCCAACAACGATCGGGGTGAAGAAGGCACCGCCGAACACAGCCAGATTTGTGAAGGCCATGCGCGAGCCACGCTGGTGGACGTAGTACAGGTCACCAACGGCGGCGTTGACAAGAGTCTCGAAGGGAGCGCAACCGATGCCCTGAATGACTCGGGCGCCGATAAGCGATTTGTAGTTAGTGCCGACGGCACCGGCCCAGGCGGAAGAGCCGATGAGTATGCATATTCCCAAGATAAAGAGGTGACGCTTGCCCCAGACACGTCCAGATGGCACGAAGAAGATAGCAGCGGCGCCAACTCCGAGCAAGAAATAGCCCGTCAAGAGTGCGATGTCCGTGAAGCTCTTTCGGAAAAGAAGAGCGATCGTGACCGTATTAGCAGCAAGAATAGGGCCGAGGGCAGTCGCAAAGATGGCAGTAATACTGAGGACAAAGGTGATTAGGTCGCGCTTCCAAAGTGGCCAATTGAGGGGGTCGTTCGGATCGTCGGAGGGTTGGGGAATCTGGAGAGGGCTGTCAGCGGGGACGGGCGGGTCGCGATGTGGTGACTGGAGTATTCGTAGCTCACAAGTATAATGGGCGTTCCACTGCTGTCGTCGACTTTCAATCCATGATAATTGTCGGTCGTGGTTTGCACCTGTTCAGGTTCGTCAAAGTAACGCGTCGTGCCTGGAGTTTCGACAGTGTCAGCTTTGGGATGGCAGGAGGACAGAGCGGGATTGAACGTGGGCGCAGGACGCACCTGGGACATGATCCAGGTCCTTGGACTCGAGAACGCCGAGACCCATGGTTGCAGGTGTCGTTCTCCAAATTACGTCGAGCTGCAGAGAACAAGTTGGAGCATCACGACATGATAATTCGGCAGACACAAGTCGGTACACACGAAGCGACCGGACGTTGCAGAAGTCAAGAATATAGGAACAGGAGTGGGCGAAAAAGGCTATTCATTGTACTAAAAAAGGTAAGGAGGTAATATGGCCAGCACCTTACTTGGGACTTTGTGGTGTGACCCTGGCCCAACCAGGGTGGACCCGTCAGTGCTGTTGCTAAGAGGCCCTGGGCGACCCTACATGCCTCTTGCTTCGGCACCTGCGGGCACAAGTGCTGGGATTCTCCGCAGGTCTCCATTTATAATTGCGCTCATCAAACCTTATTCCACAACGCTTCGGGCTGTTAGGGAAACCCGACTCAGCATGCAACGATAGCTTTAGGCGCAAGTTATTAATTGAGCAACACTGCCGGAGTGAAGTGGCATCTATTACTAGGCTTGCTTAGCCTCGCCGCTGAATGATCATAAGCTCCCAATTGACACCTCCCAACTAGGATATCCGTAACGTACCATGTGATTATGGTTAAAAGTTCAAACATTCATATGAAGCTATTCACGCACACACCTCTGCTTGTGGTGCCCTCTTGGCGACACTTCTGAGGCAATTGGCGTTTTTTTTTTAAAAAATAATAATTGTGGAGCCAATATCAATAGCTATTGGGTTCATCAGTGTCTACACACTCTCTCAGCTAAAAGTTCAGAGGGTATCGTCTACGGATCTGTGCGCCGACAAACTCTTGCGTAGAGCATAACTCTGTGAGTACTTGGTATACAGCTTCTGGGCGGGGCAGAAGTTATGGGTGATGACGGCGTCGACGGCAAGGGACGGGATAGTTTCAGTGCGTGGGAATAAGTTGGCATCGAACGGCCCGGGCGGAGTCATCTCTGCCTCATTTCGTAACGTCGCCATCCTGGTCCATCCTACCCTCCGTATAAATTATGCTTTCTCTAACTGGGATATCGAAATTCTATTCCATTTTTGTTAACGAATCGACAGAAGCCTCCCTCACAGCACGGCGCATCATCGTTTTCGCTGTATCACTTATTAAACTCAAGACCGTGTAAGAACCGTTATCACATGTTGTCATCATATCTTGCGGGACAATGCCTCGGAAACTACAACAACGTCAATATGGGTGTAGACCTTGGCTTGGCAAGTACTCTTGTTCTTGTATCCCAAGCTTTCCCCCTGGCCTCAATTGCACGTGGTCATTCCACTTCAACATGGCGAATCCGCAAAGTTCGATTGTAATTGCGTCCACAAATACTCCGTAAAGAGCAACTCAGTTACTCCAACTGCCAAGTCATGTTGGCGTCAATCAACAAATGTACTCTCCAATTATGACGTGATCACGAAACACACCGAATGAGATTGCAAGGAATGCCCCCTAGTTCTTCAATCATAACCACGAAACGTATCATCATCTACTTCTTAACAACTCTTCATTAAACAGTAAACAGTCTGTCATGATTGATTGTAGACAAAACTATCCTAATGATTCAATCTATCCTCAAACGCTTCATTGACGGCTTCTGAGTGAGCCCTCTCAGGCCTCAAACATGTAAGCTGAGTCAGAAGTACACAAATCACTTTACTCAGACCGGTAAGCAATATCACTATCCCCCAAATCCCCCGAGAACAGTGATAGACTCGATGACCCAGTAATTCAGAGCGACGAGCACAGTATAACTAGGTCATTAAGTACAGAGAAAAACGTCGGACTCTAGGCGTGCTTAAAACAGTCATTAATCTCTGCCATCCCCCCTCCGTTTATTGGCTGAAAGTGGGTCAAGCCCCAAACTTTGGAAACATCGCTGGCCTCAACAGCACCGATCCAAACCTAGTGTCACGGATGCATTTCTTTCGGCTTTCTGTAAAACGTAAATGACAATAACGACAAAAGGCCAAGATCATGAATTGAAAACGCCATAATCCAACAGTAACGCTACAGCGTCTCAAAGATAACGACACCTGGATAAGAGCTTCTGCTGCAGCTAATGTCCAGCGTCTTTGTTGGGGCTTATACCTTTAATTTCGATATTTGCAGCTGAAGCTCTCATCCAGGTGTCGTTATTTTAGGTTCATGATATTTTGCGACCTGTAGCCTGGACATCGATTAGCTCTGAGATTATTTAAAGACTAGTAATGCTGGTTGGGAATGCATTGGAGCAACTACTTCGAATGTCACTCGTCTAATAACCAAATGTTGTCTCCTTACAGAGTTGAATTCCTGGCACATTGTTCGCTAATTACTCGCTTTGTAGCAAGACGGATACGGGAACTGAATCTTCCTTGGTACGCTTGGTGTGGGAAAACGAGCTTTCATATGATTTACATTTTGTTTCAAGGTAGCTTTCATGTCTATATTTAGCTAGAAGAGCGAATGGTCTCCAAGACTAAGATGCCCTCCGTTGAAGAAGTTGTCTATCATCTCCAAAGAAAAGGACCCATCAAACTCTGGTACAAGTGTAGCTCCCGTGAAGGATGATGGGTGATCTTGCTGCTGCTCCCTCACCTCTTGATTGGGCTGAACCCAAGCTGCGGACGATCCGTTAGCAACCCCATGTTGGTCTCGGAGATTCCCCGGGGACGCCATAGCAATCCTATGAGGCGCGCGGTCATCGGTGACGACGGTCGGTGCAGGAGTAGCGCCTACTTCGCGCGTTCCCTCAACCCTCGCAGTGACCTTCTTCAGCGCCCTCTCCAGACCGAACTGGATGGCAGAAGGTGAGCTTGCCGACCACACCATGTTCTGTTTCTGCGCGGCCCTCAGCAATGCCAGCACCTCCTGGCTGCCTCCATTGGTATTACTCATACCAGAAACGCCTGACGCGGGCTCTTGTTCGTACTTTGAAATGATGAGCATCGCGTACGCCACACACAGCCGATGGAATTCGGGCAGCTCTTCCGCCCGCGCTGAAGGCATCTCCACGAACGCTCTGACAACCTCGGTTGCGAAGCCGCATACTCTGGCGTGCGCCATGTCGTGGAGTTCCGGGTTCTGTTGAGGGATTGGTGGTTCATGCCTGGCGGCGTCGGCTGGCCGTAACCTCGGTGAGCTTGACAGAGAGTCTTGATCCGACGACGCCTGGTTGTGTTCGAGGGTTCGACGCGCGAGAATCAGCCAAGCAATGGAATGGCTTATCCTCAACGTTGAGGCCGCTGGCAGCTCTGGGCGGTCACAATGTCAGTAAGAAGACCGCAAAGGTTGACGTCAAACCCGGGTGGTGGATTCAGCAGTGCTGTATGTTGAGTTTGTGGCGACGACCCTTGGACTTACCGAACAAATAGTTCCACCTCAACTTCCACGCCGCAAGCTCCTCGCATTCGCCATCGGCCCCGAGATATGACCTCTGCGAGAGTTTATCTTGCAGGATAAGGTACAGCGTTATCTCGGCGTACATCATGGCGTCGCGCATTGTGACCTCCTCAAAGTTGAGAAGAAGTTTGCATTGCGCGAGATAGTCGGATGGTACGGTAGCTGGTCTTCCAGTAGTAGCCGCCCAACTGGAGACAAAGAAGGTGTCAGCAAGAAATGGAAATATGGCCTTGATTTTGGGCATCAAGGAAGTTAAACGCACTGAAGATTTACAAGGCAGGTATTGGCCCAGAACCGTACGACTCTCTGATCGTCTTCAGTTGATTTCCGGGCTTTTGTCCTACTCAGAATTTCGGAGAAGTTGATGCTCAACATTGCCTGCTGGGCGCAATGCCCACTTAGCAGCCAGCTGTCGATGTACTCTGGACTCTGCCCCGCCATCACATCAGTCATTCATCCCATCTCAGTCTTTTCGTATTATTTTCCACATACCGATGGGGAAGATGCCCAAAGACTCATAATAAGAATTCCCATAAGCTCCTCCAGAGGCAGCGGGCTTGCGATCATCAATTGGCCGAGCTGTAGGCGTACATGCTCGAATACACGTCGGTGTAACCCTGACGAGCTATGTTCAGAGAACCTCATGGCGTGAAGACAACAGGCATCGTGTAGAAATGGCGAAGCATGCCGCAAGTCTCTATTCCTCGGCGCCAGATCAACCTCGCTATTGAGAAGCAAGGTATGTTTCCTTCGATGGACAAACCTAACCTGGATGTCAGCAAGGCAACACAGACTTTCAACAGTTGATTAAAAAGAATTGCTTTGAGCCATTTCTTCTTGTAGATTTCCCTCTTTGCGTGTTCGCTTTGTCTTTCGCCTGCAGCCTCATCCTTCCTCTCTCCACGTTGAGATGATATGTTGGGACACACAAAAGCCACTTACTCAGCAACTAAACCGCGAGCTGTCTTGTCATCTAGAATGCCCAGGGAAACAAGATCAGCCTGAACGTCGAATGTTCGTCGATAGCCTCCGCTTAGTTGACTTCCGACTTTTCGCACAACCTCAGCAGGGGACGAATAGACATGTCGATCCGCCGGCTCAACGTCCTCGTTTGCAGGCGCTCTATTACTGGCACCGCCACTACCCACACTCCCAGAGACGTCATTATCATCAACACTGCTGTTGCTTGTAACGTTCTTATCCGCAGCTTGCCGTTCTTGTCGTACTACACCAAGAGTTCTCCTCACGTCTGGTCTCACGCCTGGCGCCAGCATCTGTACGGTCGCCTTCAAATCAGCTATTGACGCCTCCAGGCTTCGAATTCTATCCAGAGGTGTTCTTTTAGCACTTTTTGAGGTTTAGAGATATTTTTCTTCAGTTTTTTTCGGGCAAGAAGCAAGAAACTTACCTTCCTTCGACATCCGGTTTGCTTGGCGCCTCCTTCGAGGATACTGAATGAGTATCACCGCTGTCATTCCACGTGCAGGTGATTCTGTCTCTTGTTAGCAACTAACCTTCATACATTTTCGTCGTTCCTATTTTTTTCCGCCAAGTCATGGATAAAACCTCAGTGTTTCTCTTGCACACGGGACGATGATCGAAGAGTAGAACTGGCGTACCTCAAAGACCGACAACGCGAACACGCCTCTGACTCCTCATCCAACTCGCACCGACATTTCTGCCTCCTGCACGTATCACACGACAGAATCCGGCGCCTCCTTTTCCTACTTGATTCATCTCTGCTGCCTCCTCCCGCATCTTGACGGCTCTCATCGCTTAACCGACGGCGGCGGGTGTTCTGTGACCCCGTCTCATTTTGCATCATGTCCGTCTTCCCCACGATCCCGATAAATGTACCAAGAAAAATAATGCGGGGCAAAATCCGTTTGATGCGATAGGCGTAGTCACAAAGTTGGTGACAACAGAATAGGGGATGTCGGAGTGGTGTCGGAAAAAACAGGATTTAGGCGGAGATCTCCAGTCGACATTATTGCTTATCAGCCTTATCGAGCTTATCAAGCTTATCTCTCTGCGAACACCACTGGCTACGCCTGATGTGGGGTGGCAGATGGGAAGGGAGATAGACGGAAATCGACGGGCCGGTGGGGCTTGATGCTGAGCCCGGACCGGACCTATTGTGCGGGGGAACTTCGGGGGGATCGATCACGCAACAACACGTTTGTACGGCAGGAGACGTGACTTTATTCATGAAACTTATAAATGAGCAGATAAAAAACAAAATCGAACGTGATGGGATTCAAAATAATAGCGTAGTTCAACTCTCTCAGTCAACGTAACGCTGTAATCAGCACCAGTTATCGAAGATTGCTTCAACATGGCCACCACCACAGAGACGGTCCCCGCGGGCATGAAGAAGGTCCATTTCTCTAGCTATGAAGGCATGACATACAGGCTAGTATCAACCAGCCCGCCACGTGATTGCACCCCAGACGAAATTCCTATCATCGACCTGGGCAGGATACACGGCAATCTCGAGGCCCGTAAGGCCCTTGCCAGCGAGATACTGAACGCTGCAAAGACGAGCGGGTTCTTCTATATCAAGAACCATGGTATCCCAGAGAACGTAACGGAGGCCGCTCACCAAAAGGGCAAGGAGTATGTTTTGCGTCCACCGAGCGGCAGCCTTTGGACTCCCACCCCCAGCCTGCCGAGTTCTGGAATTTGAAAGGCTACAGACTGACGAATAGTGAAAGATTCTTTAAGCTGCCAGAGCAGCAGAAACGCAAGTTGACCTCAAACACATCTGCGTATGGCTACTGTGGGTTTCGAGAAATCCACGCAAACCCGAATGATACCAAAGATAGAAAAGAGGCCTTCATGTTCCACTACGAACCCGAGTTCGACCCGTTGTACGAGGGCCGCTTGGACCAAGTTCCCGCCCATGTTCGCAAGCATCTTCCGAAAGAGGATTTTCTCTGGACCGACTCTGGCAATGATGCCGTTCTTCCGGGATTCAAATCCGCTCTTCTTTCGCACTGGTGTGCCTGCCTAGCCTTGTGCCGACATCTTATTCAAGTCATCGCACTTGGCCTGGGCCTCCCCGAGGATCACTTCGACTCTATGACGACCTACCCAGGTGGGGACTTCGCTGTGAACTTCTATCCCGGCCACGGCGACGATCCCGTCGAGGACCCGGACGAAGTCGGCGTCGGGGCGCATACAGACCTCCAAATCCTGACTCTGCTTTGGCAAGATCAACACAAGGGCCTTCAAGTCCTCAACAACTCAGGGGAGTGGATGTGGGCGCCGCCAGTGCCCGGTACCTTTGTCGTCAACATTGGCGACTTTCTCATGCGACTGACAAATGATCGACTCAAGTCGACGGTACATCGCGTGTTGCAACATGGCAGAGAGGATAGGATCTCGATGCCTTTCTTTTTTGGTAAGGATCCTCCTGCAGTCTTCAGCTGTGAGATCATTGAACCTGGCAAAAGCTCGGCCGTTTCTTGTCTCTTAGCTCCCCCTTTCCATTTTGATGTTCATTGACCTGGGTCTCTCTCTTTTTTTCTTTTTTTTTCTTTCTCCTTGCGTCTCCTTGATTAACGGTTTACAGGATTTAACTTTGACCACAAAATTGGTGTACTACCGACGTGTGTAGATCAAAACCACCCAGCCAAGTATAAACCTGTTACATGCGGCGAGGTAAGCCGAATGCCGAACCCGAGCTGACGAACGAGTGGTGTTAACCCAACATGAACAGCTCATTGCGAAGCGCCTAGCTAGGACGGAAACCAATTCCCGACAAGATGTCTAGGAATGTTGGACTCCGACGCAATGCCGAAGTCTAGGAGCTTGCATTTTGAGATTCAAGGATATACAGGCGTGAGTCATATTTGTTGAAAGTTATATAATCGCCGGATGGGGATGTTGTAAAGCATGGCGACTCCCAACTGCATACACTTGAGGTAACATGCAGCCCACATAATCTCAGGGGTGGCGGGAGGAGTTAGCCCGAGCCATTCTGGAGAAAAGAGCCTCGAATTGTAAGTCGGGTTTGGATCATACTCATACGGCTCGAGTTTTCTTAGATATCGAGTCATGCATGGTGTCATTACTTCTTGTTCCTAGGTGCGAGTTTGATTCTCTGGGGTCCAGAAGTAGGCCGCGTTGATGTACACCGCACAGGCTCATAACAAAACCCGCCGGAATGCCCAAGTGACTAGTCTTCTTGCAGGCCTATGGGATAGGCCCCTGGACTCAAGCGGGGTCATTCGTTGGGCATCTTTTCTGCCCCTGATCATCGGTTCAATTGTGTTGCGGCCAACACATCGCTTCTCAAAGAAGTTAACAAGTCGCATGTTGACAAGGTCACCCACGCGAGTTGAGGTTGGATATGCCATTCGATAATTACATCGGGTCACAGCCGACTGGACTACCGTGGGAAATCGTTTAGGCGTACGAATAATCCCAGGGTCCATACGTTGCCGCAAGGGGAGGGGGGGTGGGGGCGGATAGCGTTAGTTGCACGAGAGTATGATTCTTCCCATTCTCTGAATGAACAGACCACATCTCAATGATGTGCTCGACTTTCGCTGTCGTTGTCCTCAACATAACTTGCTCATCTGCTTAGGTCATGGACGAACAAAACCTTCTGCGGAGATCGATAAGCATAAAAACCGCGGAGGATGCAGTGCTTATTGTTATTCACCGGCTCGTTTCTCGCACCGAGGTTCTTCAAAAGGTAAATAAGCTCCACCTGAGCCCCGGAGCTTACGACGATCAGAAGGATAGAAGCATAGTGGACAAGCGAAGCGCCTAACTTTTAAGGAACCTATGCCCCGAACGAGAGGCCGGAGGAATGGCAAGGGGTTTGTTTGGACGGTCCGCAGCAAACGACGAGGAGCATATCCGAGCAATGGGACAACATCGATTCCTAGGAGGCGCCTAGAAAATAGAGATCGGGACTTTGGTGGTCGTAATGCTCCCATCCAGGAGTGTCAGTGTACGCGTGCGACCAGGATTTAGAAGAGAAAGAAACGAGAAGTGGTTGGGTTTGTGTTAAAGGTGGGCTTGTTGGTCAAAGTCGACAATGTTTGTAAGTGGATCGTAAGCATAAGTGGGGAAAGAAGTTTGACCAGGCGGATGATTCCGTCCAAATGCACCTCGTTGTCTTAATGTGTTCGTCCATTTATTATTCGCCATAAAATGTCACTACGATTTTATCACATTATGAGTATCTAATTGTATCCTCTGATCTCGGCTTAGAACAGGAACCAGTTTTGAGAAATTAACCTTCACAGAGTTGGCTAGCCTTAGAGAGCTTGTTTGCCTGGCCTAAAAAGCGGGACTCGCGAAACCTGGACCACTGTGGGCTGGAAGTATTGATGCGGCACGTTCAGCAAAAGAACGTCGCAGTCATAGGGAATTGTAACATTGGATCTGGATCTGTATCTGGATTGACCTGGAGCCTGCCAAGCATCCAGGCGCTAGTGGCCCCATGAGCCATGTCGGCAAGACTCCATCCAATCTATATTCACGTCTCTGTATCCATCCGCCCATCGGAGTTCACATCCACTTGCGTCGCCGTCTGTTTGTTCACTCACAGCCGATCATCAAATCACTTATCTGCCCGCCACGGAAAGTGGGCTAACCGATGTATGTTGACTACTAATCCTTGGTTTGCCTAGCTGAGTGCCTGCTTCTCCGTGGGGTATCTGCGAACGAGGGGCAGGTTATGATCTTGAGACGGCAACGAGAGGTTTGGAAAGCAAGGCGAAAGAAAATAAGAGTGCTATGGAGACGAAGGTCTTCGGCACCAAGATCCTTTTCATCATGAAACTGCTGACTTCGTTAGCCAAGTACCCGTACTAAAGGATGCATGGAGCTGGCTTGATCATTCCATGCTGATCTATGATTGACAAAATGAGCGAAAACTCCTGATCAGGTCCTTGCTGCTTTAATCTTTTACCTAAGAGGACCCTTAAAACTTAAGAACATCTGATCCTGGCAAGATAGGGGTCGTCATCCTAGGCAGATTTACGTCACTCCTGGACTGAAATGCCCACCAACCCATCCTGGAGAGGCCCCTGTCAAGCTCAGGAACTTCAAGTCGCGAGTGAGCTATGGCTTTCATCCTACCGCAAGCAAGGATACTCTCTTAGGCGACTTTGACAGTACTGTGCCGCCCGTCAATTTGGAAGAAGAGGACGAAGGGGCTAAGGAAAAGAAGAAGTACGAGTGGTGGTTGTGGTGGTGACGACAGTAGAAGAAGAAAAACGAGGGGAGAGGAAGACCTCGAGTCCTTTGCCTATCGAGAGTCAATGTTTAGCGCAAACAACCCTCTAACTTCCATCTATCTCGCCTCCTTCTTGCCGTAATTGCGAGTTGCGAGTTCCTAGTTGCGTCTTTTTTTGTGGGGGGGTGGGGGGGTGGGCTTCTGTTTGTCTTCTTTTGTAAAGAGAGGCGCCTCTCTATTCCGCTGGGTCTTTCTCATGGGCCTCCTAAGCGGACCTCCTCTTCTTTTTGCTCCCGTCAAGAGCACGGAGCTCGGCCGCAACTCTCCTCTATCTCCTTCTCGTTTCCCATTCCCAAATTCTGGTCAAGTTATTTGACAATCTCTTGTACAAATTTCCAACAGCACGCATCTTTACATTGCGTAAGGTAGCATAGCATGCGATACTTTCACCTCAACTTCAGTTACAGGGTTTCAATGACTACCTCGAACTAAATTCACATATTTTCTCGTTCCAACATTCATTATTAGATGGATCATGAACGACCAACCTCAAACAGAGTCATCAGGCCTTAGCACGCCTGAACTCATGAAAAAGGAACGCGAGAAGACTGCAACAATAGTAAGCTTTGCAACCCCGGCCGGCCCCTATCGAACCCCTCGCTGCTTCTCAGTCCGTGCTGCTGCGTTCTCAGCTACTGCTCCTAGAACTCTGCACGCAGCGACAGGACGCTATGGAAGAAGTTTTCTAGGGTTGTTCAGCTCAAACTTCTCGGCAGCTCCTCAACCTTTTCTTCTTTGGTCATAGGAAAGATCTGAGAGAAATCTGACATTCCGCCAGGCTTGCGACGCCTGCCGCAGTAGAAAGCAGAAATGCGATGAACGGAAGCCCGCATGTGGTTACTGCAGAAGAACTGGAATAACCTGCGAATACCGGGCCCCTAAGCCGACCAAGTAAGCTCGTCTATTTGCCTTGCCGTCTTGTCTTTAGGCCCACTGGTCTGCCCTCGAGAGCCCGAATTGAACGGCGAAGGACGCACAGTCTGGAATTTACTGCTTAGGCTTTACACTGACACTATGCTACGTTGTAGAAGGGACAAGTCACTGCAAGAAATTCTCGAAATTTTAGGTCGCATCGAGCCTGATATCCATGAAACTCGTGAACGGAGCGCGGATATTGCTACCATTTATCTCATGCTCGAGTCTCTCAAGCTGCAGTCTCAGACCACAGCCAAGACTTTTGTCGACAACAGTGGCGATGGAATTCCGACAACCTCCACTTTTCAGACGTCCGGTCTGGCAAGCTTAAGGCCTCATCAAGGTGGCCAGTATCAGTATGTGTCTGCCACTCATCAAATGATGAGGTGGGACGCAGTGCGGCAGGTTCTCGAGGCGGCCGAACCCAAGATTGATGGTTTAGAGGCCGTTTTCCAAAACCCAAACTTTGCTGCCGTAATGCTGGAACATCAGGGACGTGCTAAAGGGCTGCCATGCGATCGAATTCTACAAGGCGAATTTGATTGGGGATCTGTGCCGGGTCGGTCAACGCTGTACTTTGATACTTTCAATCTGATTCACCCTGTTCTAGATCAAGAAACCTTTATGAATCACACAATACAGTCGGCGGCCGAGGATAACCTGGGGACAAGTGCAGATTCCACATTGATGTACTTGGTACTGGCCCTGGCTGAGATTGCGGCTGCAACACTATATCCCGAACCAATTTACGCCGACCCTGGCAGCCACGAAGAGGAACTCCAGAAGAGGCCGCCAGGTCTCCGCTTCTTCAACGAGGCAAGGCAGCGCATGGGTTTCCTTATGGCCGGCTGCACTCTTGAGAACATACAGATATATATTCTGGCGGGGTAAGCCCTTCTTCATGCTAAATTTGCTAAACCTGGACCGCACCTTAGCCTGATGCCCGTGTTTGTCCGCAGTCTTTCTGAGTATGTTCATTGACTGATTCGGGTTGATGTGATCCGTACCAGGCTTTATTACGAATGCTGTTCTAGACACATGGTGAGCAGAAACAGAGGTTTTCTTTTCGCGGGTACTTATTTGCTGATATCAACGCAGGAGTTCTGTAGAATGACCATTTCGGCATCTTTGGCTTGCCACAGGCTGATAACCAGGTGAGGCTTAACCTTTGACTTCTCTATTAGCTAATTAATAGACTTTCTTTGCTCCTTAGCTGGCAAATTACTGATTCAAACTTGTAGTGATCCTGGACAACTTCGGTCTGGGCGTCGAGGTAATCTAATCCGCCGAATGTTCTGGTATTGCTCCATGATGGAATCGTACGTATCTTTCTTTTCTATTTGACCTCGCCGGGAGTTCCAGTCTCGAAACACCTAACACGGAGGTATTGATACAGAAAACTCAACCTGGAGCTCGAAATACCCCTGACATCTCTTGTTATGTCAGAAGGGGAAATGTCAACACGTGACGTGTTCAGCGGTTCGTTTGGCCATGGCGATACCGAGTTCTACGAGGAACACTTCCGCCAGCAAGTCCGCCTGAAAAGCTTCGCAGACGATATCCATCGCACAATGACAGCAAGTAAGTATCATTCCAGACCAGCCACTCAAAAGCGTGCGCCATCCACGAGACGATTTCGGAGGTTTTTTTGCAGGCAGTCATTTTTCACTGCTGTTTCTTTCTTTCCACTGGAAACAGAGTGCATAATCATATAAAGGCACATCCTAGTTTGGAATTGCCATGATGTTGCTGCCTTTTTTTCTCTCTCGGGCTAATGGTTTCGTTTTACCACAGTAACTATACGTCCCACCTCTGTCTCAGGCCCATATACAACAGCAGAACAGGATTTTACTTCGTTGCGACTATTTGATGCGGTTGGATCAATAGCACGTGTGCTTAGTAGCTGGCGGGAGGAGTTGGTCGGAGCGATGCGCTGGTTTGACAGCAATGCCGCTATTGTCCCTTCCCAAAGTACCAAGCAAGACTACGATCATTTCCTGCAAGAGTACCAGACACCCGTGCAGGATTTACAGCAGAGCGGCTTTGTCTTTTCCATCGATCCTCGGGATGTAGCAAGGAACCCGTTTCAACCGTCATTCTCTGGTGAAGGGCTAAACCCGATTCATGACGTTCTTGACGCCTTGCTACGCAGCCGATACTATTATCTGCGGTGCTTGCTGTACGGTCCCTTCATCTTTAAAGTGCTACATAATGGGCGTTTTGGCCCCCGTGACAGGATAGGGGCAGCAGAATACCTCCGAGCCTGCCTCATGTGGCCCATACTTAAACCACCAGTATGTTTCCGCAAGAGCCTAATCTCTTGTCTCATCTTCTGGTCTCACAAGATTCTGGGCATCCTTATCATTTTGCATCTTTCTACAAAACACGAAGGGCTCAGGCAGGTTCGTGAGGGACTCGGACCAAGCTTCGAAAGTGAGGCAGAGGCGACGGTCATCTTGTGCATTGACTGGATCAAGAGCCTCAAAGATATTGACGGCTCAGCCAGATGGTGCTGGACAATAGTCAAACGCTTGTACCAGCAGGAAGATGACGAAACCAGTGCACAATTTCTCACAGGATTTTGATATACTCGACGTCGCAGCTCAATCTGTTCAGAGGGACTTTGATGCACGGCTTTTGAGGCACTCAAACTGGCACAGCTGTGATGGGGAGATTACCTAGCAGCGGCGTCCTCGGTAACTGAGAAGGCCGGATGATCACATAGTTACGACAAGCCTGCAGCACATGCGTAACGAATAGGCGGACGAGAACAATGAGGGAGGCATTGCCCACAGACGGCTATTGAACGATTGATAGATGGGAACAAATGGCAGGAGATATCTTTTCTGACTATTAACAAATGGTTGAGTTTGCACGGGTCAGCTCATGAACCGAAGTACGCTTCATTAAGAACCGCCTGCGGACAATCGTGCGCATCCACTGGTGCAGTAGATATCTCACTGTTCGAGGTTCAATGCCTTAAACCGCCATCTCGAAAGTGTTTAAATGGTACCTGCGTGCGTAGTGGGACAGATCGACGAGCTCTTGTAGACCTATGATTTGCATTTTCTGAACCCCCCCTCCAATTGCCTCATGGCTGGAAGCTATTACATGTCCTAGATTCTTTGAGTGCTGTAGCTTCTCAACTCGAAAGGAGGATTGAAATCGGTCCAGGCTATCTTTCCAGTCGAGGATCTGTCCAGATTCCGTCCATATCCCAGGAAAGTCACTCTGTACAGGCTGGTAAATACAATACCAAGACCTTGGCCTCCATAATACCACATATAAATAACTTTGGAACCGCAAAGAGGCTTGTCCTCTGGATCACACTAGTTGATAAGGGTGAAAGCCGGTCATCTGTTGCGTATGGAACATGTCTAACCCGAGGAAACCGCTTGGTTTTATTTTTCAACATGTGACGCAGTGTCAGTTGTTTTCATTCTCAAAAACTGGAATAGAAACCTCTGAGACTCGATGAACCCGTAGCAAGCAGGTTAACCAGACATGACAACATGCATGCCATCTCATATCCCCGTAATCCTTAGTCGGTCCGTCTATGCGATCTCGCCCGTGTTCTATCTGCCCAGATCACTCATGGGTCAGATTTTCCTCCAAGAACCACCCTCCCCCTCTCTAGACCAGCACCAGCGACGTGAAAAAAAAAGAATCTAGAAGCAACGTCAGAAAGGGCTCGAGCGCAAGCCACTTTGCCAGGTATGCCCTCATACAGGAGAGAAAGCCGAAAACCGACAGGCGTTAGTACACACTACTTGTTCACCCGCCATGCAAGGCAAAAAGAGCGGCAGAACCTATAGGAGACGATGAAGACAATGAGGCCAGCGCATCGAGATGGAATATGCAAGCGGCGCCTGTGCCCGCAGACCGTGGGGTGCAGGGTACCTCGAGAGCAAGGCCAAGGAAAGAGGGGGGGGAGGGGTGTGTGTGGGAAGGGAGGAAAGGGAGGGAAAATACCGCCAAAGCGGCGGCAGCAGGCTTGGATATCTCAAATGTGCTCGGATTTTCAGCCTCGTCTTCCCAGTTTCCCGGTCCCGCGAGAGCGATCCTTCACACACGTCAAAGACAAGGCTTGGTTAGACAGATAGGGAGGAAGAAGAAAGAAAAAAAAAAAAAAAAGAGGGAAGAAAGAAAGTCAAAGACAATCAACAGATCAACAGACGGAGCCGTGCACGCTTTGCCTTGCTTCTTCTTGTCCGTGGGGGCCCAAGTTATTTTCTCTTTTCTTTTTTTTTCCATGTTCTTTTCTTCTTTTGTCTTTTTCTTTCAACAAACCGGACATGAGACCAACATTTCTAGGGTCCCTGTTGCCGCCGCCAACCACCCGTCGTCCATACTTCATCGTCATCACTAGTTGTACGCCATCAGCCAAAGTGCTAACAGACGATGAGGCTAGCAGCTGTGGCTTGTCGGGATGTAAAAGACGGGCGTGTTAGCAAAAGGGGGAATCGACCCCAGCCAAACGCATGCCAACCTATAACCCCATGACCGCATCCGGCACTCCCTTTGGAAAGAAAACGGCCCAAGTGGCTTCTTTCAGAACGGAGCCACAGTGCCCTCAATGCCATAACACGAGGTGACGCCTCGCGACTGGCGCTAGGTCCGCGGGTAGCGGTATGCATAACACTGGGAATCCGGGCGCCGCTATCGAAAAATAAAATGCCCATGTAATGCGCGCTACTTTTCTTTGGTCGCGGCGGCAGGACGGGCGCGGACGGGCGCTTAGGTCCGCGCTCCGTTCTTTCGTATCTCCCCCCTCCCTCCCTTTGGTTGATGACCGAGCGAGGAAAGGAAATAGAGCATCTGTCAAACGTCACACAGATATGTGTGTCTTACCTCTTCCCAAAGACAACGTGGGAAGAAGCTAAGCTTAAGCGCCATCAATAGTTCCGATTTCACCTATCCGGCGCCGATGGAGTGAGCAAACACATCTCTTTTTCTTCTCCCACCCCCCTTTTCCCACCCATACGCCATACGGCTGAGCCTCCCTGCCGCCGCGTAGGGACGCCGCACCGGTCCGGCCTGTCATGCGGCTTCCCCGCTCGATCTGCCGACACCCCCTGAAGCATGCGTCTCGTTACAGCTCAATATAGATACTCGCTTCGTGGTACTCTCGAACGTTCCCGGGGAGGACATGCAGGGTCCTGCCTCTATCCCTGGATGGGAGAGGCATGTTCGGTATCGTGCCCGATCTAAAGCGTCAATCGGTACGAAGACGAGACGGCATCGCCGTCATAGGTTCATGGTCACTGCCAGAACTCGACGGTTCAGAGATGGAATTCACGGCCCAAGCAAATAGATCCATCATAGTTCGCATGAGCTAGTAACTACCTCGATGAACAAGGCATCGTTCGAGATTGGGGTCAGCATACTCAAAATCAGAAGCGATATATCAAGATCACGCGTCTCCCTCTCCCTCTCTCTCTCTCGTTTCTCAAAGCGCTTCCCGCAGTATGTCAAGCTTTCTCGGCCTGTTCTTGGCCCGTCTCGGCGTGCAATGTCTCGAGAGGCCCCATTCTGTAAGACATATCGAATGGATCGCCCAAGATCGTATGATGGGTAGGTAGTTCAGCTAGCCTTTCGCAAAAAGGGAATCGAAGCCAAGGATGTCAAGGAAGCTAGTACACCCTTCATTGTAACCGGGTAAAGGCAGAGCGACCAGAGAACCTCGTATACTAGAGCGTGTTAAAGAGGCATGCAAGCTGCTGCTGCTGCTGCTGCTGCTACGATAATGGCACATCTCATGATGCGACTGGATGCGGGCATGGGAGCGAGATCAGACGGTGTCCACAATCGCGCTGGGTGTACCTCTGACTGGGGCGGGCCGCGGGCCCTGGATTCTCCTCACACACCCCTCCCCGGGGGCCATGTTTCTCGATCGTTATGGTTGGGTGGACGAGGGAGGAAGAAGTCCAGAAGGGGTCCGAGCAGTGAGCGACAGGTCCGTAGCGTCAATGTGGTCGAGTTCGCGGCAAGTCTAAGCCTCCCTGAGCAAACCAAGGTGAAGCATATGCACGAGCTGCGTCTCCGATGGGTGTGGATGTTGCTCAGTGCCCAAAGAGACGTATTCATGACGATCTCCTTCTCCCGGCATCCCAAGTCCCTGGCGTTGGAGGCAAGGACGAGGTGGAAGACGGAGGGAGGGGGAAGCAAATAGGCTCGGCCCCGCATCAACGTCGTCCATACAGTCTAGCTAATCGGTCGGGCAGCCGAAAAAATTCGAGCCTTAATCCGCCTCATCTACGGAGCAGAATATCCGCAGATTTCTCGTCCGGACCAGGCCAAAGGCAAACGGTGGATCTTTGGGTGTTTTCTTCCCTTTTTTTTTTGCTCCCTCCCGTGCCGTTGGATCGTCCGTTTAGAAGATAGGAGTTCCCGTCTGGACAGACGAGAGCCACGCGGTCACGGCCTGTGATAAGTTTGGACGATGTTTCAGTGATACTCGCGGTCAGACTCGAAAACAAACCCAAACGGCCGGCAGCGAAGCAAACGGAAAGAAAGCGGAATGAGGAACCAGGAACGAGGAATCTCAGTAGACACGGAGGTTCCGGCCTGCCCGGGCCCCCGGGCGGCCACCCCAGAAAAATGGAAACCCCCTCCATCTCTCCCCCTCCTCTCCCCGGACCGCTGTGCGCCTTCCCCCCCAGACCTCGAGGAATGAAAGCAAATGCGGCGCACCTGACGTCCGACTCTTCCGGGAGTGGGGAGGGGTAACTTCCTCGTCCTACTCGGGGGTCCCTGCCAGCCCGTCGTTAGCATGAGTGCAAATTATCCTTCCATGCCCTCTAAATGAGCAGCCCCAACAGGCTCCAGAGTCAAAAAAAAAGTCAAAAAAGTTAATTGAGCCAGAAGTGCCAGGTTGTCGGCCAATGAAATTCGCCTACGCTACCGGCGATGTGACCTTTTGATTGGTGTGATTGAACCAAAAGCGACATTAGCCCGGGGGCCATGTCGATGGAAGGGGAAATCAGAATAAGGATTGGCGGCACGCTGGTAGAGTCGATTGAACCTTCGGATTGGGGATAAGCACCTGGTTAGCACCAGGAGCTTCATTTCCCTCCTTCCCCCTCTCGATCCCCCTCTCTCTCACTCTCATTCTCACTCTCGCATCCCGAATTCGTCGGTCTTACTCTTCCACTTTCTTCTCTTTTCCGCACACGGAGAATTGACCTGCTGTCGCCATCCTTTTATCAAACGTATTCAAAAACGCTCAGACTCTAACCCCCAGTTACGACTCTAAGTCCCACCCTCCCAGAAGGAACCCCGAGCGCTTCGCACCGCATACCGCATACCGCATACCGCATACCGCACCCCAGACAACATGAAGCTCGTTGCTGTCGTTGCAGCCTCTCTTGCCGGCTTTTCCGGCTTCGCCGCCGCCCAGAGCGGGCTTGCTGAGTGCGCAGTACGTCCCCTCTCCTCCATCGCCCTCTCCCCGCTGTCGCCGATGCCGTGGGTTGTAATGTGATGGTGGGCTGACCTGACCGTGCGACACAGCAAAAATGCGTGAACCAGTATACGACCTCCACCACCATCGCTGGCTGCAAGCAGCTCGACGCGAAGTGCATCTGCGAGAACTCTAACTTCCTTGACGGCATCGCCTGCTGTCTAGCCGATGGCTGCACCAAGGCCGAACAGGAGGCTGCCGTCAAGTACGCGAAAGATATCTGCACTGGTGCCGGCGTCTCTGTGCCCGACCAAGTGACGTGCAAGAGCGCAACGCCCTCCGGCGGAGCGCAGCCCAGCGGTGCCAATCAGACCAGCTCTGCCGGTCAGACCGGTTCCGCCAGCCAGACTGCGGCGCCTGCTGCTACGAATACACCCAACGCCGGTTCAACAATGGGCTCGGCTGGTCTCCTGGGAGGTCTTGTTGCTGTTCTGGCTGCGCTCTGAGTTGGAAATGGTCCCGGTACTCGCCTCTTCAATGCGCAGGATCGTTGTATTTCTTCTTAGTAGTGGTGGACTAGAGCCGACTGAGACTGTGCTCACGTCGCCTCGTTCATCACTCATCTTGTCTTTTTATTCATCGTAAGGGAAATTTTATAATGACAACGCCAGCGGGGTGCTAGAGAAAGCTGTACTGTACTTACAAACCAGAAGTAGCCTTAAAGTGGGATATCTTCTACGTACAAAAAGCGACAGATATTGTCATCTAGTACGCAAGTGATGGGAGAACGTTTCATGCCGTGCACTTCGGTGAACGCACCAATGAATGCCGGACCTGACTCAGCAGTAGTGACGGCGGCAGCATCATGGTCCAGGCGAATAAACTTTCCGAAACCGAACAGAGGTTTGAGTTCTTCAAGACGAAAGGATGTGGATCTCGGCAAAACGACGGATAGGCCAAGTTCTCCAAGTGTAAATCGCACCCTAGGACCCCGACCTTACATCATCCATCTGCCGACAGGCTCGGTTTTGTACCTTAGTAGATTCGTCAGTTCATAAAAAAGCTTGTCGTAGGTGAGCAAGTTTACCACGAGGGTGTTCTGGGGTTTCCGATCAACCTTCTCATGCATCGGCAAAGGGACCCTGGGCTTTCCCAAACGCTCTCGGGCCTCTGCAGGGAGGCTGGAGGAAATCAACAAGCGCAAGGTTGACAGGAACATACTAATTTACCGCTGTGGCTAGAGTTAGACAAGAGTTGGCCAGCAAAACACACCCGTCGGCTTCCTGCTACCAGTCTGGAAAACTATGAGCTTCGACACGATAGTGTCGACGACGTTTGCTGCCATGCGGGGCAGAATGAGTTGGGTGCTCACTACAAACATCCTGTCGAGTAAGATGCGACTGCTCAAGTACGCCAACACCCAAAACAAACTGCTAGTGGCCGCACGTGATAAACTTCGCTAAGCTGTCACAGATGAACGGATACGTCTGATTTGAGGCTGTCTCCGCACGCTGACATTACCACCAAAAAAAGCTCGGGAAGACCAAACTAGAATTGGGTAATAGCCGCGTCACTTGCCATGAGTATCTAGATCAGACCAGGAAGCCCCATCCGTGGGCGGGACGGTGTCTGGCCTTAGTCGCCATCTCTGTCATTTCATGGGACGAGTTATAGCGCGGACACTCATTCAGATGGAACAGTATCAACCGTTTCGATGCCAGTAGATCGGTGTCTCTCAAGACGACGTCCCACGAAATGTGGTAGACTGGAAAAAAGACCCGGCTCTAGCGTGCCAAAGCCCCGCGATAAATCCTACAGCTCAGGTGATGACAACTATAAGGCGCATGTTTTTACGGAACGGCTTACTGTCCGGTGAAGCCGTCATGCATGTAACATAAAAATTTACTCGGCCTTTCCGGTCTAGACCCAGAAGACTTAATTGTGCTGGTGAAAGTATTGCACAAAGGATACTACGTCGATTAATCCAGATGATGAGAGACGATTTCATGGCCCGATATGATTTCCGTTCCTTGAAGCCGGCCTGGGTGGAGGCGACTAGTCGTCACTGCCACAATATCTTCATTTATACCCCACCTGACATATTGACATGTCGGAAGTCTTGGCATTGGCAGGCTGGCGATGATGGGATCTAAATCCGGTGGTATCGTACACTGATATGGCCGAGGCGGACGTCGCGTCTCGCGACCCTGTGGAGTTGATACTCCGTCGTTTCGACCAATTTGGCATTGGGCAGACTAAATGGTCAACTCGGCCCGTCAAAGAAAGCAAACCCCCACAAAGGCGCCCGCAGGCAGTCCAGGGATGCTCCCCACGTAGACGCAGATAATAGCAAAGAGCCGCGCTGCCACGCAACTTCTGCCGTAGGCACTCTGTGGGTCTATCCAGGCACGCCGACAGGCTGGAGCAAGGCATATGCACATGAAAACATTAAGCTGCTGGCTATCCGAGTTGATGTCGGCTGAGTGGCAGGGGTGTTTGTGTGCGTGTGTGTATGTGAAGTACGTGCGGACAGGTAACACGTCCAGTTGAAAATGGCGGTGCCTCAAAGGCAAATCGCAAACTGGCTTAATTTCTTCGAGTGGCATGTCATTTTCACGGCAGTGCGCTGACTGCCCACTTTCGTTCATCGTGTGATATCGACGCCAGGTTTTCGTATTCCTGATGTTCGGGGCTCTCATAGAGGGTTAGGCGAGATGGATACAGGCCCCTTCTCTCACACTCAGTCTCCACAAGGCAGGAAGGCTTCAACGCCTAGTAGTTCCTGTAAGATTCTCCACCAGCTGTCAGAGTGTAGCGCGTGCTTGCTAATGCCCCTTCCAGTTGCTGGTTGCGAACAGGGAAGCTGAGCCCTCGCTCATCTGGTACCTGTCAGGATGGGCTTGGAATCGCCATGATTCGCTCCAAATTCGATTGATGTGATCATCCAGCTCAGTCAACCGCCGCGCAAGGAAGAGACAGGGACCAGGGGCAGGGAGATCAGATGAGGAACTGGGTGGCCTTGGGTGTGGAGGGAGAGATACACACTCGAACGGCAGGCGGGAAACACAGTCCATAGTGAGAGCTGCACGGCGCTTTGACCATTTTCAAGTCTGGTGTGAAACTTGATGGTGGGTTTATCTGCGAACGCTTTGACATTGTAAACTCCTGCTATCCGGCCTGCAGGGAAAGGGAGCGACAGGCCGCCCCTCGGCGAGACCTGTCGAGGAGACGTGCAGAAAGAGAAATGGGGTGATGATGCCTGTAGCACTGTTGCAGGGCAGTGACAGCCTAATCCTCAGTCAGTCGTTCTTCGCACCAAGCGCAAGAGTCAGAAGCTGTCAACCTAATTAGTAGCCTGAATCGTCACTGGACACTACGATACTTCATCCTGTGACGACGGCTTGGCAAAAATACAGTTTTCTCCTGTTGAAGAAAACAAGGGGTGAAGGACTATTGTTCGCACGACATTGTCAGCGCGTATCGGGCAAGATCGACAATGCTGTGCTTGCTGCCATGTTTGTCAGTAATCCGTCAAGACAGTTTCGTGAACGTGGCCCTGGATAAAAGGCATGGGGCTTCATGCTAGTTGACTACCATCTTTGAGCAGAGGCCTGCGGGCGTTCAATGTTTTGGGATAGGCTGACTCGATGGCTCAGAGCTCACCAGCTATCCAGCTTCACATCTTCAAGTACTCAAATCGATTCTGTTCAATGTTTCTGATGTCTTGGTTGGGTTTATGTGCCTAACTGGCAACGCCACTTTCCACAAGCGCATTCATCTTGCATAATAGCCGATTTCGACTTTGCATTTCAATGATTGACTACGTATTGGCACGGAAAGCAATGTCCGAGTAAAACAATGGATGATGGCACCGAGGGAGCTGCTTTTTTCAGCTCAGAGTTGCGTGGGCTCGCAGCTGTGGGGTGGGTGATATGGAGGGTCATCGGCTGCCAAATGCAAGGAACCCCTCCCCCTTATAGATGATGATTCTGCCTTTCTGGAAGCTGGACGGGTTTGGATTTGGTTAGCCGGCAAATCATCGGTATTCCTGTTACAGATGCTACTCGTCGCTCCGGTACGACGTGACCTGCTGCGACCGTCCCATGAAGCTGGTGCAGTCTGTGTGCGATCAGACGTGTGCCAGAGTGGGCAAAAAGAGCTGAGGTTACCGAGGAAGTCGCCAACTGCAACCAATTTCGTGGGCCGGTTGGACAGTTGGTGGCGTGTGCAGTTGCTTTGCGGATGCCTGAGACACCCGTCTAACTGAATTCTGCTTGCTTTTCGTCGCCATCTCCGATCTTGCCATGATGAGATCGGCTTGCATGACAGGCGACTCACCCTGGTCGACCAGTTTTCCTGTCATATCCGGGTAGTGTGAGGGGAGCTACTCTTACCCCTGTCTAGTCTGTAACCCAAGCTGTATTCGTATAGCTAGCTCAAGGGCCGTCAAAAGCTCGTCTATGTTGACCCAAGCTAGAACGTGGCAGAAATGCCTTTGGTAGAGCCATGTGGGCTTGGACTGATGTAAGTGTTGGCAATTGAATTATACACCAGCCAGCATACAAGTTTTCTTTTTGAGCTATGGTGCCATCTCAAGTCAGGCTAACATTGCCGTCCTGTCTCGCCGTAATGCTTCCCGCGAATAGTCTAGCTTGGGGGGCTTGGATGGACGACTTAGTTCGCTCAGATGCATGGCTAGCTTCCAAGCGTAAAAAAATAATAAAAAATGATAACAAGTGTGACGTTTTGTAGGAGTCCCAAGCGGCGAGCTTCGGTGGGGGGTCTGCACAATAATCTAAAGCCACTGATCTGATCATCTGTGAGCACAGGCCTAATATCCAAGACATTGAACGCTCCCCAATGTGAGCGACTACCAAGCAAGGTCAGCTCGATAATATTGAATCCCCTTGTCGGTATGTCTGACGGCTTGTCATGTTGACGGAGCATTGCAAATGCCGCGGCTGCATCCGCCAGCACCCGGAGACAGTTCGCTCCACTTACCAAGAGACCTTAATTTTCGCTTTGAATGATGGCGCCAACTAATAAGGTAGACTGGTCTGACGGCGTAGCACACTGACTGCGTCGCTGTGAGCCGCATAGTGTACATGCGTATGGATGAGGTGGGCCTCACAAAAAGCCCGGAGTTACCCTCCGAGTGCGATGTTATCATGGAGCCAGGCAGCTCACGTCAAAGTAACTAGATGTTGATGCGAGACAGAGGTCTCACTTGGTCGGATAGACAGGCGAATATTCCGAGTGACATCGCAGCGGCCCGATTGAAGTGACTAGCGTAACACAGGCCTCAACGACCGTATTATCACATAGGTCGATCTTTGTTGAATATGCTTGTGGATTTGGCCCCTTGAGTGGTAAGCTGTTTTGCGGAGCACACAGCTGTTGGTCGCAGAACAAGAATAGCAGAGTATTGTTGGGCTGGAACCGAGTAATAAGTAAACGAGGCATGATTATTGCAGACAAACGGTCCTTGCGATTGGGAAGGGGTGTG